GTTGGTAATTCCAACTTTAAAGTTGGAAATTCCAACTTTAAAGTTGGAAATTCCAACTTTAATCTTGGCTTTTCCAACTTTAAAGTTGGTAATTCCAACTTTAATCTTGGCTTTTCCAACTTTAAAGTTGGTAATTCCAACTTTAATCTTGGCTTTTCCAACTTTAATCTTGGCTTTTCCAACTTTAAATAACGCGAAAATTACGCGTTATAGCGAGAAACCTTCGCGTTGTACATAGCGCAAAACTTTTGTGTTTAAATACGGAAGCGTATTAGTGCCACGCAATATTTTTTTTTAAGTTGGTAATTCCAACTTTAAAGTTGGAAATTCTAACTTTAATCTTGGCTTTCCCAACTTTAAAGTTGGTAATTCCAACTTTAATCTTGGCTTTTCCAACTTTAAAGTTGGAAATTCCAACTTTAATCTTGGCTTTTCCAACTTAAAGTTGGTAATTCCAACTTTAATCTTGGCTTTTCCAACTTTAAAAGTTTGCTTTTCCAACTTTAATCTTGGCTTTTCCAACTTTGACTTTTAACGTTTAAAGAAGGATTTTATTATTTATTTACTTATTAATTTTTTGCTTGTCAACATACTGAGTATTTCTGGCTGGGGTGCCCCCCACCCCCCTGAAAAAAAATCCTGGATCCGCGCCAGTACGGAATTGATACATTTAGTTATGTTGTATATAATTTAGCAGAAAATGTTTCATTTGATTAAATAAAATTTGATTACATTGAGTATTTAATTGTTGTCTAATTCTTTCATGCAATACATATTAAATGACTAATATCTGTAATTGGTTAAGTTGAAATCCTGTCATGTACGGAATACTGTGTACATAATTTATATGAAGTTATTATCAATAGAAATACACAAGAGAACTTAAAGGAATATAAAGATTTCTAAGTTAAAGTTGGAAGTTTTATATAAGGTCATAAGGAAGGTCAAGGTAAAAAAAATAAAACAAACACAGATAAAAAGAGTTCAACAATTTATTTTAATGTGCTTATATCTATTTCCTATTGTAAAAGTGCCATAATATAACTCCACATAATCCCGTCCGCTCTTCTTACCTCCCCCCCCCCATTTCGAACCCCTACCCCCTCATTTCGAACCCCTACCCCTACATTGCAATAATAAATTGCTAAGAAATCTATTTCAGTGTGTTATTTTCACTTTAATTAAGTTTGTGATACTTTAAAAAAAATAAGAAACTAAGAAAAGCAGGTAGAAAAGTCAAGATTAAAGTTGGTAATTCCAACTTTAATATTGGCTTTTTCAACATAAAGTTGGTAATTTCAACTTTAATCTTGGTTTTTCCAACTTTAAAGTTGGAATTACCAACTGTAAAGTTGGAAAAGCCAAGATTAAAGTTGGAATTACCAACTTTAAAGTTGGAATTACCAACTTTAAAGTTGGAATTACCAACTTTAAAGTTGGAAAAGCCAAGATTAAAAAAAATAAGAAACTAAGAAAAGCAGGTAGAAAAGTCAAGATTAAAGTTGGTAATTCCAACTTTAATGTTGGAAATTCCAACTTTAATCTTGGCTTTTCCAACTTTAAAGTTGGTTTTTCCAACTTTAATCTTGGCTTTTCCAACTTTAAAGTTGGTAATTCCAACTTTAAAGTTGGAATTTCCAACATTAAAGTTGGAATTACCAACTTTAAAGTTGGAATTACCAACTGTAAAGTTGGAATTACCAACTTTAAAGTTGGAAAAGCCAAGATTAAAGTTGGAAAAACCAACTTTAAAGTTGAAAAAGCCAAGATTAAAGTTGGAATTTCCAACATTAAAGTTGGAATTACCAACTTTAAAGTTGGAAAAGCCAAGATTAAAGTTGGAATTACCAACTTTAAAGTTGGAAAAGCCAAGATTAAAGTTGGAATTACCAACTTTAAAGTTGGAATTACCAACTTTAAAGTTGGAATTACCAACTTTAAAAAAAATTTTGCGTGGCACTAATACGCTTCCGTATTTAAAAGAGAAACTTTCGCGTAATTTCGAGAAATATTATGCATGTATATAGTAATGATGCTTAGGAAACTTGATTATGGCTGAAGATGAACACAGACAGAAACTTTCATGGACTTATTATAAATTATCCTTTCATCAGAAGATGTACTGGAGAAATGATGCGAGAATACAACTAAACCATCCATTAGTAAATTAAGCAATCAATCATTTTGGACTAAGAATTATACCCTGTAGGAACATAACTTAAAAGTTAAAAACAAGATGTGTTTGTGAAACACTATGCGCCTGATGGCAACAAAGTTCGAAAAAGCTATTTTTAGCATATAGGTCACAGTCAAGGTCACAAGGTCATTGACCTTGGTGTCATTTCAAACAACTTGACAACTTGCCAAAAACTTTGACAGTTGCAAATTATTTTCAGGAATCCGACTCCTACAAAGATTTTTGATTTGATCTGGCTTTCGTAGATCTGCATACATTTCAAATTTTGTCAAAAATAGTAATTTGTTTTATCAAATTCCTAATTTGTTATAACAAATTATTAATCTGTTATAACAAATTAGTAATCTGATATAACAAATTAGTAATTTGTAATAACAAATTATTAATCTGTTATATCAAATGATTAATCTGTTATATCAAATAAGTAATTTGTTATAACAAATTATTAGTCTGTTATAACAAATTAGAAATCTTTGTTATCAAATTATTAGTTTGTTATAACAAATTATTAGTTTGTTATAAAAAATTATTAATTTGTTATAACAAATTACTAATTTGTTTAAACAAATTACTAATTTGTTTTAACAAATTAAAAAAAGATACTGCTGCGGCCCTAATACGCTTCCGTAATTTTCTGAGATATTGATCTTTATAAAATATTTTTTTTCATATCTTCTAGAGAGGGTATAAAAAGGACGCCGAAAAGGGTTGATTTTTCCAAAAATTCATAATCTTGAAATTTAACCTTTGGAAGACTTGCATAAACTTTGAATTGATTGAACAGCGCTGAGGAAGAAAAAAAAATGTGACGGTAAAATGGATTCGATAGCAGAAAATTTAAGATTGTACCATATGAAAGTCCAAGATCAAAATAGCATTTTGCTTATCATTGTAATGAATAAACTTGATCACAAAATCAAAAGAGAGTTGAGACTTAAGCAAGCAGTTTCGCGATATTTTGTTTCTGGCTTTCGTAGATCTGTATACATTTCAAATTTTGTCCAAAATAGTTATTTGTTTTATCAAATTCCTAATTTGTTTTAACAAATTAGTAATCTGTTTATATCAAATTATTAATCTGTTATATCAAATTAGTAATTTGTTATAACAAATTATCAATCTGTTATAACAGATTATTAATCTGTTATAACAAATTAGTAATCCTTTGTATCAAATTATTAGTTTGTTATAACAAATTGATAATTTGTTATAACAAATTACTAATTTGTTTAAACAAATTACTAATTTGTTTAAGCAAATTGATAATTTCTTAAAACAAATTAAAAAAAGATACTGCTGCGGCCCTAATACGCTTCCGTAATTTTCTGGGATATTGATCTTCATAATTTTTTTTTTCAAATCGTCTAGAGAGGGTATAAAGAAGACGCCGAAAAGGGTTAATTTTTCCAAAATTCATAATCTTGAAATTTAATCTTTGGAAGACTTGCATAAACTTTGAATTGATTGAATAGCGCTGAGGAAGAAAAAAAATGTGACGGTAAAATGGATTCGATAGCAGAAAATTGAAGATTGTACCATATGATAGTCCAAGATCAAAATAGCCTTTAGCTTATCATTGTAACGAATAAACTTGATCACAAAATCAAAAGAGAGTTATGACTTAAGCAAACAGTTTCGCGATATTTTGTTTCGAGTAATAACTTGAAAGTTACGCGTTTATTCGCGAAAGTTACGCGTTATATCGCGAAAGCTATGCGTTAATTTGCAAAACTTTCGCGTTATAACACGTAAATTTTATATACCCGTTATGGCCCACCCAACCCCCAAGAGCTGATTTGGACAATTTAAGCTTGAATCTGCACTACCTGTGAATGAGTCTATGTAAATTTGACCAGTCATAGCTTTACTGTTTTTGAGAAGAACATATAATCCTATGTAAAACTTTGATTGGACACTTTGGCCCCACCCTACCCCAATGGGGTCATGGTTTGAACAATCTTGAATCTACACTACTTGATTCCACATGAGTTTCATCTTTCCAGTGGTTCTTGAGAAGAGGATTTTTAAAAGATGCTTTGAAACTTATTTTTACTAAAGCCCTCACATGGGGGGTATGACTGTTGTCAAAAAAAATCATTTTTAATGTTTACAATTGTAGGAAGTTCAGGTATGAAATAATTTAAGAACAGTTTTACGAAACTTATCTAAACATATTAGTTCATTTATATCAGAACTATTCATCAAATCACAATAAAACAACATCATGCCACTATTAATTTTCACTAATTATGCCCCCCCCCCCCTCTTCGAAGAAGGACGGGCATATTACTTTGTTGCTGTCTGTCGGTCCACAATCAGTTTCTGTTTTTTTTAATTTTGCAGAGGTTGCATTGCACGTATTGAAATGCTTGGTATACAGATTTATCTTAAGAATATCTAAGTTAAAATTATATTGGGTACGATCGGACCATTTTGGACAGACTATTATAATGCCCTTTGGAGACGATCGGGCCATTTTGGACAGAGTTATGCCCCTTGGATTTTTATGTCTAAATATTTGGAGGAGGGGGCATAAGTGTTTTACAAACATCTCTTGTTCATAATTATCTCACCTTAGAAGATGGTGTTGGCCTTGACTTCCCCTTTGCCAAAAGATACTTTGTGGCAAGTTTGGTTGAAATTGGTCCACTGGTTCTTGAGAAGACTTAAAGTGGACCAATTTTGATCAGAGAAGCTCAGTTGAGCCTTTGGCTCAGGTGAGCTAAAATGCAGATCATGGATTTTTTTTTTTATTTCAGAATACGTGTATTGTGTCCTGTATTTCTTATAATTAGCGAACAACGGGGAAGTTCTCTAATCTTTTAATTGCAATTGTTTAGTTAACATCGCAATGGAGCTTTCATTAACAATTATCCTAGTACTGTACAGTTTGGTAGTATTTGCTGGTTATGCACCCACCTGGGATTATTGTAGGTGTCGGTGGTGGGATTGGGAAGCCTGGCGTTCGTGTAGTGTGAGTTGTGGGGGAGGATTCAGGCTTCGAATACGATATGTATCAATGTACACCTACTGTCAAAAATTTGAGATGTGTGCTTCCCCTGATATGTATAGAGACGTAGAGAAATGTAATCAGAATTGCTATAATGGAGGGACGTATACAAATAAATGTTTATGTGCAAATGGTTGGAATGGAAAATGTTGTTCGAATGGTAAGTTGCCAAATATAGAAATCTCTAAATATAATTTATTTTAGCTTTTCCTTATTGAATGTTTAAAGACGTTCATACTTTTTTAAACATTGAAACAGAAATAAGATGTGGAGATCCAGGTTCCCTTGATAATGGAGTAGTTCTGGGATCAGAATACACTTACGGGAAAACAGTGAACTATTCTTGTAACAAACATTACAATCTCATAGGCGGATCCCAAATCCGGACTTGTCAGTTGTCCTCGGACTGGAGTGGAATAAAGCCAAGATGTGAATATGAAGAACAGACAACGAAAGGTTTATTTTTTAGATACTGTAAACGTTCTTTTTTTCCACGGGGTCATAATTCCGCGAAATCTCAATTTCTGTTTAATTTACGAGTAGAAAATTACGCGGATTTCCTAGATTGTCACTATATGACTTACATTTATATTTAGTACGCTTGGACAAATTTCGGCGGAAAATTTGTGACCGCGTACATAGCGTAAATTAATACCACGCGGAAAAAGTTCTTCTACAGTAAATTGAAAGATGTACTCTTTTAAAACAAGTCATTTCACATAATGATAATTAATAAAATTAATTCAACATTTAGAAATCACAAGTTAAATAAGTTTATGCTTTTTTTACGCTCTAAAGGACAGATGATACAAACAAACTTTTGTCAAAGAATTTGAAAATAACAACTTAGATCATGTTTAAATGAATAAAATGAATTACTTTCACCGCGCAGTTTTTATTTTTTTATTCAAATTTGCACAGAAATGGAATTTAGAGTGAAAAATATTTGTACAGATTAACAAGGATGGTTTCATAAGGGTAGACTTCTGAACATCACAGAAGGTTTACAATTTCTTTATATTCTAGAAATTTATTATTTGCATCATTTGCAATGAAATTAGGCCAAAAAATATATATCAATCCAGGCATCCATTTTTTTTTTTTTGTATCATCTGTCCTTAAAATGATGCCAGTTAATTAATCATATACATTTACTCGTATTTTACTCCAATTATCGATACTTTACTGACAGTCCGAAACAGTCCTCTATGGATTTGGAATGTCGGTTTAAAAGATTCCAATTTTACGCCCTTCCACAAACGGCCCTTCTTGAACCCTTGAAAGGTAAATAAATAGTTAGGAATAAGAATTAAATGTATGGTTAATTATCGAATATCACTTATAAAGCTGGGAAAAACATCAATCAATAATACCTTAAGTGAGCGACAAAAAAAATCGGCTTTTTTTAGGTTTGTTCAATGCATTTGTAGCTCTCTCTTTTATCTGTCATAATTTTCTTAAGGACGTTCGATCCTGAACTTTTGAGTGGATTTTTGTCATGTCATTTATTTATTAAATTCTGCATCATTTTTAAGTTCTAACATTAAATCTGAATTCTACAATGCAAATTGAACTATATTCAATGAAAAAAAAAGAACGCGATTAAATTCCATTCAAGTAGAATTAAACTAGGGACTATATTTTGTGACGGAAGTTTTTTTTAGACGAAAATGATCAGTTTTTCACTGTTGAAATATAACAGTACTGTTTATTTTGGATTCCTATTTTTCCATACTGGTTGCACACAAAGCTGTTTTTGCAGTGAAATGTGTTATGATGGTTCTGAAATATCTATTGAATTATTTCTTATGAATTTTATCAACAAAGTGGGACAAATATAGTAAATATATTCTGAAAATCCGTGAAAAAATTGAGCCAATTTTAACGTAAAATTGACAATTTTTTAGTAATATCCGAAAATTAACATAATATATTTCCACTTTTGATGTTCTTATCTAGATATTCAAGATAACTTTGACCTATTTGCTTAAATTCAGAAAAAGTTTAAGACTTTAAAATAATTTTCTTGCTTATTTAATTTTCAATGCCAGAAAAATCACATTTTATTAGTGCAGAAAGGTCAAATAATTATGTTCCCCAAACGAAGTTGGGGAACATATTGTTTTTACTCTGTTTCTTCTTCTTATTATTATTATTATTTTTCTTCTTCCTGGGAAAATCTTTTCCGCGAATGATCTTGTAAACTACACATCCGACTAAGGTGAAACCTTTTTAGGGTCAGTAGGCATGTTATGTAGATTTGCGGAACAAAGGTCATTTTGCGCGCACGTGCTTGCAAGAGCGTGCACGTGCAACACGTGAAATGACCAATGTAATAAATATTGCCGTAATTTTTTTAATTTTAGATGAAATGTTTTAAAACTCATAATATAAGGATATATTAGTAGCATAGACAAGATGACGTGGTCAAAATAGCAAGATCTCACCCGCATGCACGTGCGTTTCGCTCTGATTGGCTGAAACTAAAGTCTCAATATCTTTCTTGTTTTTTGATAAAATCCTTTGAAATTTTGAATATAGTCATACATTAGGGAGATCTACAGCCTGATATAAAAGAATTATCATGAAAGAATGTGCATGCACGTGTGCTTGCAAGAGCGCGCACGTGCAACACCAGAAATGTCCAATATAATTGATATAGATGTAACTATTTAATTTTTTAATGAAATAATTTGAAACTTATAATATAAGGATATATTAGAAGCATAGACTAGATGACTTGGTCAAAATAGCAAGATCTCACGCGCATGCACTTGCGCTTTGCTCTGATTGGCTGAAACTAAAGTCTCAATATCTTTCTTGTTTTCCGACAAAATTCTTTGAAATTTTTAACACGGTTATACATTATAAAGATCTACAGCATGGTATATGAGAATTGTCATGAAAAGCATGCGCATGTACTTGTGCTGTAATCTGATTGGCTGAAAATTTAGATGCCTATAACTTTCTTAGTTTTCAACCAAACCGGATAAAATTTAGAATATAAATAGGTATAATGGATTCCTACATAATGGTACTATCAAACTTGAATGCACGAACATTCATTCATGCACCTGCACGCGTGAAATACGCAAAATGGCCAATATTTAAAAAAAAATTGTAAAGAATTTTTTTTTATTTATTCTCACGATATATAGATATGTTAATTGTTTAGGCAACATGCTATGATCATCTTGCATGTACATGCACGTTCGTGCGCGTACAATGCGTTAAATGACATATAGTTGATATCATTGTACCTTTTATAATTCTTTGATGAAATCCTCCGATACTGATAATATTTTTAAAAATGTCTTACAGGAATTAGGCACAAAAAGGGAACTGGGGAGCGTTTGGGGAACATCTGTAACGGTCCCCGTTACAATTAGCACTAGTTGATTATGCGAAGCAATTTGAAACTGTTTCTTAGTTACAATTTTAAAGTATCTTTTTTAAAACAGACTTAGAATTCATTTTGTTTCGTGCTTTAATTGGATAGAAATATTGCTGGGAAATTGTCGAAGATTTATTTTTTAATGTAGACACAAATTTCAGTGCAAAAAGGTCATATTAAATGTACTGTATAGCCAAAAGAAGCATATTGACCCCCATTTTTTGATTTGAATTTTAATTAAGCTATGTATGTAGAAACTAGAAATATACTTGGCAAAAAAAGTTTAAGACTTTAAATATCAGGATCGAACGTCTTTAAGGAGAAAGAAGCTACAGTTCCGCAGCTAGTTGCTACCCAAACTAAGGCCTTCTCACAAGAAATACAATTGTGAAATATGAAAGCACTAGCACGAAGGATAAGTTTTTGAAAGGTAGGTCAAAAAAAGGTCAAGGGGTCAACATTATTGTTGGTTTCTGAAAGAAAGGTCTTGTCACAAGGACTAAATATGCGAAGTATGAGAGCAATAGCCCTAACCGTTCAAAGGTTATGACTAAGTTAAAAGTTTTAAAAATGTAGGTAAAACTCAAAAGTCAAAAGATCAAAGTTCTTGGTTCCAGTGAAATGTGTTATCACAGGGTTTAAATATTTGAAGCTAGACATCCCCATAACCCTTCAAAAGTTATGATCAAGGTTTTTTTTTTTTTTTTAAAGTAGGTAAAATTCCAAGATCAAATGTCTTATGAAAGGTGGGGAGATAGGGCCTTCATACTCCACATATGTTAACCTTGTTACCATACATTTATTTGGAAACCAACAAAATTTTGGCCCCTTGACCTTGACCCTGGAGTTTGACCTACCTTCCGAAAACTTATTCTTGGTCATTACTTATGACGAGGTGATACAGGGCTTTCATATTTCACAATTGTATTTCTTGTAATATGACCTTACTTTGTGTACCAACATACATCTATTTAATTTGCGTTCATGAAAAGTTTAATCTTTGCTATGTTGCCATATGGGGGCATCAGTATTCCAGATATATTACGCCTTTCGTAAAGGCGTTATAACGCCTTTCCATTCAAAAAGGCGTTATTAAACCTTTCTAAAAGGCATTATTACGTCCTTTTAAAAGGCGTTAAGGTAGGATTCTTCTCATATTTCTAATATTTAAAAATTAATGAAATTTTCACAGAATCAAGAAGACAATACCAGTAAGTGATAGTATCAGTGAAATTAAATTTGACCGTTTTATATTAGAGGCAAGGTCAGGTCAAGGTCATTATCTTTTTCCTTGACATTAAGAATAAAAAATAACTGTTGCCAATCATGTGATACCTACTTCTATTTCAAAAGTTTAATGATTGTTCTTTTTGCATAAAAACATATTACTATATCGGGTCTATAGCAAGATATTACCAAATTTACACAAAAATTAATAATTTAACTTAACTGGATATTGGCTAATCCGAATTTTCTCTGTTTTTCTTAATTTTTTAGGATATATTAGTTATTTTCATATGCTTCCTATATTTAACTTTTTCTTATTTTCACATATAATAAAGTAGTCTTATAAATGTACAAAATGATACAAAAACAAAAAGTTTTTATCGTTTACTAAGAAAAAAAAAATACTTTTTATTGATTTTTGGCTCAAATCTGCACTTTGTTAGGAAGCGTTTAAAAGCTAATAAATTTCTAGTTTGTTTGAAAAATCATATTTATTTGATATATTTTGGAACTTTAGTACCTCATTATTAATCTAACTTACATTTGAAAATTTCTCGAAGACTTCGATTGTGTAAAATTTATAACTAAATTCATTGTTCTATTATAATTTTGAGAGACAGAAAAGAAGATATTTTCATACGCCACCATTCCGCCAAAAATATAGTCCCTGATAGTTTTCAAACGCAGTTTACCATTTCTATTTAAAGTTGTACAATTGTGATGAGGAAAGAAAAATATGATCTTTTAAATTCCTTACACCTCAATATATAAGACACATAAGCAAATCTACTTTGAGTGTTTCATCTAGACAGAAACCAGAGAAGAATCCTACCTTAATTCGCCTTTCTATTCCAAAAGGCGTTATAACACCTTTTAGAAAGGCCTTAATTCAGTTAGTAATGGTAATGGAAATAAAAGGTGTAATAACGCCTTTTGGAAAGGCATAATAACGTCTTTTAGAAAGGCGAAATAACACCTTTTGGAAAGGCGATATATGGCCTTTTAGAATGGAAAGGCTTAATAACGCCCTTTGAAAAGGCGTAATAATGCCTTTTTGAATGGAAAGGCGTTATAATGCCTAAAATGTAATAACGCCCTTTGAAAAGGCGTAATAATGCCTTTTTAAATGGAAAGGCGTTATAACGCCTAAAATGTAATAACGCCCTTTAGAAAGGCGTAAAAACGCCTTTTGGAAAGGCGTAATAACGCCTTTTAAATTTTTTTTCTCTCTTTTGATTGATCTTAAATAGGCTTTCTTATTGAATACTAGTCCTTTTCACACAATTATTTCACCCGGCTCCCATAATTTTTAATCCATTAATTTCATCTTTACGAATACCTTAAAATAATTTTACTTTCCTCTTCGTATATCCCCCCCAGCGTTGGATGACCGTCCGTCTGTTACATTTTGGTGTTTTCTATAGTTTATCAGCATTTATATACAACCATTTTGCATGGCATATATTGTACTCAAACATTTGTAACCTTCTAAATTTCTCAGTTTATATTTCTTAATGCTCTAGACTTTTCACATCGCCGCAAAACCAGCGGTCGCTCAACATGAAAAGTAATGAAACCTAATGTTGAAATCTAAAAGTGTAATTGAATTTAGAACCATTCCCAAGTAAGCTTGGACTTTCGGTAAGGCGTGGCATTCTCGGCGCTTCGTAATTAGCATTTGTCAAATGGCGAATAGGTTCTCATTGGTTAAGAAATTAATAACATCGGGAACTTTAAATTGTTGTTGACAACGATGAAACAACTTAAGCTCCACCTCTTTGCCGGACGAGCCAGTGTTATCGGTTATGCGGTACACTAATTGGCATGTGCCCGAATTTCTACCCCATGTATATTTCAACAGTGAAGGAAAGCTGTGTAATTTTCAGAATATGTAATTGAGAATGCCACGCCTTACTAAAAGTCCAAGCTTAACTGGTAATTGTCCTATCTAACCTTTTTTTTTAGCAGACCTAAGTAAAAATAGACAACGGAGAGTACTTAAAGGTATGCCTTCTTTCTTAAAAAATGCGACAAAATCAAGGACTGTAATGTTTAAATTATATGTCGAAACAAAATAAGATGCACATACATGTATATTTAAAATGTCATTGATTTACATGTACACAGTAAATATCAACTTCAAGAAAATAATCGATATTGATCACATAAACGTAAATTCACCTCATGCAGTTGTTTTACTGACAGTTTAATGAATTCAGTGGGTTTCTTTCTCTCAAAATGGGAGAAACTTAAGAGAGAGAGGGGGGGATTTTGTTGAAACTTTAACGCCTGCTGGCTTTGGGTCACAAGGTTTCGTGTTTTTTTTGGGAGGGGGGGATTTTTTTGTTGTTTTGGTGTGTGTTTTTGTTTTTGCATTTATGCCTACTTCAACTCGGAGTGGAACTAAGTAAGTTGTAAAGAACTTGTTTCCAATTCTTTTGCTTAAATCAATGATATATGTTAAAAACAACTCAGATACGTTTAAATCTGTAAAAGATAGCGAAAAATCTACAAGAATTTCGTTTACCTGGAGATAAGTTAAAATATCAAGTGAGCACGTTGAAGTACAAAATTTGATTAATGATGTGACAGAGATACATGTATCTTGCACCTATATCTTCAAGACTGCAAATCTGAACGAAAGTGTGATATACTCAAAAAGAAGATTAAGGTGAGACATTTTTATTTTCTGTGAGACAAAGAAAGTTTTATCTCAGAATAATTAATATAAGAAACACAAAATATATTTAGAAAATATAAATTGTATTTTAATCTACTTCGTCCAATGGAATTTCATATATACTTATGCAGATGACTTCGGGCATTTAAAATATATCTCTTTGTCGTGATTTGTTGATTGTACTTTGAAAATAATTATTATAAATTATGATTGAATATTTCCAATCTTTCTGATTAGCGGAGATCATGCCATGTAAGTCTACGATATATTCACCTGCACTTAACATTCCAGGTGAATATTATACAATTATTGTTGTTTCTTGAGGTCAATACAATGATTTAGCCATCTGAGGAGTACAATATTCACCAAGCCCGAAGGGCGAGGTGAATATTGTACTTTGAAGATGGCTTAATCATTGTATTGATCGAAAAAACAGCAATAGTTGTTTTATTACATGATTCACTGATAAAATTATACAGCTCATTACTTGTTTGCACTAAATTAATTAAGTCCTAGCCAAATACAAGAGAGAAGCAGAATTAAAATGTGCATAAAACTTACCAGTCATATCAATTTGAAATGTTTTTTTAATCAATTTTAGTTGACATGAAAAAATATAATGTCAGTCTTTTTTTTATAGGATAGATTTTGAAAGGAAGGAGTATTATCAGGGAAAATTAAACTGACTTCCAAAAAGTAAAAAAAAATTGTTGTTCAGTAAAAGTGTTGGAGGGGGTCCTGCATCCCCACTTACCACCCTCACCCGAAAATATATATTCGCTTGTGTTTTGTTCACATGAAAAAAAAAATCATAGTCGTTTAAATAGCTTTCCAAAACAATTTGTATCAATTTGGAATTTCCCAATCTACCTTTTTGTCAGCTGTCAGTTTTCACTGATAAACCTCCATCTTTCAAAATATATATACTGAGTATCCTATAAAAGAGCCTCACATATATATTTTTTTCAAATTAATACGACTGGTAATGTGTATTTATATTGTAACTTTGCTTCTCTCTCAGTTATTGGCTAGAACTTCAATAAATGCAAACAAGAAATGAGATCATTTTATCATTGAATCATATATAATTCCATTCAATTCACTTTATTGACAATTACCATGTCGGCATACAGTCATGAACATGAATAACATAACATAAATTAACACAATTAATACAAGCATATACAAAGTGAGAAATATGAGGTGAACAAAATTGTGTACTTCTCAATATTAATATTCATTTTTGACTTTCTTTTCTTGAGTCAAAGCACTTTTTCAAGAAACAACATATCCTTGTAGCAGATGAAATATTTGTAGGATTGACAATTTTTTTAATGGGGTTATCACTAGTATATGTGTTTACATTAAATATATCATTATATATATATATATATATATATATATATATATATATATATATATATAAAAAAGAATAATTTCTAGGAGGGGGGGGGGGTCGGTCAATACAATGATTTAGCCACATTCGAAGTACAATATTCACCTCGCCTTTAATTTCCAGCTCGGTGAATATCATGCTCCTCAGGTACAACAGCAATAATTGTATATTATGTCACTTTTCATTTTGAAATATTACTTGAATCCTCAAAGGAAGGAAATACTTATTTACCAGATTGTTGTTTCAATGTCTTATATTTGTTTGTTGTATTTTTATAAGTCAAATGGGATATCTGGACGAGGCATATGATATATCAAAACCTATCAACCACATCTCCAGAGATCCTACATACTACGTGAATCGTACAAGCTATCAAGGTATTCAGTGCGACTGTTTTATGCCCCTGTAATCGAAGATTTGGGGGTATATAATTTTTACCATGTCTGCATCTGTCTAGGTGTCTGTTTGTTTGCAAAACTTTCATCTTTCCCATAACTTTTGATTAGTGGAGCTATGACTTTCATATTTCACAAGTATATTCCTTGTGTCAAGACCTTTCTTTGGGTTACCAAAAAATTGACCTCTTGACTTTGACCTTGGAGTTTGGTGCACTTTTGCAAAAATAAAATTACCAAAATTTAACCTTGGTCCTAACATTTTAACAGTTGGTGCTTGGGCTTTCAGGCTTTAGATGTATATTCATTGTGACAATGCCTTTTTATGGATATAAATTATTACATGTATAAATATTTTTTGCCTTTTGACCCTGACCTTAGAGTTTGACTGAAGTATTTTTTTTTTAAATCTTCAATCTTGGATGTATTTTTAAACAATTTGTACCAGGGCTTTCATATTGCACAGGTATATTCCTTGTGGCAGGACCTTCTTTTGGATACCAAGGAATTACCTTTGAAAAAACTTTAACCTTAACTTGACTATAACTTTTGTACAGTCTGTGCTAGGGCTTTAATATTTCACAATAGTGTTTCTTATGACAAGGCCTTCCCCATTGTATATTTAATTCGAACCTTTGACATTGACCTTTGACCAAATTTAAGATGCTTTAACCTTGGCCCTAACTTTTGAATGGTTGGTACTTGGACTTTAATATTTCAAAGACCAGTATATTCTTTGAGAAAAGTCCTCTTTTTGGTAACATTTTTATCCCTTGCAATTTGAGTTTGACTTTCATTTGAGAAACTTTTAACCTTCCCAAGACAGCTGCAATATGGAGGCCTTGTAATTGAAGATTTAGGGGTATATATTTTTTGCCCTGTCCGTTTGTTTGTCTGTTTGTCTGCCAAACCCTTTAAACGTATCCATAACTTGTGAATGGGTGGGGCTATGCTTTCATATTTCACAGGAGTATTCCTTGTGACAAGACCTTTCTTTTGGTACCACCAAATTTGACCTTGACTTTAGAGTTTTACCCTCTTTACCAAAAAATTTCTAAACATTAACTATAGTCATAACTTTTGAATAGTAGGTACTATAAAGGCGTTCATACTTCACATGTGTATTCTCTTGACAAGACCTTTCAATGGGTATAATGATATTTAAGCTTAGAGTTTGACATATTTTTTTAAAACTTTAACCTTGATCATATTTTTTTAACCTTTAGTGATAGGGCTTTCATATTTCACAGGTATATTTCTTGTGACAAGACCTTACTTTGGATACCAACAATTTTGACCAGAGTTTGACCCACTTAAACAAAGGGCCCATGGGCCATGGGCCACATCACTCACCTGAGAAGCTTTGACCATTTTGTTCTTCACCAGATTTCCCCCTTGTAATACATATTGTGACCCCACCCTACCCCACTTATCATAATTTAGACAATTTGAAATCTACATTAACCCAGAAAAGTTTCAGCTTTTCTGGTCCAGTGGTTCTTGAGGAGAGGATTTTTAAAGATTTTTCCTATATACTGTATTTCTATGTAAAAATTTGATTCCCCATTGTGGCCCAACCCTACCCCCGAGTTTGATGATTTGAACAATTTAAAATCTACACTATCCCAGGATGCTTCCACATAAGTTTCAGCTTTTCTGGCTCTGTGTTTTTTTAGAAGAAGATTTTTAAAGATTTTTCTTATATATTTCTATGTAAAACTTTGATTCCACATTGTGGCCCCACCCTACCCCCAGGGGGTCATGATTAGTATAATTTAGAATCTACACTTTCCTGGAATGCTTCCACATAAGTTTCAGCTTTTCTTGCTCTGTGGTTTTTGAGAAGAAGATTTTTCCTATTTATTTCTATATAAAACTTGGATTCCCCATTGTGGCCCCGCCCAACCCCTGGGGTCATGATTTGAACAATTTAGAATCTACACTACCCCAGGACGCTTCCACAAAAGTTTCAGCTTTTCTGGCCAAGTGGTTCTTGAGAAGAATATTTTTAAAGATTTTTCCAATGTATTTCTATGTAAAACTTTGATTCCCCATTGTGGCCCCGCCCAACCCCTGGGCATCATGATTTGGACAATTTAGAATCTACACTTTCCTGGGATGCTTCCATATAAGTTTCAGCTTTTCTGGCCCTGTGGTTCTTGAGAAGGAAGATTTTTTAATGACCCCACCCTATTTTTGTCTTTTCTTTATTATCTCCCCTTGTGAGGGGACTTGGCCCTTCATTTTTACAATTTCAATTTCCCTTTATTCAAGGATGCTCTGCATTAAGTTTGGTCAAAATTGGCTAAGTGGTTCTTGAGAAGAAGTCGAAAATGTGAAAAGTTTACAGACGGGCAGACAGACAGACGGACGGACAAAATGTGTCCAGAAAAAAACTTTTACCATGACCATGAACCCTTGGTACCAGGGTTTTCATATTTCAACCCTCATCATAAGATATGCCATTAAGAAGCATCAGTGTTTCACAAACACATCTTGTATTATTTTTATAATGTCAATATTTTCTAAGTTATATTAATTTAAGCAAGATTATATTTTTGAATAATTTTAAATATTTTGAAAGAAAGAATACCAGAAAGGATGGATAGTTTTAATCAGCTCTTACTAGTTGATCACTGTTTCCTGTATAACATGAGAAATCAGATATCAAGCATATTTCTGATTACAAGTATTTGTAAAGTAATCAATTACTCTGAAAAAAAAAGTCATGTACTCATGATTACTTTTTATTATAATGGTAATCAGAAGTCTCTGTCAAGACTGTAGCTTTACTGGTTTCTACTTCTAATAAAGGAAGAGTAAAGGTAGCAGTTGGGACTTAAACTTTACAAAAACATTAAATAGAATAATGATCCAATATTAAGTCTCTTTCTGTGGCAAGATTGCAACAAGACTACAACTGTAGGAGTAGCTTTTCACAAAATTTTACAGAATTTTTAATTAAAATTACTTATCTTAGTGTAGTCTACTTGTGTGCCAAGTCATATTGAAATCAGATCAAAACTGTAGGAGGAGTAGCATTTTGAGTGCATTTCAAAGAAATTTCTATTTTTAGTAACCACAACAACACCGAAATCGAAATCAAAAACTGATATACAGAATTATGTATCTTAGAGTAGCCTACTTGAGTGCCAAGTTATATTGAAATCACACTGAAACTAAAGGAGGAGTAGCATTTTGAAAAATTGTTTACAGACAGACAGATGGATAGACAGACGACATTACTATTGCATAGGCTGTTCTGGTCTCTGACCAGTAGAGCTAAAAATGTGCTTAAAATCATATTCTTTGATGATGTTCATGAAATGTTTTTCAGTTGACAAATTACATATAGTAATAATAATATAATATTCTTCAAAGGAATATATAGTTAATCACAGTTATTCAAGTGTAGTGTGGTAATAACTTTCCAGCTTTTGTTATTTTTCTTACACCACATTGGTCAGGAAATATGAACTTTATGCATTCCATTACAATTTACATGATTTATAGGATAACATTTTTTACTTAAAATACAAATATATACAGTGTAAAATGACAGGGTTCTTGAAATAATTACTTATTCCATCTTCTAAATCTGAAACTAAAACAAAGGTAGAATTATGTAACTTACAGTCTGTTGATTTATTATTGACTTTTGTTGTATATAAAAGAGAGAAAACATAATTGTATGCTTTTTTTTCAAATATTGCATTTATTTTTTAGCTAACTCGAGCGGAAGCCTCAAGTGAATTTTCTGATCAAAAACGGTCTTTCCTCAAAGGGGGGGGGGGGGGGGTAATTGAGAATTCTTGAAAATTTGATGGCATCTTTTAAGAATCTTCTTCTCAAAAACCATTGGGCAAAAAGATAAAATTTATGTGAAAGCATCATTACATACTTGAAATCAAAGTTATTTTCATATCATAACCCCCCTAGAAAAAGGGCTGGGCCACAAGAGGGAGTCACATTTTTTTTAGGAATATATTTGAAATGTTTTATTTCTCTGACAAAGAATCAGATTGAAATATTACAGCCTCTTTTCCAATCATTCAGAAAATATTGCTAAGGTTTTTCAAAAGTTGGTCAAACTCAAAGTTCAAGGTCTAAGAGTCAAAATTGTTGATACCCAAGGGAAGGACTAAATTTGACCTTGAACTTGGAGGTTTGAATCTATTTTTTTTTTTTTTTTTTTTTACAGTTTTTACATGTAATCTGGCCTGGTAGTTCTTGAGAAGTTCTTAATAATCTCCCATCTTCTGAACAAACTTCAAATCAATTCACCCATGGATGCTTTGTGCAAGGTTTGATTGAAAGTGGCCCAGTGATTCTGGGGCAGATAATGTAAAATGAGAAAAGTTTACAATAAAAATGATGACTATTAAAACAACAGACAAAAAAATAAATTATGACCCAAAAATCTCATCTGAGCTAAAATTTGAACCCATGTAGAATCAATAAAATTTGATACATGTAATCTCTAACATCATAATCACAATACATGTATAACAAATGAAGAAACATTTTGTTTATAAATTCATAATTCATTAGTCTTTTCACAATAACTGCAGTACATGTACTGTTCTTTGCAGGGCAAAATGCATCCTCGCAAGCCAGGGGTTCTGGGTCAACACGTTGCCGTTGGACCCCTGGCATATTTCATTCAATATTTGTTGGCTGACTGTAGCAACATCTTTCTAAAAAATTAGAAATCTTCTGATCTCTCAAGTTCAAGTTCATTTATTCACTCACCTTTGAAATGCATCGTACATGAGGACAATGAGAAATATTTACAGCAATATTTACAACAATCACATTAGACCATTCTGTAATAAACAACTTGTTACATTTGCATGTGCATTCAGGTGTCAACTGAATCCTTATGTAACTATTTATGAAAGTTTTAATTTGATTGGTGCTTCTCAATGAGAGAAACAAGCTCACAAATATTGAATGAAATATGCTAGGGGTCCAACAGCAACATGTTGACTCAGGACCCCTGGTGTGCGAGGATGGGCAAAATGATTTATTATCAATCAACAAAAACTTTGCCAAATATTATTAATATGCCCTGCAAAAGAATGGAACCAAATTTATTGTGATAGGACTATTTCATATGAAAATTTGTATTGTTAATTTCAAGAATCATGACTAATTAGATGCTTGAGTTTATCTCTCCATTCCTCCTCTGAGATATCACTGGCCCACTGTGGAATGTTACTCTCTGGAAGTTTCACTGAAGTCATTGTCTGTTTGATTTGTTCAGATTGGACCTCACTTATCTGAATGTCTCTGTTCACTTGCTGGTTCCACAAAAGTTCCCCTGGAGAGGGTCTAGGTAAATCAGGGACCTGAAACACAAAGTTATCTCATTATTCTTCATGAAGATAATTATTTTCAACCTACCAGGGATAAATATCAATGCTGGTTAGGTTAAATAATTTGTTGGATTGCAAGATAACAGTATTCAAAGTTATTTTTTTAACCTTTAAGTGGTGTGTGTTAAAAAAATTCATTTGGATTTTTTTTTGGGGGGGGGGGTTGTAATAAAGAACATCTTGTTCAACTTCTGTGGTATCCTTACCACATTTAAAACCAATATGGCCATGTTCATGTATGATTTTTTCATGAACATCTGAAAATGCGAACATTATGTACCTGTCATGACAATCACCACAACTGTGATATCCTAAGTTGAACTAAAATATTTTTTTTTCACTGACAAAGTTTACACCACTTTCATAACACTTGATTGATTCATATCTATTAGACAGAAAATTTCCAGAAATAAAGTTTTTATTAATAATCAATAAAAAATGATTATAGTAATTTATCAAGACTAAGTCATCATACTGAATATTTAATTAAATATACCATTGAAAAGTTTAAATGTATGCACGTACACAGTAAAACTTTTTGTTAATATAATACCTTCATATAAGATGGTGTGTTTCCCCCAGCAGTATGCAGTCCTGACGGAAGTCTGCATGCTTCATCAGCCGCAGTACTCCTTTCTAACTCAGTATCAACTGTCACTCCACTACTAGATCTTACTCCACCTGGATCCACTGCCACTCCACCTGAGTCCACTGTAATACCTGATACTACATCTTCTGGATAATCCTCGTCATCAGAGTCTGCCGTGGACTGCTGCAGCATCTGGTAGCCATTGTTTCCGAATTCTTCCTCTCCTTCCTCGCTATCAGAACTGTCCACTACGATCATCTGATCAGGGACGTCCAGGACATCAACATCTTCCTCTCCTGTGTTTGGTTTATCATTGTCATCAGCTTTGGGTATTGGTGCCATGTAATTCTCCAAACCTCTGTGAAGTTTAGAAGGGAAATCGTAAAAAAAGTTCTATCTATTGTAGTAATGATAAGATTAATTTCGGGAATCTGAAGTTCTATTGATTTATTTTCTATTTTATTGAACACCCTCTAGAGTCTCCTTTCTTTTGTTATTTATTAATAAATTCTTTTGTTCCAAATATAATACAAGAGGCCCAGGGGCCACAGCGCTCACCTGAGCACATCAGCCAGGAAAAAACACATATCAGATCAGAACTGAAAGTTAATTTAAGTTGGGGGGGGGGGGGGAACCCCCAAGGGGATCATAATTTGAACGAACTAGAATCTACATTACCTGAGGATGATTCCATACAAATATTACTAATCCTGGCTTTGAAGTACTTGAAAAGAAGATTTAAAAAGGTTTCCCTATATATTTCTATGTAAAACTTTGGTAAAACTATGTAAAAACCCTTACCCCGGGGTCATGACTTGAACAAACTTGAATCTACACTACCTGAGGATGATTCCACATGAGTTTCATCTTTCCTGGCCCAGTAGTTCATGAGAAGAAGATTTATAAAGATTTTTCTTATATATTCTTATGTAAAACTTTGATCGGCCATTTTGGCCCCACCCTACCCCTATGGGATCATGATTGGAACAAACTTGAATCTACACTACATGAGAATAATTTCACATGAGATTCATCTTTCCTGTCTCAATGGTTCTTGAGAAGAAGATTTTTAAAGATTTTTCCTATATATTCCTATGTAAAACTTTGATCGGCCATTTTGGCCCCGCCCTACCCTCGGGGGTCATGACTTGAACAAACTTGAATCTACACTACCTGAGGATGATACCACATGAGTTTCATTTTTTCTGGCCCAGTGGTTCTTGAGAAAGAAATTTTTAAAGATTTTTCCTATATATTCCTATGTAAAACTTTGATCGGCCATTTTGGCCCCGCCCTACCCCCGGGGGTCATGACTTGAACAAATTTGAATCTACACTACCTGAGGATGATTCCACATGAGTTTCATCTTTCCTGTTTCAATGGTTCTTGAGAAGAAGATTTTGAAATATTTTTCCTATATATTCCTATGTAAAACTTTGATCGGCCATTTTGGCCCCGCCCTACCCCCGGGGGTCATGACTTGAACAAACTTGAATCTACACTACCTGAGGATGATACCACATGAGTTTCATATCTCCTGTTTCAATGGTTCTTGAGAAGAAGATTTTGAAAGATTTTTCCTATATATTCCTATGTGAAACTTTGATCGGCCATTTTGGCCCCGCCCTACCCCCGGGGGTCATGACTTGAACAAACTTGAATCTACACTACCTGAGGATGATTCCACATGAGTTTCATCTTTCCTGGCCCAGTGGTTCTTGAGAAGAACTATATATTCCTATGTAAAACTTTGATCAGCCATTTTGGCCCCGCCCTAACCTCGGGGGTCATGACTTGAACAAACTTGAATCTACACTACCTGAGGATGATTCCACATGAGTTTCATCTTTCCTGGCCCAGTGGTTCTTGAGAAGAAGATTTTGAAAGATTTTTCCTATATATTCCTATGTAAAAATTTGATCGGCCATTTTGGCCCCGCCCTACCCCCGGGGGTCATGACTTGAACAAACTTGAATCTACACTACCTGAGGATGATACCACATAAGTTTCATTTTTCCTGGCCCAGTGGTTTTTGAGAAGAAGATTTATAAAGATTTTTCCTATATATTCCTATGTAAAACTTTGATCGGCCATTTTGGCCCCGCCCTAACCCCGGGGGTCATGACTTGAACAAACTTGAATCTACACTACCTGAGGATGATTCCACATGAGTTTCATCTTTCCTGGCCCAGTGGTTCTTGAGAAGATTTATTAAAAATGCCAAAATTAAAAAAAAAATTTCTGTAAATCATAATTATCTCCCCTTGGAAAAGGGTGTGGCCCTTCATTTGAACAAATTTGATTCCCCTCTACCCAAAAATACTTTGTGGCAGGTTTGGTTGAAATTGGCCAAGTGGTTCTTGAGAAGAAGTCGAAAATGTGAAAAGTTTACAACAACGACGACAACGACAACAACGACAACAACGACTACAACGACGACAGACAACGGACAAATTTTGATCAGAAAAGCTCACTTGAGCCTTCGGCTCAGGTGAGCTAATAAAGCAGTGAATTATTTCAATCAGGGCCTTTCTTTGTTGGTCTAAGGATCACGCTTTCCTCTCTCCCTCTTTTGGTATGATTTAACAGGTAATTTATTTCTAACTTAATTTTCTATTTTCCTGAAATTACGTATTTATTTCATTTTGATACTTATAAACCTTTGTTATCTTTCTTTTTATTTTGATGTTATTATAGGCGATAAGTAAAATCAATGGACCAGGGTTGATCCATGGACACTGGAAGTAAACAAAAATATTTAGGTATTGAGTATGTGCATGTATAAAAATAAACATGCAAATACATGCACATACTCAATATCAACATTAACTTCCAGTGTCCCTGGGTTGATCAATTGATAAGAACGCACTGCTTAATGCTTACATTAGTTAGAGTAATCTAACTGTGTCTCGGGAAAAGCCAAACCAGGTCCATAGGACATTTATCATTTTAATGATGGAACATTCTATCTACAGCTTACATCACAGGGGCTTGTCACGAAATATTTATGTTCTTTTAATATAGTTACCTTACTATATTAAAAGAAGATAAATATTTCGTGACAAGCCCCTGTGCTTACATTAGTCATTACACATCTCTAATAAATTAACAATTAAATAATAACATATACTTAATCTTACTGAAACATATTCCTCCACCAAAACACTATACTTTGTTATTTTTCATTCTCTTTTAATATATCAAAAGACATAAAGCAATAAGATTTACCTTAATTTAATTTGTTATTTGTCACCAGATTCTAAAATGAAAGTACGTTTTTGCAATCAACTCGTTCCAAATATATTCCTTTTGGTCGGTTGGTAAAATGTTATTAATCGGTGTCTTATCATTAATCTTTAATATTAATTTTAAGGGGAATATTGGTGTACTCTTTAAAGTAGTATCATTTTAAAGAAGATTATATGAAAATTATGACCAAAAAATAGTACCGGAAGTCTTGTCACGAAATTTCTGTGATAGCATGAAGAAGTAAACATGGGTCATGTCTTAAAAATTTTAGAGGTATTAAGTATTTTTATACAATATTCACACGAAACATCAGTTTTAGATTTTGTCATTAAGTCAAGAATAGTAGCTTTTTCCCATTTTAAAATAGTTTCTATATTGACCATCTTGGTAATTTTGTTTTTGAACGTAAATCCCCAAAAATGAAGAGGAAATTCAAGTTTGTGCAGATTGATTGAGAGCTCTTTTTTCTTATTATGACAGCTGGGAAAAGCAATACGGTTAGTTTCATCTGAAATAAACAAAACTTTGTGCAAGCGATGTCAAAACAACGTACTTCACAAAAGGTGAGAAGTCTTGTCTTTAAGTTTAACTGGTTGGTTATGAAAAATAAAATCTTATGTATTTCCGATTATTAATGAATTTGTTCTTTTTGACAGGAGTTGGTTCACAACGGGTTCAAAGCTATTTGGTGTATGGGAACCAGATGGCCTGGTAAGTAGTTGTCAAACCTAGACAATCGTACAATGGTCTTGTATTTTGCTTTTTATCCTAAAAATTACTTTAATTAAATAAATTGAACTTACGTGAAAAAGATGGCATTTCAGCAAATGCTTGTGCAGCATTACACACTGTGTAAATCTGCAGTTTTACAGGAATATATATTTGTAAGAATTAGAAATTCTGATTTGTGTCTTCTTTGTCTCGGACAAATGATTTAATCTGTAAACATCTGTGATAGGGGGATTATTTGTCATATTTAAAACAGCATAGCTATTCCTTATGTGAAGCATTGTCAGGCAATGTGAGATTATTGAGATTTTTTTTTTTCATTTTTAATCCACCAAAAATTTTGCCTTTTTCTAGATATGAAAGATGAATATTAGTAATTGAAATGCAAGGATAGATGAAATCAAATTTGCCCCAAAATTGTAATTTTAGTAATAATTTTGTAGTTTTACAGATAAAAATTTTCAGAGCATGCTTTTTTAATATGTATATCACCTGAAACAATCCCAAAACACATAAGTAATTGAGTTCTACCAAATATTTATATCCCCCACTTGAAAAGTGGGAGGGTACATAGTAATCTGTATATCCGTCTGTCTGTATGTCTGTCTGTTAAGCTTTGGGGTACCCATCTCTTGTCCATAACTCGTCTTATACCACTGAGTGAAATTTAATGAAACTTTCACAGAATCTTTATTACATATTGCCATTGTGCATTTCCTATTTTACTTTTTGATCTGACACATATTTTGGGTTTCCCGGCCACAGCAAAACAATGGACTTTGCCATTATAACCATATGGGAGACGGGGGTATCATTTAGTGAGCTCATTGCTCACAATACCTCTAGTTTAAGAAAGGGAGTTGAATTTTTGTACTTGAAGAAATAAATAGATTCTTCATACCTAATAATGGAGACTTGCAAATCAATGCATTTACATGTAGCTAGAAAAGAGCTTTGAATATGTTTATAGCATTGTTATTTCAGGATGAGCCTAAGGTAGGAGAGTATAAGAAGATTGACATACAGCTAACAGGATATGATTTTGTTGTGCTGGAATCTTTCTGTAAATTTGTAAAGTCAGTCAGATATACAATGGATCTAGACATGAAAACGTAAGTCATAATTTGATGCATACTCAAACCTTTGTTATTATACCCCCACTCCAAAGGAGAGGGGGGTATACTGTTTTACCCTTGTGTGTGTGTCTGTCTGTCTGTCCGTGTAGCTGTGTGTCCGTGCGTCCGTCTGTAACAAATTTTCGTCGCAGTTTTCTCAGCAACTACTCATCGTAGGACGTAGATGCTTGAAATTTTAACACAATCTTCTCTGAGGCATGCCATATGGTGGGAAACATTTTCGATCAAATCCGATGTCAACTTCCTGTTTGTCTGTGCATCTGTCTGTTTCATACATAACAAATTTTCGTCGCAGTTTTCTCAGCAACTACTCATCGAAGATGCTTGAAATTTTAATACAATCTTCTCTGAGGCATGCTATATGGTGGGATACATTTTCGCTCAAATCCAATATCAACTTCCTGTTTGTCTGTGCATCTGTCCGTTTCATACATAACAAATTTTCGTCGCAGTTTTCTCTGCAACTACTCATTGTAGATGTTTGAAATTTTAACACAATCTTCTCTGAGGTATGCCATATGTTGGGATACATTTTTGTTCAAATTGGATATCAACTTCCTGTTTGTCTGTGCATCTGTCCATTTCATACATAACAAATCTTCGTCGCAGTTTTCTCATTAGCTATTCATAGCGGATGCTTGAAATTTTATTACACTCTTTGTTGAGGCATGCCATATGGTGGGATTAATTTTGATATGAATCTGATGTCAACTTTATATTTTTTAGCTCTTCTGAGCCAAAGGCTCAAAGAGCTAATGCTATGGCCATTTGTGCGGTGTGCGGTGTGCGTTAACTTTTTAGAATATGGGCCATAACTCAAGAACCCCTTGGCCAATCAGTACCAAATTTGTCACAGGGTATCCTTGGCCCAAGGGCTACCATTTGTACTAAAATAAGGGTTGGGACCCTAAAACAAGGGGAGATAATCAGGAAAACAAAACCAAAAGTACTGGTTGCTAAAAAATCTTCTTCTCCAGAACCACCAGGCAGATTTTCACCAAACTTACATACAAGGATCAGGATATGTTGAAGATTAAAAATTGTTCAAGGCATGACCCTGGGGCAAAGGGCGTGGTCTCAAGGTCACTTCAAAGTTGACCTAAATTTACAATTAATAAAAACGTGTATATTTTTCTTACTATAAGGACTAGAATCATCAAATCTTGTAAGTTGATGCATCTTACGACTTCACATCATGTTAACTCAAAAGTAGGTCAAGGTGACCTACTTTTTAAATTTTGCGGGGATTTGTTTTCAAATTGATTTGAAGGCATATTTTGGACACTTTAAGGCCTATGATCATCAAACTTTGTCAGTTGATGCATCTTGGGTCCTTGAACAATGTAAACTTAAAAGTAGGTCACTGTGACCTACTTTTTGAACTTTATGACTTATCCTTTTAAAAACATTAAATCCCATTATTTCAGACACTGGGAGGTTTAGAATCATCAAATCTTGTACTTTGATGCATCTAGGGACTTTAAAACATATTTATAACAAAGTAGGTCACTGTGACCTACTTTTTAAATTTTGCCGACATTTGTTTTCAAATTGTTTAAAATGCATATTTTGATTACCTTCAGACCTACGATCATCAAACTTGATCAGTAGATGCATCTTGGGTCTTTGAAAAATGTCAACCAAAATGTAGGTCACGATGACCTACTTTCGACATTTTATGGCTATATTTCAGTATCTTAGGCATTTATTGGCTTAGAATCATCAAACTTTGTGAGTGGATGCATATTTAGTTTTCGGAGAGTGATGACCAAAAAGTAGGTCATGGTGACCTACTTTTGACATTTTATGGCTTTATTTAAGTATCTCTGGTACTTATTGGCTTAGAATCATCAAACTTTGTGAGTTGATGCATCTTGGGTTTTCTGAGAGTGACGACCAAAAAGTAGGTCATTGTGACCTACTTTTGACATTTTGTGGCTATATTTAATAATCTCCGGTACTTATTGGCTTAGAATCATCAAACTTTGTGAGTTGATGCATCTTGGGTTTTCTGAGAGTGACGACCAAAAAGTAGGTCATAGTGACCTACTTTTGACATTTTGTGGCTATAATTAAGTATCTCTGGTACTTATTGACCTAAAATCATCAAACTTTGTCAGATGATGCATCTTGGGTTTTCGGAGAATGTCGACCAAAAAGTAGGTCACAGTGACCTACTTTTGAATATCTCAGGTACGTATTAGCTTAGAATCATCAAACTTTGTCAGTTTAGGCACCTTGGGTTTTCGGAGAACGTCGACCAAAAAGTAGGTCACTGTGACCTACTTTTGACATTTTTTGGCTATATTTGATTATATCTGGTACTTATTGGCTCGGAATCATCAAACTTTGTCAGTTGAGGCATCTTACGGTTTTATTGAATGTCCAACAAGATGTAGGTCACGGTGACCTACTTTTGAATATCTCAGGTACTTATTGGCTTAGAATCAGCAAATTTTCTCAGTTTAGGCATCTTGGATGTTTGGATAACGTCGTCCAAAAAGTAGGTCACTGTGACCTACTTTTGACATTTGATGGCTATATTTAATTATCTCTGGAACTAATTGGCTTAGAATTGTCAAACTTTGTCAGATGATGCATCTTGGGTTTTCAGAGAATGTTGACCAAAAAGTAGGTCATGGTGACCTACTTTTGAATATCTCAGGTACTTATTTAATTAGAATCATCAGTCTTTGTCAATTAATGTATCTTGAGTCCTCAGAAAATTCCAATCAAAAGGTAGGTCACTTTGACCTACTTATGGTATTTGATAATTATATTATAATATCTTCAGTCTTAACTGGCTAAATATTATCAAACTTTGTAAGTTGATGCATTTTGGGTCTTATGATACTAATAGAGTTGGAGGCTTCTAATAGAAGTGATAGATTGTACAATTTATCAGAAGAGCGATTCAAGGCCCTTGGGCCTCTTGTCTGTGCATCTGCCTGTAATTGAACTTGTGTATATTAGCATGATGGTGCTTATTTACATCAGAGCGGGGGTATTACTAGTGAGCATTGGCTCACAGATTTCTTGTTTTTAACTTGATTTTATATTGCGGATTCCAATAAAGCAATTTTTATAAGTTCAGTGTTCTTGAAATACTTCAGAATGTGAATGTTTGCAGCAAAAATACTGATTGCAATTTTATTTATTCTCACTGATTTTAAGTTTCCATTATAAAGTTGGTTTTTATTAAAGAGGGGCATCAGTATTTCTTTAAATCTCCATGTAAATGAATGCGCCCAATTTTTTTTTACTTTCATAATATATGATACTGTGCCACACAGGCAACCCATATGAATTCTGTGTTTGTGTTTTCCATGTTATTATTTGAATTTGTTTTCTTACATAGAGTTACAATTCCCCCCAGAAGTCTGAATATAAAGACCTACCATACACACTCCACTAAAGTTCAAGAAGCTTTTAATTTGAAAAGATATGAAAGAAAACTTAGAGTAAGTATTGAGACTTAAAAAAAAAATAGGCATTTACATGTATATAATTTTTTATACCCCCCCCGCAAACGAAGTTTGGGGGGGTATATAGGAATCACCTTGTCCGTCCGTCCGTCTGTCTGTAGCTGTCCGTTTATCTGTGCAATCGTGTCCGGTCCATATCTTTCTTACAGAGGGACATTAGAATCTTCTACTCCACACAAAGATTGCTCATGACCTAAGGATGTGTCATGACCTTGACCCAAGGTCATTTGGGGAAGTTCAAGGTCACTGGAAGAAAAATTTCATAATTCATGTCCGGTCCATATCTTTCTTATGAATAAACTTGGTAGGTTCTCATTTCATACAAAGGTTGCCCATGACCCAATGGTGTGTCATGAACTTGATCCAAGGTCATTTGGGGAAGTTCAAGGTCATTGGAAGTAAAATTCATAATTTGTGTCCGGTTCATATCTTTCTTATGGATAAACTTGGTAGGTTCTCATTTCACACAAAGATTGCCCATGACCCAAGGGTATGTCATTATCTTGACCCAAGGTCATTTGGGGAAGTTCAAGGTCACTGGAAGAAAAATTTCATAATTCGTGTCCGGTCCATATCTTTCTTATGAATAAACTTGGTAGGTTCTCATTTCATACAAAGGTTGCCCATGACCCAATGGTGTGTCATGACCTTGACCCAAGGTCATTTGGGGAAGTTCAAGGTCATTGGAAGTAAAATTCATAATTTGTGTCCGGTTCATATCTTTCTTATGGATAAACTTGGTAGGTTCTCATTTCACACAAAGATTGCCCATGACCCAAGGGTATGTCATGATCTTGACCCAAGGTCATTTGGGGAAGTTCAAGGTCACTGGAAGAAAAATTTTATAATTTGTTTCTGGTCCATATCTTTCTTATGGTCCGGCTTGGTAGGTTCTCATTTCACACAAAGATTGCCCATGACCCAAGGGTGTGTCATGACCTTGACCCAAGGTCATTTGGGGAAGTTCAAGGTCACTGGAAGAAAAATTTCATAATTTGTTTCTGGTCCATATCTTTCTTATGGTCCGGCTTGGTAGGTTCTCATTTCACACAAAGATTGCCCATGACCCAAGGGTGTGTCATGACCTTGACCCAAGGTCATTTGGGGAAGTTCAAGGTCACTGGAAGAAAAATTTCATAATTCGTGTCTTGTCCATATCTTTCTTATGGATAAACTTGGTAGGTTCTCATTTCACACAAAGATTGCCCATGACCCAAGGGTGTGTCATGACCTTGACCCAAGGTCATTTTGGGAAGTTCAAGGACACTGGAAGAAAAATTTCATAATTCATGTTTGATACATATCTTTATTATGGAAATATTACTTCTGAAAAACCCAGCGGGGGGTATTTTGTCCCGTTTGGACAGTTATAGTTTAGAATCAGGGCCTTATATATAATCGTTTATGATATTAATCGCCTGTATGATAAGAAGAGTACCGGTATTTCTCTGAGTCAGCTACAACACCAGAGAGGATGATAGAAATTGATTCCACATCAGCTTATACATGCATATTATATGACACAGTACTGTACTTTGATTTTTTTAGTTTGAAAATGTTTCCTGCACAAAGTTCCCAATATTTCTGGAAGTTTTAAGAAAACACCTACCAGAAGGAGTGGATTTACAGATCATGGAGGTAAAAGAGATGAACTGGCATGTTCCATTGAAAAAAAAACCCACAAACATCATAAAATTCAAAAAATACTGAATAAAATAAGCTTTGGAGAAAAATATTGATTCTTAGTATATATTATAAATTGCTAGATGGGTATTATTCTTACAAATAAAAAGTCACTTTCGCAGATCGAAGTAGAAGTGGCACATTCTTTTATATTCAATACATGTACTTTTATTAATATTCATGATTATATTTTTGCAGTTCTCAAAAGAAATGGAAGACTCACGTTATATCCCAAGTGATGAAAAATTACACCTTTTAGCTCGACTTGCATCTCTGGAGAAAGAGAAAATAGAAAGGGAGAAAAGAAAAGACAAATAGTGATGGATTTCTATGTGATTTATATAAATTCTGTGTGATATGTGAAATAAATGATTGCTATTTAATGTTCAATTTATTTTCCCTTCTTAGGGACTCCGACCCTCAGCCAGGAAGGACAACTCTTTAATTTATAATTTAATTCAAAAAGTCTTTAAATGAAGCTTGAAAATTAAATCTTTTCATGCAACAATTTTCATTATATGCCTCTCAATGTCCTTCAAGGTTCTTTAAACATCTCAGAAAGGTCTAATTAAAAGTAGAATTTTTTATCCCGAAAAAGCATTTGCAGATACCAATGTTTATTAACATGATATGAAATTAGAAGTAATTTATGGAGCTTGGCAAAGAACCTTGAAGCACATTGAGAGGCATATAATGAAAATTGTTGCTTGAAAATATTTAATTTTCAAGCTTCATTTGAAGACTTTTTGAATTAAATTATAAATTAAAGAGTTGTCCTTCCTGGCTGAGGGTCGGCGTCCCTTAAAGACAGAAGTTTACATGAGGTACCTGAGATATTATCCAAAAACAATATGTAACAATATACAATTTTGTGACCTTGACATTTGACCTTTTACTTCAAAGTCTGTAGGGGGCTTGCTGTACATGTACATAAAGAAAAGAAAAAGGTGAAGATGATAAACAGTGATAAGTGAACAGGACATAAACCCAGACCCCCTAAAATTCCAGCAGACACCCTAAAATTCCAGAGGTGGGTTCAAGAGCCCATTAAAAAAAAACTGGGACCAAAATTCAATTTTCATTATAACTTTCTAATTTACATTATACTTAAAAACGTCTCTTTTAAAAGGAGAGATGTACGATATTTTTATGCTAGCAAGTTTTTAAAAAATGGAATCATCACTTTTGCAAAATTTTACAATCAACTTAAGTTTTTGGTCTTGTGTGTGGGGGAAGGTGCCTAGGAGGAGTAAGCATCCCCTGTTGACCAGTCACCACTTGTTATGACCCTATCTTGATCAGATAGAAGGAACATTCCGTAGTCAAACATTGACAGATATAAGATTTAACTAAATAAATTTACGACTCTGTGATATGTTATATTTTCAACAGCTTATCATTTGGGTCTTAAATGTTCTATGGTCGCTATAATGACCTTGTAAGCAATAATTTCATATCATTGGTTGAAAACATTTTCAACCATATGTAAATTTTGAGCTCAATCAGTAGACTCAACACAAAAGTGTCATTGCAAAAGCTCTATTAGCTTTCGTCTGGAAATAATTTTGCTTGTTACATGTCATTTGATTGCCTATGTCAAGACTTGCATCAAGAACATATTATTCTACTTGACATTTATATTAAAATATGCTTAATTTGCAGGTATTTTTGAGGAAAAATTTATTCTTGTCTACACCTAATGATGGAAAATTTTACAGGAATTTTAAAAATAGCTGGGGGAGGGTGTAATTAAAGACCTCAACAAATCAGATTTGTGCTAGAAACCATTTTGCGAAAAATGGTGGCAAAGTACCATAAATCTTGCACTTTTTGTAATGAAATTTTAAAAATAAATGTAAAAGTCAAGTATTCCTAGAACATGCCATAAGCATTCCTCTTAAAGAGTGGCACAATCAGAACAAACACTTGCATCACTATTATAATTTAATAAGCTATCAAAAAGAACAAAATGAACATTCCTGATGCACCATTGATTCATAAATATAGTATCTCTATTACAACCTCTACACCACATCATAGATATCTATGTATACACGAGGACCATTAAAATGAAACCAAGTTTTGTCAACTAATGGAAGACAATGATATTGAAAGACACTGGTATAAATCATCAAGTTCATAGTCCGCAGGCTACAAGTAGTGCCCTCCATCACACGACTCCAAAGTGAATGACTTTCACTGAAGCATCCTCCTCTTCATCCTCCTGGCTCTGAAACACAACAAAAATGTTCAACTTGATGAAATGTCCTTAAAGCTGAGAAAAGTGCCTACTTTGACAAACAAAATCTTTAAGATTAGACACAAAATGCATGATTTATGTATGTAGCTTCACTGGCTTGGCTAATATTCCCACAGATTCTTATATTTATTTAGATAAAGCAAAAAGTTTATCTGTAAATTTCTTGGTACCTCTCTGTTTCCATTATCAAGGGGATCTGAAATGAAAAAGAGTCAAGAAAATAAAATCCTAAACTTTAACAAGGAAACATAATGATTTTTCATAATATGTTCATTAATATCCAGAGAATTATACAAATGATTAACAAAGAGTTATCCCCAGGCACTGAAACTTAACTTGCAATGTCCTCTACATATATTTTCTACGACACTTCCTGGTTCTGCCAATCAGTGTCCTCTATTTATAACCTCTACGACACTTACCCTGGTCCTGCCAATCATTGTCCTCTATGTATAATCTCTACGACACTTACCCTGGTCCTGCCAATCATTGTCCTCTTTGTATAATCTCTATGACACTTACCCTGGTCCTGCCAATCAATGTCCTCTATGTATAATCTCTACGACACTTACCCTGGTCCTGCCAATCAGTGTCCTCTATGTATAATCTCAACGACACTTACCCTGGTCCTGCCAATCAATGTCCTCTATGTATAATCTCTACGACACTTACCCTGGTCCTGCCAATCGGTGTCCTCTATGTATAATCTCTACGACACTTACCCTGGTCCTGCCAATCATTGTCCTCTTTGTATAATCTCTATGACACTTAACCCTGGTCCTGCCAATCAATGTCCTCTATGTATAATCTCTATGACACTTAACCCTGGTCCTGCCAATCAGTGTCCTCTATGTATAATCTCTATGACACTTACCCTGGTCCTGCCAATCAGTGTCCTCTATGTATGATCTCAACGACACTTACCCTGGTCCTGCCAATCAATGTCCTCTATGTATAATCTCTACGACACTTACCCTGGTCCTGCCAATCAGTGTCCTCTATGTATAATCTCTACGACACTTACCCTGGTCCTGCCAATCAATGTCCTCTATGTATAATCTCAACGACACTTACCCTGGTCCTGCCAATCAATGTCCTCTATGTATAATCTCTACGACACTTACCCTGGTCCTGCCAATCAATGTCCTCTATGTATGATCTCTACGACACTTACCCTGGTCCTGCCAATCGGTGTCCTCTATATGAGTGTTAGAGAACCATTCTGGGTCATCCAGCTGTAGGGCAGCAGTGTAGTCATGGATCAGGTCAGCCTCAAGTTCAAGGTCACCCAGGTAACTAGGTCTGTAAGTCACATATACTTGTATATAATAAGGATTCAAGTACAGCGACAACTCAGCCATTCAAATGCAGAATGTTTGTAGATAAAACATGAGTGTGCATCATTCAGCAGCTAGTCATTATATTTATTATAAAAGCACACCATTATTAAAATTTTGAGTTCCTCAAAACATGGTTACAGTGAAAATGCCTATAATGAATTCATGCTTACAGAAAGTATTTTCCCAGTAGTTTGAAAATATATTCTGAACTTAAAACTCATGATTAATTACATTTATAATGAATCAAAATAATATGTCCCAGCCAGTTGACACTATGGATATGCTTTACTTGAGTCACAGACCTACCTATCTGACAGGTCGCCATTAACACCGTTATGGAGATGTCTGTTGTCAAGGGGAGCCTGGTGTTCTCCTTGTTGCCAGGGGTGTTGTCGGGAGGCAGGAAGCTACAAAAAAATAAAACCTGCACATCTCCATTGACTCACAATCATGTTTTCTTAAGTGATTGAAACTTTATTTTTCATTAACTTTATTCAGTATAAAGTACCCACCTCATTGACATTGAAGTCTGACTGGTTCTGGGTATTAGGATTGTGGTAGCCATTTTGTAATAGTCCATCATCAAGTCCATCAAAGGAGTCTGATAAAAACATAAAACCATTTAAAAGAAAAGGCCCATGTGCCACAATTCTCACCTGAGTTGCCATTCTATTTCAACAAATGAATAGAGTAAACCAACTTTATTAGCGTGCGAGAAATATCCCTGAGTTCCGTTACCTACTTTAACTTGCAGTTGCAAATATTAATTGCAGTGAACCAATCATTTTGCTTAGTATTTGTAAAGAATGCTTCCTTAGTCATGAAATTAATCGTCCCAGATTGATTTCAAACTGATGAGTCCCAAATAAAAGACAACATGAATTATAGTTGGTTTACAGTATACAGCCTACTCCGGATATATTGAAATTCAGGGGACCATGGAAATTATTTCAATATATCCGTAATTCAATATAAGCGAATTCGTGAAGCCGCCATTTCTTTATTGAAAGTTCAATCCCGATCTTAAAATAAAGAACAAACCCGAACAAATTAATTTTGTCATCGTTTACCTATAACAGTGTACAGATTACATGGAATATTAGTCCTTGAAAGTTTAAATAAAATTGTTTCTTTCTTTTTTATCAATTAGACAATCTTCAACTTCATAATTATTCCCTGATCGTTTTTATTTTACATTTTGGAGAAAAATCACTGATGTCAAACTGTTGAGTACTGCTGAACGCTGCATGTATTTCATCGTAAATGTACTCGGGTTGATCTCTTAGCTATTTCGAATTGAGGTTTATCATTAGCCATTAACGGTACGTATTTAATTTTAAAGTTTTTTTTTTTTTTTTTTAGATCTGTGGGGGCTACTATGTTGCCTTTAGCCTAAATACTTCCGTATTATATACATGGAAACAAAGAATTTAGCAGTGAATAATTTTATTTCATAAGAGCATGCAGTATGAAAACACATAAGGTGAAAACTTAATTATTCGCACCTTTTTATATCAACTGTTCAGTCAGGCATATATAATTTCTGTCACCAACCGTAACGACAGCTGCCAGGTGTACTTCAATATAACCGTTATGAAAACAACTCATTATCACTTTTGGGGACCGATCAGTGGCTTCAATATAAGCGAAATTTCAATATAGCCGATTTCAATATAACCGTTATTTTAATGCAAAGAATATGAGAGTCAAAAACTGGGGATTTATTTTTATTTCAAAATAAGCGGAATTTCAAAATAAGCGAGTTCAATATAAGTGGAGTAAGCTGTATGTATATTTAATAAGGTATTATTTTTAAACATCAGTAAGATATAAATAAGGGTTGGTGACAAGATCACATTTCATAAAGTCCAAAGGGCTGTACATGTATTGTATATAATTCAAAGTTTATATCTCTAGTTTGTAAAAGCCTATTTCAAAAATACGCATAATTATGAATAAACTTACCAATTGATTCTGTTTCCACTTGCTCAGCTTTCCGCTTGGCCACTTCTGCTAAGGCTGTCTCTCCTTTGTCTAATGCCATGTAATGGATGTCCTAAAAACAATACATCCACACATACTACAAGTATTCAATAACATGACAAAGGACATGCTTTGAAAATGAGAATATGACTTACCATGAATAAATCTCTTGCACCAATATCAACAGCCAGAAGAAATGCTTTATCAAATCTGGAGTATCTGTTGAAAAAGAAATTATAATGAAGGAAGTACAAATGCATTGTGATGTTCTCTAGAATGAACCCCACATCCTCAGAGGGATATTGGATTGAACCAGACATACCTAAGGAAATAATGGAATTAACCTGACATACCTAGGGAGATAATGGAATGAACCAGACATACCTAAGGAGATAATGGAATGAACCTGATATAACTAAGGAGATAATGGACTGAACCTGACATACCTAAGGAGATGGTGGAAGAATCGTCGAGCCAGTCTGCTGATGGGATCTCGGAAGTCCAGGATGACGACTTCTGACAGGGGGAACTTTGGTGCATAAAACGCTCCCAGGGTTGTTTCCAACTGACCTACAGAGACATCCAATAATATGACTCCTCTCATTGAACGTATAACTCAAAGTCTATTATACCATTTATAGCAGGGAACTTACTCTCTCGTTCAGCATTGAGGGGAAGTCGAAGGAGATGGTTTACAATGGCAGACAGACTGGAGTAGGCTGTTGTACTATCAGTGTCCCAGTTCATACTGGTTAACAATGTCACAGCCTAATACAAGAAAAAGTTCTACAAGTTGTGTAATGTGATGTTGTGATGCTTCATTTACAAAATGAGATCAACCATGACTGTACTATTTTCTTAATTTTCAAATATTCCAGTTAAACTATCAAATATAGACCTTACGCCTTATTAAAAGTCTAACTGAATTTAAATTAAATTTCCAATGAGTTGGATAAAATAAAATGAAAGTTATTTTTATGATCATTTATATACTCAGTCTACCTCATCCACTTGTCGATTCTTCAGGTACTCTTTGATGAGTTCTAGACCTGAGAATCTCTCTCTACTGACGACACCAAGATGGAGCTGAAGTAAACAGGGCGGGCCTCTGGAAGGGATTCATGTATATTTTTTATACAGTATTTACTTATATCTGCAGTTTAAGTTTTTGAGGGACAGCAACATTTAGAAAATGCAATCACTTTTCAAAAAAAGAATTATGTATATAAATAACTAAATGTAATGGTACATAAAATTACAATACTATTTACTTAATTCATGTATTGACACATTGTTGCAAGCTTACTTTTCAAAATGCATAAAGAGAGCATCAGTATAATCTCCATTCCATTCCACAGAATCTGGGTCATGGTGGCACCATTTTATCTCCTTTAGGGACACTGGCAGTCTGTGAAGATAAAACAAATAAGTATTTCCCCTTTTACCTACTATTTATTTTATCAAAAATACAATAAAATTAGCAATGCGGCTACCTCAAAATGGATGCGCGCGGGCCTGAGAACCAGAATTTTTCGTAGCCTTACTTGAAGAACTTGTGGAGCTGCAGCACTCTCTGTGTAACCTGGTCCTCTGACACTAACTGAATTCTGAGAGGGGTCAAGGCCAGGTCAAATACCTGTAGGGGTCAACATGAATACATGAAGTGCACAGATCTCTCAACAAGTCAGCCAACAGCTGTTCGGTGATTTAAATCATTTTGTCATATTTAGACACAACAAAAGAAACAGTAGAGATATAAAGTAGAATAGAATGAAGTAAACAAAATTCAATTGTGATGACAGAAAAGTTTAACAAATCAAGGTTCATTGCCACTCTGAAAAGAGGTAACTTTTAATGGACTGAATGCCTATTACTCCTCTATAATTTTTCAAGTTCAAATGTCTTTTTTAATCAATTTTGTCCCACAAGCTTTGCCAAATTTGCTTGAATTTTACTAATAAAATACATTTCTTCATAATAATCACAAGCATTCAAGTAAGATCCTGTATGAATGAACAGAGGAATGGTGAACCTTAAGTATTCCCATTACCTGAACATCTCCTCTAGCACTGGCAACAAAGAACAGAGTTCCCTGTGGATGCCAAGCTACAGACACTGGAATCTGAAAACAAAAGACTCAACACCATTTACAAGATACAAGTTAAATTATTCTCTAAATGTAATCAGAAAATCTTTCAATTCCCAAAATTTTATACCTCAACAAAGATATTGAAATACTGATATACAAATACATGTTTAAAAACATTTTTTTTCAAAGAAGTTATAAAATGGTACTTGGATAATTTAAAATCCTTAAAATTTTTTTTACCACTGATGCTCGGATCATTAGTGTAGCCTTGCGCACTTCATCATATAAAACCTACAAATCATAAAATTATTGATTGTTCACTGTAATGAGCATAATCAGTTGTGAAATTGATAATGTAGATAATCTCTTTCACAAGACATACAGACAATGAAATGAACTTTCTTACCAGAGAGCCATCAGCACAGCCCAGTATGAGTTTATCTTCGCTGGGGTTACGACATTGACAGATCACTGAACTCTTCAGAGGAATGCTGGTCACACTAATTCTCTGAATCTAATGATGAATAAAATAATTCTATAACTGGTGTCCTTTTCTTCATATTCTGATTGCTTCATTATATGAAGCAATTGCAAACATGCAGAATGTAAAAAATATCTATACCTTTCCTTGTACAATCTCATAAGTGCAGCACTGTGCAGTTGTGTCCCCTCCCCCACTCATGGCCTGTTCTACTGTGAACACTCTATGTGGCTGTAAACAGCTGAAAAACAAATACGATAAAGTATAGGGACATCAAAACCTGATCATATGTAGCTCAAGACTAATTAAAACATACGATATAATTACCTAAAGCCAGCATACATAGGATCACATTCTGTCCTGGCAAAGGTCAAAACATCTATGTTGGGGCTACAATGTATTTGTATGTTCATTAAGCAGATTCAAAGGATTAAGGTCTGATCCAATATTAGAACAATTCTATTACCAGTAATTAATGTTACTTTGGTAAAATAATCCTATGTGCTTTACTGACCCGTGTATGGACAGGACAATCATGTTGGCTCTGTCTTTTTCTGAGGACATGGGAGACCAGGGCCAAGCCTCTTCACTGGATGTAGGCCACCATACCAAAAGCTGGTAAAAATGTATTTCTCATTAACATCAAGATTAAAAGACTTAGTGCAATTAGTATTATACATCTACATGGGAAAACATTTGCAAATGTAAATACTTAAAGTTTTCACAAATCCAACTTATAAATTGCAAAAACAGCATGATTTTAATGTCACTTCTTTATCAAAACTTCTTCCTAAGGCAGGTTTAAAAATTTGTTCCAGTACTTATTCTTTTTACACAATATCTGTCAACTCCTAACATACCACCCCCTCCTTTTTAAACCTAAACAGGACTGCTTTGTGAACAGCTGCATTTTTTACAATTAAAAGAAATAAAAAGATATTCAGACCATTTGTTCTGTAAAAGGAAGCACATTACAAAAAACTAATTTCTTCTGTTTCATTAATATTTAATATTATTTTCAGTGGCGTAAGAAATTGCAGATAATTCAGCCAGCAGTGTTCCCTGACACTCGTTATCAATAATTCATGGTCAGATCACAGCCCAGTAGGCCCATTAATTATTCACATGCATTCTCATCTCTAGAAGACTACGGTCTTACTTCTGTTTAATACCTTTACTGTATATTATCATCATCTAGAAGAAACATTAGGATTTACAGTAGTAAGTACGGAAGTTTCTTTACAAAAATTCTGGCTCTTTGATATTTATGTTCAGTGATGTTCAGTGATGAAAAAAAACGGTGAATCAAAAGTTTATTTTACTTTCGTTTCAAGTGTACTTCTGAGCTGCATATCATGGAGGTAGTTGAAGTTGAGAGTTCTCTGCCTGAACCAGACATCTTAGACAAAGACGAAGGGATCCCACACATTCCTCCTAATACTGAGAAATGCCATTTATTTCCATGGAATAGTTCTGTCTGGTCACCAAGGGAAGTATTTCCAGAAAACACTGCCTTCATTGACAAAAGGAAAAAGTTCTGTAGAGAGAGGAAAACTCAACACCTCTCTTACTCCAAGACATTCGACAGTGTATTTGTCACGGATCCTAGTCTATGTGAACAAGTGTTTGAACTTTCACTTTATCAGACCATTTTGTTTAAGAGCTCCGGTGTTTATGTTAGGTTTACAAAAGGATACACTGAGCTGAGTCTCCAGTCAAAGATCAACAAAATCGATGTCAGTGATGAACTTAAGAAATTCATGTCTTCTATCAGCATGAAATGCACACAGCTGTTAAGAGATGTTGGATTGCTGTGTGATTACATTGAACTTGATGCTGAAAAAAATTTCTTTGTTTTGTCAGAAGGAAAGTTGACAAATGTTAGATTCGCTGTCAATGTTCTTAGTCTGTCTGAGCAGTCACAACCATGGCGGACAACAAAATCTGACTCCGAGGAAGAGTGCGACAATGAGGGGGATTATGGGTACCTGAAAATTTCCTCTCCGAGTCTAAGAGCTGACCAGCGAAAGAAAGAGTCAGCAAGGGAACCAAACACTGACACAATCAGAGAGCAAGAATACCAGAACCCAAGCACAATCAATGTCATGTTGAGTATGAGAAACTGGGTCCCTGCCAAAGAAATTTTTCTGAATTTTATGACCTCGGTGGCTAACCCCAATCAGAGTATCTACCTATTGATATGTCATCTAGGTCCTCTGGTTGAAACACCAAGGATTACCCTCTACCAGTACATGATGAGCAATCAGATGAGAAAACTCTGTTGTCTGCCACCAGAAACAAAAGAAGACTCCAAACACCAAATCAAAATGGAGGCGTATGGAGAATTCCATTACAAAGAAAACAGTGATGAGGAATCTGATGACAGCTCCCCAGAGGTTGCTGTGGTAGAAACGACAGACTTCAAGTATGTCACCGAAAAAAAAGAGGAAGACGCAAAACGTAAAAACAAAAAAGTTCAGATTGGGGGCCATGCAGTGTGTGAGACTCCCATACCTGGTCCTGATTATGTGCAAACAATTGTAATCCCAGTAGAATCAGAAAGCAGTGATGAGGAAGATGAAAGAAATCAGGGAAATATTACAGAGACCCCAAAAATTCATAGCTTAACAAACCAAAAAGGTCAATTACATAATAAAAACATAAGAGACAACAACAATGATCAGAGTTCTGAAGAAAAAGTGGATTCAAGAATTGAATTAGCCGAGTCCACATTGGATGACAAATCAAGGGAGATAAATAATGATGGTGCCACTGGAGGTCATGACTCTTGTCCGTATCCTCCCAACCAATCACAGCTGTTAAAATTATCCATGGAAGAAATATGGCATCACTGGAAGAGAAATGAAGGGCAGTTTGTGTATGAAGAAGCCAGATTTAAAGATTGTCTGAGGAATTACATTTATGATGTCCCACCTTTACCAAGGAGAGGGAGGAAAAAAAGTGAAAAAAAGTAATTTTAGAACTGTTCTATGAAATCACCAATATATTTTGTTTCCTTTATACAGTGGACACAGGAAAATTGATATCATTTTCATATTGTGTGTTGCATATCATGCTTCCTTCATGAAAGTAAAAGTCTTATAAAATGGATTTTCTCAGAGTAAAACTTGATAGCTATGTGTAAAACGTGATAAAAAGAATCTACCATGATTTGTATCCAGCTCAAGTGTCTTCTATCTCCTTGCCATAGAAAAAAATCTCTTCAATTACAAACCACTGGAGATCCTATATTTATTGGAGTATTTTCCATTCCCCTCAACTTTACATTAATAATCTTCCATTTTTTTTTTTAAATTTAAAAACTTCTCAATGTTACTATGTTTGGAACTCACCACATCTAGTTTAGTATTTATATTATTACAAATGGCGCTTATCATGCCTAGTATGTCTATATCCCGTAGCCTGGTATTAGCTTGTTATGAGTGATACTCACCATGTCTAGCCTGGTATTAGCTTTTACTGAGTATATTCATCTTGTCTAACCTGGTATTAGCTTGTTTTGAGTACACTCACCATGTCTAGTCTAGTAGTAACTTGTGCTGAGTTTAGCCTGGTGTATTAGCTTGTTTTGAGTATTGTCACCATGTCTAACCTAGTATTAGTTTGTATTGAGTATACTGACCATGTCTAGCCTGGTATTAGCTGATAACCGTCTCTCAATCCTTCTACCAACAGGTCCAGGAATGTCTATTTGTGTGATCTGGAAAAATAAACAAATAATTTAGCTAATAAACAACTATAAATATTATTTGTTCAATTTTAAAAATGCATATCTATTGATGACAGGAAAGATCATCATACCTCAAGCATGGTTTTTGTTAGTAACAAGTGAATTAAAAAATATATGGAAAAGCAAAATGTTAAATATCAAGTTCAGTTAGACATATTTAAATCAATGTTTTCATTCATATGTTTTTTTTTCTACCTTTGGTTCCCAAACAGACAATTTTTCCAGCCTTTTCAGACCCTCCCCTAAAGGTGGTCTTTTAACAAAATAGCCATAGTCCAGTTTGGGACGATCTGGGTAGCTGGTCAGCAAAAACTGGTCTGACAGGTAAGCTGAATACATAAAAAAGTAATCAATGCTTACACTTAAATATAAATATTAATTTTACTTAAATAGAAAAAAAGAAATTGTTCTCTTTCTTCATAACAAATATTAGTCAAACCACAAAGAATTAAATTCTATTGTCATATTTTGTATAATTTTTTAACAGAAATGACAAAGATAAAAAATATAGTTTCATTTCAAAATCTATCTCATTATTAATTCTTAAATTTGTCACCATCCTCACCATCTGAGACTAAATCAGCACTGAATTTTCCCAGTAAGGATTTATCCAGAAACACCTTCTCTGTGGTTCCACTGCTTCCACTCAACACAAAACTCACCACCACCATGTTACTCAAAACAAGCTTCAATGTAGGAAAAAAAACCCAGAAGAATAAAAATCAAAATCTTAGTGAAAGTAGACAAACTTACTGTGAAATCACAAATTTTCATTGGGTTTAATAATTGTTGTTTTTGAGATATGGAGAGAGCCACACGTTTAAGACCACCATGAAATGTAAAATATTATATGCAATACTATTTAACATTTTCCAACCATGAAATCAAATCCCAACAAACCAATATCTTTTCTCAAACCATGAAAATTTGACTCCATAAAAATATGTAATTTTAAAATATGTGATTTTACAGTCGTTGAAAAGGAAGAAAATCCAGTTACTGGTAGAACTCACCTGAAGGACTTGTCGACTTCGCCATCTGATCTGTACTATCCTGTGTACTTGCAATAAATCCTAAATTAACATATACATTTGTGTTAAAAGAAGGAAAGGGATTTATCAAAAAAAAAGACTCTCTCCCCAAAAAAGTAGCAGAAAAATAATTTCACCTCATTTAGCTCTTTAAGAAGATGAACGTTTTTGTAATTTCATAACTCTGCACACAACTTTAATTGTATTTTCTTTCTTGTGAAGGTACAAATATTTCTATTTCTATACATATGCAGTTTATGATTATATAGTTCAATACCTATCAGATTTAAATCTAAAACAAATAAAATGCTTTCTTTAAACTTCAACTTACCTCAACTTCTTTTAGTATATCTCGTAATTTCTCTGGTCGCTTGTTTCTTGGTGCCCATAAAACATCTCTTTCTATTGCATAAATATAATGAAACTAAATTTCAATGAATTTTCAACTGTGAATTTTGCACTTAATTGAAAATGTGGTTCTTAGAGTATCATTGATAACATTCATCATTTTATCTGTGTTAATGGCATTTCAACTGTACTTTTGATACATCTTTTAAAGAGTGTAAGTGTTAGGGGTCCTCATACCTTCATCAAAATGTTGTTTCTCTTCATGGTAAAGCTGATCTACAGATGCTGAAAAAGTGGAAACACATTATTATTCCGAAAAGTTTAAACTATGGTCACTACCAAATATTTTACTTGATTTTTTTTGGTACAAGATGGAGAATTAATTAGGAAGCTATAAAATGTTAAATATTATCAAAACTTGTGTTACCCATTCACAAATTGCTTTGCCTTAACAATTATCTTTCTTATTAAGAAAGAATTATCAAAATTGTTGCTCCAATAATTAATATTTTCATTATCACCGTAACCAGATAAAGTATAACATTTCATGTTCAAATTTAAGGTTATTTTTATAATTAATAAACAGCAAGAAATGCAGCCTCAGTTTTCAAAGATCATAATTTTAGTTCTCCCAGAGGTATCAACATGTAAGGAATGTCTGTTTCTTTTCTTTCTGTATACAAATTCCCTGTTCATCTGGACATACAGTAACTTTTTGAGGTGTTAGTCGGAGAATAACCTCTTGAATTCTTGCTGGGTTTTTTTCTGTGCCATAAGATGCATTTATTTCTGAAGTACGTTTAACAGTAAGTCAGTAACCGTAACTCTCTGGTTGTCCATCCAATCAATTTTAGGCATTGGTCTACAGATCTGCAGCTTTAATGCATGCTTTATTTTTGGTACATGTATGAAGAAGAAGAAATAAAAGATCATTTAAACAAGAATCTAAGATATACAAACCAGAATGTGTCTTGTCATGATAAGTATGGCAACCAATAACTTCATCTGTAAAAAAAGAAATAAATGCATGTTATGGAGTACATTTTACAATTTAAATATTCATCACAAACATTTACATTCAGAAGAGTCTTAAAAGTAAAGCAATATGTCAATTTTTTGGTGGTGTGTATATAAATGATATGTGTATTGCATTGTCATTCTCCTCACAAAATCATTTATCTATAAAATTACTTTAATATTAGGTTATCAAATTTTAAGATTCACAATAAGCAGTTCTAAATCATAAAGTGTTATGTCTTTTTTCCATTTTGCGAAACATACTTAAGAATTTTATTTATTACACAGTTAGTATAATGGTATTGTGATTCTGAGTTGTATTGTGTCGGTATCATGGTACAATTTTGTATTGTAGAGTCATCCACAATAATCAAGCCCAGAAGTATGAAGTATTTATATCTCTTTAATCATTCTGTGGGTTGCTTGAAGTTCCACCTTTTTTTTTTTAAAAAGCAATAAATTGATCATCCTTAAAGAAATATGGCTTGGTTTTGATTCTCATATTTAAAATCCGATGTACCATTCATATTAATAATGCAAAATGCAAACAATTAAGAAACTGAATTGCAAGAGAGAGATAGAAGTCATATTTTTTTTTAGAAAAGTGTCTATTTTCTCAATTATCACTTCAAACAAATGGACTCATGCTTTTTATAATCCGAAGATATGAAGTTAAACCCATATTACCTGGAATATGTACATTATCCTTTAATGACCAGATATAGAATTCTGTCATACAAGTCACCATGATCTTGGCCGTGGTGTTTCAGTGTACTCAAAGATTACTGAAGCAGCTACATCTCCCAAAACAGCAATATATCAAACAACTCCCGTATTCTGACCTAAGAAAAATACATGCAGAAACAGAATCAGATTCAACACAACTTCTTGATCTCCTATGAAGCCATCTTTGCTAGCCAAAGGTTTTCAGTCCAAAATTTACTCTTAGACTACTGTAAAATAATTTTCAAATCAAACGTACATTCTTTGCCAGCAAAGGTGCTGTAAAGCTTGAATCAGCTATTTAGCTTGAATTAGCTGTTCAAATTATCTTGATTTAGTTATTTTAGTGGAAAATTGCACATTTCAGAAAAATAGTATGTTAATTTACCCCCCCCCCCCAAAGTTCAGAAAGTTTGGGGGTATATAAAGCAATGTAAAATTTGTGATCATTTGGTTACTTCTAGAATGAAATAAACAGCAGGTCAATTCTGATCAAAAAGGAATAAGTAACTGATTGGTAATAATTCAGCATATAATGCCCACCCTCCATACAGATATCCCTTATTTAACATTACAGTCAAATCACCCCCAGAATACAGAGCTACCATTCAGGATCCAAGCACCTGACAGACATGAGAGTATACAGAAAAAAGAGCCATATATAGTTAACCACAGGATATTATAGGTCAAGAACCCAAGGATGTATTTCAAGGATATTAAAGGACCTAGACTTGGGTTCTGTATGCCTCCTGTTTTAATGCAAGTGGGTTGAGGGATTCAGCTATACTTCCTTGCCATTTAGATCTGGTTGAACAAAATGTCATATAGTTGCTGTGTAGTACAAAGTTCAAATTTTGTACAGACTCTACACTACAAGTATACCTTCTGCTTCAAAGTACATAGCAGTGACAACAATGTGCACAAATACTCATTATTTTCAAGATTATTGAAAGACTGCATGGATCTAACAGAGTGACAGCAAAATATCTGCACTCAAGGGTAAGTGCCAGCAATGTTTTCAAAACAGCAATGTACATGTATATAATTATGTATTATATTTTTTATTTGGATTAATTGCTTTTTTTAATATTTATAGTAATAAGTTAAAATATATTTGTGACAAACTACATTTTAATAGCTTTATCACATTATTTTGAATAGCTCATATAGCTACATAACTATATCAATTCAGTTATATATCTAAATCAAGAAACTTTACGAGAGCTGAGAATGTACATAATTTATATCCAAGAGATTTGTTTTGTCACTGTTATTATTACATTAACTTTAATTGCAAAATTTCCATTAAAAATGACAAAAATCATAGCTGCAGAACTTTAGTTCTCTGTAAAAATATTTTGACAGACCGGAGAGCTACAGTGCCACCCATTGCAAAAACTGTATATTTATATATTGCGCACAAAAAGTGCCCTGTTTCTCGATTTATTTCTCCATGTTTTTAAACTGTCATCTTAAAATATTATAGGTACTATAAACTGTGTGTTCCTAACATATTATTTCACTTATTCCTTGACAAAACATCCCTTATAATTGTTGTGAATAGCCCTCCTGGCCCTGAAATTGAGATCATCGAAATTTTTGTCTACATATACTGCCATTTTCAAGTTGGTTTGCAAGATAATTCGGGCCAGTGCACTTAGTGCAGATGTCAACTATGAGAGTACTTCATAGAGGAGTATGGATTTTTTTCAATCTCTCTTTTTTGCTATTGAAGTAGGACTTTGGAAGAATTAATTAAGAATTAACTAAGCGCAACATTTTGTGCACAAAAAATATATAGTTTTTACAATGGGTGCACAGTAGCTCTCCTGTCTGTCAATATATTTTTTTAGGAGAGCTACAGTTCTGCAGCTACAAAAATCAGAGCCAGTGTTTCTGTCATGAAATAATAAAATCCAAATTTTAAAGTTTTGTGTTAACTTCATTTGTATCTCATCATGAAGAAAGGGTGTGTTAAGGACAGATGATACAAACAATTTTTTTCTATGGAGGAGACTTAATATCACGTCACAAGTTTAGAAAAGTGGGTGATTCTTAGAATTTGTTCTCCTAAGAACTGGAAAATGAAAGACTTGGAAAATATTACTCATATTTCAATAAAAAACAAATACATGTATAAACAAATCACACTCAGTAAAGGTTTACAGGTGAAAATAAATTACAGAATATGTTACCTTGATGCTAAAAGTGTAATATAAACTTTAGAAAAATATACCACGCCATGTGAATTTAATGAGAAAAAACGAAATGACAAAAAATCAGCATTATAACATGGGCTGATTTTTACCTTCTTGCCTTTCCAAATAAAATTCACCCGGCTTGGTATATATTTCTAAAGATTATATTACTCTTTTAGCACCAAGAAACCATATTCTGAAATTTATTTCTATCTGTAAACCTTTACTGAATGTGGTTAGTCCATATTTCAAATTATATTGAAATATGAGTAATATTTTCCAAGTTTATTTCATTTTCCAGTTCTTAGGAGAAAAAATTCTAAGAATTATCCACTTTTCTAAACTTGTGACGTGATATTATCATATTAAGTCTGCTCCATTGAAAAAATTTGTTTGTATCATCTGTCCTTAAATTTAATTTGAAATACCAGTACTTAAGTGTTTGTTATTTACTGTATGTGTACTTAAAAAAGTGGGCTTCATATTTTTGTGGCTTTGGCGCATATAACAAAGCACTAATTCATGAATATCCCTAAGAAATCATTTACCGGTATATATAAAATACACTGCACGGACATAAGTGGCGCTAATTCATGATTACGCCAACAACTGCATACCCAGTGACTGTGTTAAATTTTAAATATGCCAAATTATGTACACATACAGTAAATGTAATTTGAATTACATCAAGTCTAGACTCCCTCTCAGTATTAACAGGGATGTTGTGGGATTTTCTAAATAATGAAAAAGTGATAACTTGTCTTCAACCAAAAAATTGTTTGTTTTGTTCAGATATGCCCAATTGTAGACAAATGCCACTTAGACACAGTAGCCATATTCTTGAGGGCCATATGTCCTGCAAATGTAAGTTTCATGTTGTGCCTTACAGCTATTACAAACATCTGCCATTGAGTTAAAAATCTGTATAAGAGCTTGAAGTGCCTCTGTCTTATCTTCATCTGATTGTATTGAATCTAAGTAAGATGTGGTTAGAGATCCGAATGTCAGACTGCTCGGCCCAACGACACCTCGGCCCAACGATACCTCGGCCCATTGACACTCGACTCCGACGGCTCAGCCCAAATTTGCGGACACCTCGGCTCACATAAAAGACACCTCGGCCCAAACAGAAATATAATATTTTAATTAACTATATTTATTATTTATGCTGTTATATATCTATGAAATGCAAAAGAAAATTATAATTTGATACATTTGCAATCTTCCAAGACGGCAAATTGACGGTAATTAAAGAAAGACAATCCATTAGTAACTTGATCATAAGTGCTATTAATCATTAAACAAACAAGAGGACGCGGTGCATCCTTTAGAGTCTTGAGCGCGTGTCAATATGGGGTGGTGACTATGAGGAGTTAATTACGAGAAGCCATAATTGGGAGATTTACTCATCATCATGTTAATGAAAAGTTCTTTAAGGAACCCTTGTTGATATTTTATTGAATTGATTTGAAAAAAAATATGAGTTTTTAAATAAAATAAAAGTAAAATATGTACATGTATATCAAAAATAAAAAAAAAATCAATAAATCTTGCAAACCAGGGCATAAACTTCTGTGTAGACCTATTACATGTACCTCCCAATCAACGGATTGTAATTTGATGTTGTGCTGTGGTTTGTTAGAAAATACTGAAATATTGAAATTATCGTATATTTATAGTATACGTATAGTGATCAAATATACATAGTACACATTTACATTACCTGGCATAGAAAGTACAAAAAAATTAAACTAATTTAAACAAACTAAATTTAATATTATTCCTAACGGGCCGAGCAGTCTTTGGTATGGGCCGAGGTGTCAATGATTTTGAGCCGACCTGTCAGGGCCGAGGTGTCAACCAGCACGGGCCGAGGTGTCGTTGGGCCGAGTAGTCTGTCTACCAGAGATCCATACGAAATCTGTCTTAACAACAGTCTGAACTCAGTCTCTTTGCGAAACGCGATCTGAATTACTGTTCTTGTTGCTAAATCTAAAATGAATCTTGCCATTTATAGCAGAACTTACTAGGTTGTGTTTTTCATTGGTTATACTTTCTCATTGGTCCTTGTGCCCTTTGGAAACTTCAACAAATACTATAAGTTGCATTTTTCACAAAAATTCTGGCCATGTGTAAATTTGATCCTTCCCTAACACCTAGATTTGTTTTTTAAATGTATTATACTTACAAATGTAAAATCTCCATTATCAACTGTTTATGACTTTGATTAGCTAACATTTGAGCAAAAATTAATTTGAAAATCTCTTAGATATATCATATGAGAAAATTTTTTTAATCACCTTATTACTAAGAATAACATTAATACAAGAAATTGAAAATGAATCAAGAACGATTTATAAAAAATCATTAAATTTATATTCATACGGTACATTTGTGTGCACTGTACCTTGTTTTTTTTTTTCCTTCGTCTCCCTCACAAAATTTTGTGCATTTCAATAATGTTTTTCGTCATAAAATGCAAATTCGGACTTGTTTACTTTTAACCGGAAGTTCAGGTTACCTTAGATAAGTCATTCCATAAATCTTCGACATTTAAAGTGTACATTAAGGATATCTGATCCTCGGTCAGGGACAATAACTCTGAATATGTGAAAATAATTAATCTCTATGTTATTGGGGCTTTTTTGCTTTTAAGGCTCCAGGTAGGGTATTTATATACAGCTTTTTTTCAACAAATTTTTGTTGAATAGGGATGATTTGGATCTCATTTTTAGAATGCCTTTAAAACGAAAAAAAGACGAAAATTTTATGTAAAATTGTATTTAAAGAAACTTAGAGCCATGAGTTATCTTGGAATCTGCCTATGAACATCTATAAATTGTATATCAGTTGCAAAGCCTCTATCCACGCACTTTTGGAACGACTCGATTTTCAGTGAACACGGCTTCAAAAACGATTTGCGCTTGCAATTAAATCAAGTGACTATAAATAGCTTTATAAAATGTAGATAAGAACACTAATTATGCTCCAATATCAAATGAAACAATACCTACTGAGGACTGGGCGAGTCACTGAAAACTTGTAAGATATGGGATCAGGTGTCATTAAGGGGTAAGCTTCTCCTGTCGCCCGGTCACATCCGCTTATCTAGAGCCTTCTCTCTCGATCGAGTAAACTTTTAATCTCTAGACAATTTAGTGTAAAAATATGGCCTAACAATTTATATTAATTAGAATGTATTTAATTAAAAGCCAGTAAACATAATAATAGGCAATTGTCCTAATAGGCTGTTTATACAAACACATTAGATTTTGTAAATGCTCAACACAAATTGGATTGTTATTATTGTATCATATATATATATATATATATATATATATATATATATATATATATATATATATATATATATATATATATATATATATATATATATATATCAAAGGTCCGTCTTGGTTTACAGAGAACATACTCTTGTGTACTGCATCATATGGTAGAAATAAAAGACAAATTAGTTGCACGTATGCAGGTGATAATGATATACTGCTGTATGATCTATCATAATCTATGACAGAAAAGTTGAAATCATCGGCTTTATCATAAAGTCAGTAGTGTAGTTGATATAGTTGGCCATCAATGTCTATATACTAGTATATAAATGTCGATTTGAACACCACAGCAAGAGATTTCTTTTCTCACAGACATTCCTGAATGAAATCTGTTACATTAAGAACACAAAAATAGATCTGATGGGACACAATAAGTACCCATGGGAATTTCAACAGATTGTTGAAAACGACTTAAGTTAGTGTAATTAGGGGTCAATTTTAGAGTATCCGTGTGTAGAATCTAAATGCTTTATAATAAAGTAAGTTTGAAGTTGACGAGTCACAACCAAAACAAAAACCAATATCATTCTGACTCCCATGTTTAAGTAAAAAAACCTAGTCTTCATTTTGCAGATTTTATTCAGTTGATTGAGTATTGTAACATATTACAATTGCATCTTTTTAGTGCTTTTGCAAGCTAGCAGCATTTACTGATATAATTACATCTCTAAAAGACAGTCTTTATATAAATATTTATATTTAACCAAATCATATATAAGTGCTAAATCACGAACATTTACTCGTTAAATTCTCATTCGCATGATACCGAACAAGTATAATATACTTACAGTAAGCCAGATAAGACAGTTATAATACAGTAATTTCCGGTAGAAATGTATCAAAATTAAGCAATTTTAATTTACAGGTGCCTTTTTTTCTACTTCTCGTTTCATATATATTACTCTACCTTATATTCATGAGGAACCAGATTAATTCATTGACTTGTAAACGCAAGTTAGTAGATGTATGCCCGCGATTAAAAAAAAATTATTTTAATTTTGTTTTCAACATTACAAAATACATAAGTTATTGAAACTCAAAAGCATACCGATTTTAAAATCAGAAAACCGATGAACGCGCCAATCCGTTAACTACAACGTATCTTAATATATTGTATTTTTTCTTTTTTTGGTTGTTGACTTTTTTTTTGTTTAGGGTCAAGGTTCAAGGTCAATATCAACTTTAGTCGAAGGTCAAGACCCATTTCACATAATTTGATATGTGAAATTAAATGATGAAAATCGTAATAGTTAACAACAAAATGATTAAACGTTTTTAATTTCACTTCGAATGTGGTAGAGAAATATTGATTTACATCGAAGAAAAAATGCGATCGGAATGTCATGAGCCAGGCGGGGCATTCACTGCTTTCTTTAGTAGTTTAGTATGAACGTGTCTTTTAAAAAGATCCTTTAGAATGCAAATGTTCATTCCAAGGCCACTCCCCAACCCACTTGCAATTTTGTAGTAGTATAGTGGTGATAAAGTGAATCCCGAACCCCCACCCTAATTTCTGAAATTTATAGAGAAAAAATACCGAAAAAAGAACTCCTCCCCCTCCTACCCCACTCCAGCCCTCAAACACATACCCGGTACTTATAACACTCAGAAAATGGAATTTTCCATTTTAGGAAGATAAGGTTTCTTGTTTCCTTATTTGTGAGTCAAAAAATAGAAGAAAACATCTTGACTTTTATGGAGGGAAATTATCGCAAATTACCCACGGACAATTAACTTTTTTCTTGAGACCTTGAACAATCTCATAAGCTTTTGTTCTGTTCGAAATCCCCATTTCAAAGAGTTTCTCTGCAGGTTTGAAGGAACCCACGTTTCAAGATGGATGCTGTAAGATGAATATGAATTATTTTAATCAGTTTCACAATTACATCAGTGATTTTGTACAGAAATGAATTCACTAGTAACAAAACAACAGTATGCATATAAAAGGCAATCAATGAATCACAATTGCAATTGTCTTCACGAGAATCCGATGCCATTCCGTGAAAATCATATCATAACTGAAATCAACTGCTTTTATTTCCAGCTTTTCCACCCGAAACTCGTGTAATACTGCATGTTGGTTTGATTTACTTTGTCCATATTTACAAAAATATCACACTTCATATCATAATTAATTGATGAAAGAATACTAGGCTACTCTGCTAGGTGGCGCTGTTGTAATCCTTGTGGAAACTGTATTCGCCGTGGTAGCGCGGGTGTTAGGTCGTGACCTCCATGGGGGCGGAGAGGGTCCCACCCTTCGTTTAACTGTCTCTGATTTACTGCAGCCGTTACCGCAGCAGCAACACCAACATATGCAAATCAATGCGATAAGTCCAACAAAAAATCCGAATCCAGCCAGCAGTCCGGTAAGCATGTCCTCCGAGAGGAAAGTGTTGGTAGACTAAAAAAAAAAGATTCATATGACTGAAACTGCAATTAAGTTCCAAAATTTCAAAATTTAAGTTCCCTCCCCCCAAAGTACAATCTCCTCCTAAAGTACAATACAGGAATGTTGAATGATATGCTCCATTTTGCAATTCAAGGCCTGGTATTTTTAGAGGTCTAATTTAAAATTTGTTCATATTACTAATAAATTGATGTCCTTTTGTATTTCTCTCCTAAAAATTCATATGTTTAACAAATCTTTCATGAAATGAATAACTCCAGCCTAGCTCTAGGCAGCATTCTGATTCAATAGATCTTAAGAAGATTGCAACTTCTTATTGAACATGAAATAGATCTAATGATCTCCTTGACAATGAATATACTAGTAGTATGTCATTTCATCTTTATGAGCACACAGCGGGAGTAATCGGTCGACAGGGAATGCTTACTCCTTCAAGGCACCTGATCCCATCTGTGATGATTTTAGAGGTTCGTGTTTGCTCTGCTCTCAATTTTTGAACTTGATTACTATTCATTATCTCCATATTTCAGTAAATTAAAACAATCTCTTCGAATCAGGCGAATAAAGAACATTATCTACTTACGACATCTGTAGAGTTCGACGCAAACACATCTGAAAAGAGAAGAAAACGATAAAAAAAAATTATGATTGTTGGATTAATTGAAGGGCAATGGAAACATATTTTTTCTTCAAGACCAAATTCAAAATGTAATTTTATATCAAAAAACCAAAAAATGATATATAATTTTTCTGTTTTCTTTTATGCGCCTACGCCTAAGAGCAAATTTTAAAATCTTGCAACATCAATTTTTCTCTTAAGGAGTGATTGCATGAAACAATCTTCATAAATTCCTCCATAAAACGTTAAAATTAATTTGAAAAAGTAAATTAGACAGTTATTTACAAATTTACATTTTGGACTTAGTCGTAAGTTGTTTTTTTTTTCTTTCTTTTTGGTCATAGAAATGGGAAATACCATTGGTTAAATGGTAAATTGGTATACCATTTGGTTAAATGGAATTCCTCAGTAGATCTAATTTTTTATATATAAAAAGGACAGCTGACAGATGAGTAGTAAACAATTATTTATAAAGTTTTATCCTTAAATTCATCAGGAACGTTGGAAATTTTAATTATATACATTTCTTATTTAAATCATGGAATTATTCCCCTTAGAGCGCGATCTTTAAATTGTAAGCAGGAATGTGTTGTTGTTTTTGTTGTTGTTGTTGTTGAGAGAGATAGAGAGAGAGAGAGAGAGATTTATAAATTTTATCCAGTTAAAGTTGTTTTTTTTTATGTTTTTCTCTTTAAAACCCGGATCTTGTTATATGTACTGTCTTTTATTAAGCGGTTAGCTAGCTAACCGCTTTATGAAAAAAACCGGAAACTTCCATAAGATATATATCTCTTTCCTTCTGGTTCCACAAGGCGCTTCATTTGTTTAAAATAATACGCCCCCTTCTATGCATGAAGAGTGGCTATTATAACGATTATATCGAATCATAAAATAAAAATTTTGAGAGAGAGAGAGCGATATAGCAACTGTATATTTTTGAAAGTTCTACAGAATTGTTATTACACAAATCTCTCGATCGATTTGATTTTCCTTGCCAAAGTATTCAATTTATTTTATCCAGCTTTTACAAACACAACTTTTTGTAACGTTTTTATAAACAATCCGAAACGTTTGTTTTTCTTCTCTTTTCTTCTCTGTCTAATAAACAGTTATAAAAGCAGATTCTCTATCATAATTTATTACAAACTTAAGGGATCACTTACTTTTAGTTTTGAAAAAAATTTATTAAAATTAATTTTGAAAAAAAATGGAGAAATATATATTAATTAATCAGCATAGCATTGTGATCCTCTTCTAAAAATCAACCGATATTATTTTCACAGAAGAATGAGGTATGAAAACTCTTGGCAATTAGCAAAAATTTAAAATATATACTTAATGCTTATTCATAAGTTTTGAAAATTTGATCAATTCCTAGGGAACGTATTATTAGCTGTGAAAATACTTTTGAAATTTGGATTTGTCCAATTTGTCGATTATTGTTTTGAGCGTTTGAGAAGAATTAAATTAAAATACAGGTGTTTAGAGGCACATTGATAGAAAAGAAATCAGTGTATATTGTTTAACCGACATATTGAAGAAAGTGACACTGATAACTTCTTAAGTTACACTGATTTTTAGTGTACATTTGGATTTTTAAATACTAGTATTGATTGATTAGACAACTTTCTTTTTCACGTTTTATTTGAGAACAATATTGCACGAAGAGTATATGGCAAATACACATTATATGTACTTATCTAGACATATTGTGCAAGACTTCTTTTAAATGATTCTCATATACCATTTACTTTATTCGAACATTTACCTGTTTGAAAAGTCAATAAAGTACATTTCATAAAGCTTGATAATCTTGTTTACTCGCCAGTCTTCCCGTAGAAGTAGTAGTTTATAATATTACTAAACGGAAGTATTCAATATCTGTATCAAAATACAGAATGATCAATGATCGATTTAAGAAGAAAAGCTGACTCCTGAAAGTTCAAGAGGTGGGATCCGTTGCCTAGAAGAAGTAAGCATCCCTCGTTGACAGGTTAATTATATAGCCGCGATGAGCCTACACAACTGAAGCTCTCTGATATCAATTCATTTACAAAGTCTCTGCTCAGCCATCCTTTTTTTCTCTGACTAGAAAGCTGTAGATCTACACTACTCCAAATCCATTAATCTAAAGAATTTAACTTGTCATTTTTTTTAGTTGTTTGTTATAGTAGGCTTTACAATTACCTAATTTCAGTTTAACTTAAATTAATAAAAGACAGTACTGTCGAAGATCCCAAGGGACTGACAATCAAAAAAAAAATGATATGCATGGAGGATCGAACATCTGATTTTAATCGGATTGCGGTGGAATAGGTCCTTGTTTGCAGAGCGGTTAAGGAAGTTTAGAATTCTCAGTAACCCCACAAACTCGGGTTTTATGTGCAGTAAGTGGGTTAATAATATCGATATATGGTATAGATTTATTGAAACCAGAGTCCTTATTTCCATGAGTTGAAAGTATGTCCTAGTGGCAATTTTGCATCGATTTTTAAAATTCTGCAGTGCATCTTAGCACTGGAACTTGTACTGTATGGTTCTATATATAAATAAAGGTTTTAACCATGAAATACCATCAGCTGAATATTATTTACATCCTGTTCTTTATGCACTGATTTAGATGATATTTATTCATTGGATATAATGATGCCAGGCATATCTGAATCTATAATATATATTTTCTTCAAAGTAAAAATATCAGCATTAAAATATACAATCATCTACTTCATGGTTAACTGTATATCGTGTTTCATACAGTTTTGGTACTTAAGCTGCAATTCAATACAGTAACAACATATCCTGATTAACCAAGTAATATTTTTATTGGGAAAACATCCTTTTAAGTATAAAGAAGTAACTTTGAATGACATTTTAGAAAATGGTCTCTTTGAAGCCAGCACAAATTCTTAATTAATTTCCTTTCTTTTGGGATATAGCATATAGATCTACAATATTCACTTACTCTTATACAAGTTAAAAGTGTTTTGAGCGCAAGATAATATTTTTCCTTCTTAAGCTTCGGTTGATAAATTTGAAATATCTTGGACATGGTGAAGTGTGTGATAGCAAGCTTTCATCTTTTCCTGTCACTAGTTGGGTCCTTTCTATAAAGGTCCTTTTCCTACTGCGATGTTTTGGGTGAGATGCTGGAAGATAGTGCTCCTTTTAGCTAATGTAATGTTTGGTTGCTAAATGTCACTTTCCGGAGTTGGTCCTATTTTGGTCGACGGAAATCAGAATCCAAGATTCTTCGTGACCCAACTTTGAGAACAGAAAAAGAATCAGTGCTGCATCAAAAAGTCGACAAATTAAGCTTTGTGTATTGTGTGCAAATCCTTTCAAATGGATTATTGGTTTTGTTGGCTGTAATGTAAAATGTCCAATGCACAATTGAGCTTTTTATAAGCAAAATCAATAGCATTTTAAGTCTCTCATTACAACACTGAGATCAGGCAGACTGCGGGGCCGCCGGAAATGTTGATTGCGCAAGAAAACTCCCTTGTTCTGGGATCCATTGAGCGCCTAACAGAGCAGAAAGTATTGGCACCGACAAGCAATTCCACTGGCTGTCTTCAACATTACCTAATTGCAGTGTTTCATTGCAATGACTCATTCGTCCAGTTTTTGTCATTTTCTTGCAATCAATCGTTATTTGACGATTCTTTGGGTATTGTTTTGATTTCCAATTGAAATTTGGGTTTTTGTAAATACTAAAATGCAAAATCTTATACGAAGGACAAATAAGTATCATATGTTGTGCGTAGAGAATAAATCGAAATCTTAGAACGCATTACAACCATACACAATATGATACAACCTCATAAAAAAGTTAGATCATTATGATAAATGAATTGATAAATCACAAAGTGTGTATCAAGTGTCCATTTTCCGTGACTACGGGTCATCTGCCGCGTACAAGATGACAACAAACACGTTAGTTAATTATTCACCGACATTGATTGGGTCTGATACATCACTAATTGTATTCTCCAGGAATTTGAGAGTTGACAACTTCATTGTATTAAGTTTCCATTAAGACCACATTTCGAAAAATTCTTCATTAACTTCGCCATTTAACGGCGCGGTGAACAACTGGGATACACACTTATTGGTGTGTAATTTCGTAGCCGATGTTTGTGGCAATTTTATAAACGAAAATTTTACTAGTAAAGTGAATTAACGCAAATACTGTCTGGAACCAAGATTCAATTTTTCTTTAGAAATGGATTAAGACCAGACTTTTTACACAATATAAAGTCTTAAATATATATACATGTACGTATTTAACCAATCCTTCAAGACAATGAATATGAAACCCTATACGTATTTAACCAATCCTTCAAGACACTTTTTACAGGATATAATGTCATAGGTATTTAACCAATCCTTAAAGGGATTTTTTTTTACAGGATATGAAGTCTTAAGTATATACTTCACATATCCTTTAAGATAACTTTTTACAGGATATGAAGTCTTAAGTATTTCACATGTCCTTCAAGATAACTTTTTACAGGATATAAAGTCCTAGGTATTTAACCAATCCTTAAAGGGATTTTTTTTTACAGGATATGAAGTCTTAAGTACTTCACATATCCTTCAAGATAACTTTTTACAGGATATGAAATCCTAGGTACAGTATTTAACCAATCCTTAGCCTATCCATTTTATGTTGTCAAATGCATTTCTGGAGCCAAGTATTCTATCATGCTGAGGAATTTTTTTAAAAATGTACGCAAAAAATATATTCATAATGAATGTCCTTCATTGGATTTTGATTGTATGATTGTGAGGTTAAATCCGTTCACTGAATAAAAACAAGTCACCTTTAAAAAAAAAAAGAGAGAGATTAAAAAAAACTGTAATTCTTCGACAAATCCATCATCATTCAGCTCATGGCCAATCAACAATTGAATATTCAGTTCATGTAACAATAGACTGTTTAATTGTATTTTGTTTTACGTCAATTGCGAGAATTTTCACTCATTATGAGACGTCACCACATTCCGATGTGAAGGACTTACAATTTAGAACTTTACTCGGCACTTAGTCGGCCATTGAACAAACAGTAAGGATTCTTTATTTTTGCCAATGCCAACTGTGACACGAGACCTACGTTTTTTAAGGTCTTATTGGAAAGACATGTAATTTCCCCTTCTGATGCCACAATGACGTCGGAAGCAAATTGAAAGTGGAAATTTTCACATTTGGTAACTAGTCATCAGCAAAATTAGTTCGTTAAAAGTCCATCTGATTCTACACATAAAAACCCCGAAGCTGAATTAAAAGAATGCTTAAGTTCTTCATTGACAACATTCTGTAATCTTCAGAGACCAAGTCATAACGGGCACTAATTGTGCTCCTGTATTAGCCGACCTATGTTGATATGAAGCAGAATTGATTCAAAAAACTTCTTTTTATACATGAGAAGAACAAAGCACTTGCAGTTGCCTTTGACTTGACATTCGGATAAATCGACAACGTTTTTGCAAAAACAAATATAGTTGTTTCCATTGATATATCTATATATCCCAGTAAACTTGAAATAAAAGACACAACAGAGTCTGTCACTAACAACTAAAGTGTATGACAAGATGGTGTCAACTTTTCCATCGTCAACTTTCCATTTATACTTATGTAGCAATATTCCGCTATCATCTACATAGGTGTTTAAGTCTCCCAGCTTATTCGCTCCTCAAAAACATTTTCAAAGTGGGATCATTTTTTAAACTGAGGCAAGCCTCTCACACATAAGTTGATGTTACATGGATTTCAACAACCTCGTTAAAAGTCAGCATTTCATAAATTCCTGGGTCGTCATAATGATTTGGTACCAATTATAACCTATCACTTTGTCATATTTTTAGGCCTTTGTTTTTGTAATGTTCGGTGTACCTGATCAATAAATATAATTTATATATAATAACCGGTGTGACCAGTCAGCAGAGGATGTTTACTTCTCCTAGGTATGTGATCCCATCTCTGGATATTCCGGGCTCCGTGATTATGTTCGATTCAGAGAATAGTATTTATTGTTTGTGGTTTTTATGAGGTGGATCGCTGTTCGTCATCTTTACATTTTTATTTTTAAAGAACACGGGAAGAAAAAGAAGAGCAGACAACAGCATTGTAACAAAACTGTCCAACTTATGAACATTGAATAAATCTGCATAAAATAGAGATGAAAAATTAAGTATTGAAAAGAAATATTTTGACTTGTGTCCTCCAACAAATTGTCATCTGAAAACTAAATTTGTTTCCGTCACTAAAAGCAGTCATATCTTCTGGGAGCAGAGGAAAGGGCAAGTACTAGTATTCCTGGATTTCATAGTTTAATTTAATTTGCACTGCTATCTATAAAATTGAAATTTTGAAATATATCTGTACTTCATTTATATATTCATGTTGCAATACCAGTATATCATATCGGTATGCGCAATATACCGCATATATAAATAGAGTGTTTTTCTTATTTACCCTTTTTGCGAATATCTATATAAACTGAGTTGGTATTTCTACTGAAGAGTCTGACTAAATATGTGGAATACATCATCAAAAAAATTTCTAGATTATATGTAATTTGTATATATTCGAACACAATCCGACATTTATTTTCGTTATCACAACCTTTAAGATACACTACATTTTCAAAGCAATAAAAATATACTAGTAATTGTTTGTTATATACGTATACTTCATTTAAGTGGACTTAAATAATTTAGATAAAAATACTTTGGGCAATATTAATTATTTATTTTTTCGTGAAAAAATGAAAGTATTATGAGATCAAAATCATGAGATATTCGAAATATATTAAATATTACACTAATCAACCTTTGTGTGAGTCTAGGAAGTGTTCAATATCAATTAAGATTTCATTTTTCCCTTATAAAAAAGAACAGAGAATATCAATTAACGATAAAACTAAATAATGGTAACTAAAAAGGGGCTTACCGTTTGATAACAGAAACTGCATCAGCGAATACTGTGCTATCTTTAAAATGTTAGTCCCTTTTACAATCATTGTGAATATATTTTTAGAAGTAACATGAAGTAGTTTTGTCCAAAGTTAACTGTCTCTTTTTCATGTTGTAACATTTTTGTCCGAATTGTATATACTGATCATTTCTTCACAACATCTCCATCCTCAGTGCCGGTGCAATTACCTATGAAATGTGACGCATGCGCCTGGATTCCCTTGATGAAGTAAAAATCATTGCACCTGTATTGCGCGATCAATTAAACCTGCATCCATCCCTAGGCGATTTCAATTTTATCGATTGTTTTGAAATGGTCATCAGCCTTTGTTTAGTGTTTTCTGTTAATTTACTTTTAGGCGTAATACACAACATATCCAATTACTGGATGACCTTTGATTTTATGTTCAGGAAAACCCCCCAAACGCGCTACTAATTGTTCTTTTGTTTTTCTGTGATTTGTTGTAGTTAATGCGGGTTGATTTCAGGTGAAAAGTACACATGTGGTCAATATTGTTTCAAGCAACGATAGCATCAAGGCAGCAAAGTGAAAACAGAGTCCAGTCCTAATTGAAATCTGTTGACATACACTTACAAACTGCATTAGCTGTCCATAAACAAAATTAATTTGTGTGCGTCGAATTTGAAGAAAATATTTACACAGCAATTGAAATTGAACATTTTAATAAAATGTTAACTTCGTCCTTGATTTTCAAGGTCAGAGAACATATTTCTATTATGTATATATTTCCCCCAAAAATTATGATTAAAGTTATGGAACTTCTAAACAGTCTTTTTAATAAATTGATTCGTAGCTCTCTGATTTGTCTGTGCAAATTCTCTCAACAAGGCTAGAGAACCTTAGCTCTGCAGCTGGGAGATTGTAATAGGACCAAGGTTGGGGGTCAGGGTCATTTATCCAGATATCACCATCACTATGGAAACATTCAAATCCATAAATCCTTGGGGGGGGGGGGGGGGTAAGGAGATTCGAATCAGATACATGGTTATCAAAGATATAGCCGTATGTTTAATGAACTAATATTTACGTCGCGTTGAAATTTTTGAATTTATCGGATAGATGTCATTTTTTTGTAATTATGTTTTACTGTCAGCCAGGTTATTGTAATTTAACCCTTGAATAAAGTTCATAATCCAAGTGTCAGCGTTGTTCCTGGTGACATAAAATGACTTCATTTGATAGTTGATGTTAAACAAAAATAAGCATATAAATAGCATCTCTTACGTTCACATGTATATCTTCTTCTTTTCTTTGTTGTTAATCAATTTATTTATTTATTTTGTTATCATGTGTTCTCTTATTTCATTTTATTGGTTGATTAATTTCTTTTTCATTATCGCTTGGTGGAGAGATGAGCTAGGAGCGGGTATTCTCACAACTTTTCTTGTTGGTTTGGTCTGGACTTTGTTTAGCACTAAGAATGAAACAACAAAATCAATGATATCGCAACAAATCTGTCACTAACTAAATCCATTCAAACACCATCCTTGACGATGAGCCATTATAAATACCTGCACTATATAGCCTTTTACTAGTGTATGTAGGTCGTACGCCTTAGCAACTAACAAGGAACAATTACAACTGCGCTAATTTGCGATTATATACCGATATCTCGATTTCTTCAAAATATTTTCTCTATTATAAATTTATAACAGTATTGTTCAATATGACAGACAGCAGTCTTTATGATATTTCCTGGAGTGTGAAGCAATATCTTTTGATGATTTTACAAATGTTTTGAGAAAGGGTTGAAATAGCTATATATACTTTGACACAAAAGAATCAAATCGTTTGTATGTGCGCCATAACTGATATTGATGATAGTCAATTCTACGTTTGATCCACGATGTGTTTTATTTAAACAATAAATCGATGACTACGGAACGTGAGCTGTACTAAATCAGGAATGTATGCTCAATTAATATTGTTTAATTACGGATTCTCAATGAACTCTTGCGGCATCTTAAAACAAATGGTAAATCTAGATCAATCAGAACATACATTGAACCAGCAAGGCTCTGTTTTGTTCTGTTTGTTAGGTATGGGTACTTTCGGCGATTGATGAATCAGCAAACCTGGATTTGCAGGAATCACGTGTATACAAAAACGCGTGATTTGCTTGAACTTTTTTTCTATATGTATAGTATATAGTCGAAGATGGTAATTTTTTGCAATATACGGGCCGTGTAACTTATGAATTATAAATCTGATCAGGTACCAGACATCTTAATTTGTACGATTGTAGAAGTTTATGTAGGCAATGCATGCTTAGACACAAAACAAGCCAGAAGGAATTCTTGAATCCTAATGACAACTTGTATAACCTGCCGCAGACTTGATTGTCCATAAACAAAGGTTGATAAAGGCCAGCAACACCACCGAGCACTAATTTGAATGGATACTTTTGAATTTTGATTAAAAACCTTGTTTTAAACCTCCAACCCACGTTCTTACGATGAAACAAGAAATTCTGAACCATTATTGCATCTATCTATAGAGCACAACAAATCTTATTCCAAAGAATTTTATTAATTCAAATGTAAGAAGAGTTTGTTAAACCAGCTCTTTGAAGCATTTTTTTTCAAAGCCCGCAATCGCTTCCAGGGTGTAAATCAAAATTCCGAAACCCCACTGCTCATCTACTAGTGACACCGGATGTCATTCGAACTAAAGGTAATGTGAGCACTGAGCTCACAAAACCCCCACCCCAAATGTTCATAAAGGCAAATTCCATGTTTTGCTACGGGAGATCCCAAATAAGTGTCAATTTAAAAAGTAAGATAGGATGCACACAATGGCATTATGTAGCAAAGATTCTTCACAAGTTTATTCCTTGTGACAAGATCGACCATCCTTTTGCCACCATTAATCTTAATCATTTGACCTTAATTAGCCTTGCAGTTTGACTTCTTTGAGGAAGTTTGACCTTGGTCATAACTATTGATCGGATGGTGAAAGGGCTTTTTCATTTTTCAGGTGTTTTTTTTTCTCGTGACAATACCTTTTCTTTTGACAATACCTTTCTTTTAAGTGACATTATTTTTTATCTCTTGATCTCGAAGTTTGACTAGCAAATGAGAAACTTTAACCCTCTCCGTAAGATGCCATACAGGAGCATATATGAGGTATACTTGGTATAACTTTAGAAAGGTTGATGTAATCGCTTTTATACAGTTTTAAATGTTTATCACTTGAATCATGAAACTTTTATTCTCCATCGGTGGGATTCGCATCCCTGAACCCTACAACTGTCCCGTACCCACTGGACACAGGCACCTGCATGGCGCTACATATTTTTCTTATATAGATAAACATGTAACACATTCCATGAGTAAAAAATATTTGTTGTTATTCTTTTGACTTTGGGTTAATTGAACCTACAAGTGTATTTTAAGAAAACTTCAACTTTTTCTATAAGTATAATGGTTAACGCAAGGGCTCTTACATTTGACTGGGGGTTCCTTTTGACAGGGCCTTCCCACGGCTTTTGAATGAAAGATAGAGACTTCAAATTTGGTAAGCATACTCCACTTATCATTAAGCTCTTTAAATAACACCAAAGTCAATGACCTTGTTACCTTGACTGTGACTTATATGCTAAAAATAGCCTTTTTGTCTGCAAACTTTAACCTTCGCCATGGAACTTCTGAACCATGAGAAATAGAGACTTTATATTTGTATGCGTACTCCACTAATTAAGCTCTTTCAAATGACACCAAAGTCAATGACCTTGTGACTCTGACTGTGACCTATATGCACAAAATAGCTTTTTTGAACCTTCACCATAACTTTTGAACCATGAGAGATAGAAACTTCATATTTGGTATGCTTACTTCACTAATTAAGTTCTTTCAAATGACACGAAGATCAATGACTTTATGACATTGACTGTGACTTATATGCTAAAAATAGCTTTTTCGTACCTTCATCATAACTTTTGAACCATAAGAGGTAGAGACTTTAATTTGGTGTACAAACTCCATTAATGAAGTTCTTTTCAAATAGCACCAAGATCAATGACTGTGAGCTTGAGTGTGACCTATATGATAAAAATAGCTTTTTTCGAACTTTGTTGCCGTCGGGCGCATAGTGTTCACAAACACATCTTGTTTTCTCTTGATCTTTGAATTTGACTTGAATTTGAGAAACATCAACTTTCGCCATGAATTGCCATGCGGGTGCATTGATCAGTGTTTCACATCTACAACCTCTCTTTTTGACTGTTTTTGTATCAAGTGATCAATATGATAGTACTGGTTTACATTCATGTATCTCTGTCACTAGATCTATCGTACGTCTGTCTGTTCTGTTCAACTTAAGCTGTTTTTTCGATTCATGTCGGAGATTTTGACCGGGTTTTAATATTTACTATTAACAGAAATACAGACAATTATCATATCTTCATTACTGATCAAAAGCTCCTGCGTCTCGGGTTGTCAGGATACCTACTGGCAATGAGGGAAGGGCAGTACGACAGTTTCGATCTGTTATCGTATAACTTATTGTTTATACACCGTGTTTGAGAGTGCTTTTTTTCGTTTTATCTAAGACTTTGTTGTGTAATCTCTGGGTATGTCAGGACAGTGTAATTAATATCGGCGAGTATTTCGTCTATCTATGGGTATGTTAGGACAAAATAATTATCATTGGCAAGAATTTTAGTCTTTTTCATGTTTTTTTTTAATTCTAAACATTCGTTTATCTTTCCTTGCTTTTGTTTTGGTAAATATCACTTGTTTATGAATTATCTTCAACAATATATGTTTTGTTTGTAAAACAGTGTTACAGTTTAGAAATGCTGAAAAAAGATAAAAAGAATTTAGTGTTAACAAATATTAAAACTTAATTGTTAGAATAACTTTAGGTCACAAATACTATATTTAATTTCACGTAATCACTTTTTACGCACCCGTAAACGAAATCTGAGGGTTGTTCGAAAAGTTCGTGGACGATGTCAATCTTCGTTACACTTCTTTCAAGAAATTTGAAATAAGCTCAATAATATCATGTGTACAAATAATTGTTTAGTTAATTTGTGAAATTTCCGTTCGATTTAATAGAAATCAATTTATTTCATTTTCCGATTTTTTCAGATTTTAATTCTGGATAGGTTTCAAATAAATATGGTGGTATATTTAGGACACGCAATTATATTTTTTTAAATACCAGAAAAAAATTATCTTGTGCAAACGACATAATTATCTCGTGAAAACGAGATATTATCTTGTGAAAACGACTTATTATATTATGTCGTTTTCACAAGATATTAGATCGTATGTCGTTTTCACAAGATAATATCTCGTTTTCACAAGATAATATCTCGTTTTAACAAGATAATATCTCGTTTTCACAAGATAATAAGTCGTTTTCACAAGATAATATCTCGTTTTCACAAGATATTATCTCTTTTTCACAAGATAATATCTCGTTTTCACAAAATATTAAGTCGTTTTCACAAGATAAAAATTCTCGTTATCGCAAGATAATATCTCGTTTTCACAAGATAGTAAGTCGTTTTCACAAGATAATTTCTCGTTTTCACAAGATAATTTCTCGTTTTCACAAGATATTATCTCTTTTTCACAAGATAATATCTCGTTTTCACAAAATAGTAAGTCGTTTTCACAAGATAATAAGTCGTTTTCACAAGATAATATCTCGTTTTCACAAGACAATTATGTCGTTTTCACAAGATAATTCTTTTCTGTTATTTAAAAAAAAAACAATTGCGTGTCCTAAATATACCACCGTAATATACCACCGTAGTATCGAAATAAACGAATTTTAAAAAAAAAACAAGTTTATGAATTGTGTGTGTTTTGTGTGATTATTTTTATGATCATGTTAATAATCATTGAATATTGATTATTCCATTTTGAAAGAAAAAAACATTAATTGATACAGATGCACTAAGCCGGAAAGACAAGCATTGGACCTAACTATTATGTGTCGATAAAGTGTTTCCTGTTTGAGCGGCAAGGAAGGGCAACGTGAACGTGACGTGAAGTTGAACTTTAAGGCCTAATATTTATATCACATTTGAAGAAAGAAAAGAACCATGGCACTAAATGTGTCCTTTCAGAAGGAGAAAATCCCCACAGGTATATATAAACCATCTTATCACACCCACTGAATTACTGAATGTTGCATCATCCACACCATTTTAATACTAGTTGACGGTTTCATATTTCACACCATATTTGTGTTTGGATATCACAAGTCAACATGGTGTTGTATGTGACATTGCAAGAAAACCAAACTCCACTAGGTTATTTATTAATTTATTTTTAGATGTATACATTTATGATTTATTTACTTTGCTTTCCAAGATTAATTGAATCCTGCAACAGTACTATATTGATCATAAAACAGTGTTTTTTAATAGTTTTTTGTTGTTGTTATTGTCTTCCAGCTGCACTATTGACAGCAGAATATCTAGCACAGAATAAGCTGGTGAAATGGTCACTTGAGGAGAATACAGTATTAACAGCTGATGGGTAATAAAGTGTTTTTAAAACCCTAAAAAAAAATTTGACATGTACATGTAATTCCTTAGATAGAACGTTCTATTGTTAAATGATATTGTCCTATGGACCTGGTGTAATGATAGAATTCGTTCCGTGTATTCGTAATGTAGCAAAAGAAACATGGGCGATAACTCGTACTCGCTATAACTCAGTGCATTTACTACGAACAATCTAGAGAGCTCCGAATGTAAACATGGCAGGTAAATTTGAAGCGAGAGAAAAACGTTGAGAAAATTAATTGGATTTTCATCTTTAGATGGATTAATTTTTGGGATAAAAGGCTTAAGCAATCTCAAAAAGGTTTGTTTTGATGAATTTGGTAGTTATTTCCAGTGCAAATCCTTTTATATTCTTCAAAATCGTTTCGGAGCGGATCCGCTCCGATTTGCTACATTGCTAGTATACGGGACGTATTCTAACTGTGGTGAGGGCTTGTACCGAGACACAGTTAGATCATTCTAACTAGTAATTCCTCAGTAAACCCCAAAGAATAAAGAAAATATTGTTATAAATATCAATAATAAATGCACTACTTTGAATTTAAAAAAATGTTATTTTCAGATCAACTTTGAATAACAACTTCACTATTTGTCGATTTCTTGCTAACAAGTTTCATAAATTTGGACTATATGGAAATACAATTCTGGAGGCATCTGAGGTGAGTAAATTTTCTACAACTGAACCTTGTTAATCTCTTTTACTTGTGTTCCCAAACACATTTTCATCCAGAAGGTGAAACCTCCATTTAAATCAATAATTATAAGCTTCCAGATTACTATGGTTCCCTTGTATATTATAAACTGTGTGAAGTGCTTCAATAAAAACTAACATTTTAAAATCAGCTTGATTAGTTTGCAAAAAATTATTTTGTAAATATTTTTGTTAACAATTTGTTCATATCATATTGATTTATATTTCTCCTCTTTTGAATAAGCAGTAGTTAGGAAAACATCACTCGTTTGTCTAATGTTTGAACATACTGAACCCAATCATTTCAAATTATTCATTTAGTGCACATGTTTAATGATACATAAGTCTTACAGGAGTGTTTCGAATTTGACTTGATATATAATGTGACCAACAGATTGACCACTGGATGACCTTTGCTGCTGGGTCCTTGTCTTGTGCTGCCAAGTTTTCCTTAGCTCTCAATTATCTTGATAAAAGTTTGGAGCCTGTCACATACTTAGTGGGCAAGTCATTGACATTGGCTGACTTTGCTATTTGGGAAGCACTTCAAAGTAAGTAACAATTATATTCTGAAGAAGTTGCAGACCATTGAAATTTCTGGCCGAAGATTTTTCTTTCCTACTAAAAATAGGGATGTGACTCTTAAACAAGAGGAGATAAATAGAGAAATAAAACAAATAGTGGTTGCTATAAAATCTTCTCAAGGGCTCCTGGGTAGATTATCACCAAACGTATGGATAAAGATGAGATTATATTGTAATTAAAAATTTGTTCAAGAATCACCTTAATTTTTTTTGGGGTGGGCTCACAGTAGGTCACCATGAACCCAGTTTTTTGGATTGCACAATTGCATCTCAATATTTTGGATAATTAGAGAGTTAGATTCTTTAAAATTTGTCAGTTAATGCAACTTCACTTTATGAAATGTTTCATGAAAGTTGACTTACTGTAGATTCCTAAATATGTATATGCGTGGAATTAATTATTGCCTAATTTCACGAGAAGCACCACACGCGAAATAAAATTACTTGCCTTAATTTTATGGTTCTGACTTTTGAAATCTATGCAAGATCTCTTGACCAACCGTCCATTCGCAACTTATTATTCTTGCCAATTGACGTTGAAGAGCCCATTCGCGATAATAAGTACTTTCGAAAAATAAGGAATCTACAGTAGTTGGGTCTTGAATTGTCCAACCAAAGAATAGGACACCATGACCTACTTTTGGAATTGTATTGCTATTTCTAAATCAGATTATTTGAGGATTGGAATCATCAAACTTTGTCAGTTAATGCATCTTGGGTTGAGTATGTAAATCAAAAAGAAGAGGACAATTTTGGAATTAGATTTAAGATTTTACCTAAATATTTATGGTACTGAGATGCTTAAAGTAGAAGTGATAGAATTGAATATTTTATTAGAAGAGGGATTCTAGGCCCTTGGTCCATATTTGATTAACTCTTGTAAACTTGCTTATAATCAAATTTCATAAAGACAATTGATTGATAAGCATGTACATGCAGGTCTTGTGTCAATGAAACATCACAGGCACCTGACTTTACTTGTCTTAGTTAATCACATTAAAATCACTTTTTGTTACCTGTGTATATTAATTGTAATATTTAGGCAGTAGCAAATTCCAGACACTGCTAGCAAGTGGAGATGCAGGCATCAATGTGACCCGCTACTACAAGTTTCTGAGCAATCAGTCCTTGTTCAAGGTCGCAGAGAAAACACTGCCTAAGGTCAAGGCCATTGATGAAAAGAAATTGGACAAAAAATCAAAACAGTCTGTAAGTACTGTAAAAAGCTTTGATGGGATTTCTGTATTTTACAGTGTTAAGCATCTAAAAAATTAATTATTATGACAGCATAATACAACCATTATATTATTATGTATATCCCAGTATATCTAGACTAAAGGATGCATTAATTATATCCTCAGGATGTACCTGTACTTTTTTCTGTTTTATTTGTCCTCTCGTTTATGCTGTGTTGTTTTAATTAAATCTATAGAAAAAGAAAGATGAAGGAAAATTTGTGGATTTACCAGGGGCAGAGGTTGGAAAAGTTATTGTTCGCTTCCCACCAGAGGCTAGTGGGTAAGTCTGCATTTTTTCATTCTGACAAATTTTATAGAAATAAACAAAATGGAGTCAATTAAACTACCGTATTAAAATAAAATGTTTGTAACCACTTAACAAGTTGGCTGTTACAGTGCACTATTGTTCAATGCATAGATTTTATTAGAAAACTATGAATCCAGAAAGATTTAGATTATATATAATATTGCCTGACATTGAATTCATTTCTGTCTCTCACAAAGATATCTACACATTGGTCATGCCAAGGCAGCCCTACTAAACTACCACTACAGAGAGATGTTCAAAGGGACACTCATTATGAGGTTTGATGACACTAATCCAGCCAAGGAGAATGAGGAATTTGAACAGGTATTGATCAATCAACTTAGAGTAGCCATATTTGATTTTCTAGTATGTACATGTATTTTTTTTTCATGAAACAAACATCATTTACATTGTAAATGATTTACACTTTCAGTTTACATTGTAGGTGATTTACACTGTCTGTTAACAGTGTAAATGATTTACACTGTCAGTGTATATTGTAGGTGATTTAATACACTGTCAGTTTATATTAAAGTTGATTTACACTGTCAATTCACATTGTAGGTGATTTTGAAGGATGTCGCTATGTTAGGAATTACGTACGATAAGTTCTCCTTCACCTCGGACTACTTCGATCAGATACTGAACTTGTGTGAGAAAATGATTAAGATAGGCAAGGCGTATGTGGATGATACAGATCCAGACACCATGAAAAAAGAGCGAGAGGAACGCAAGGACTCGGTCAACAGAGACAACAGTATGTACCTGTCTTTGTTGTTTGTAATATACATTAATTCCTCTATCTGATGTCAGGTTTACTCAAAATTTAATTCAATTTTACATAAGTAATGTATAATCATATAAAGAGTATAAACTTTTCGTCAATAATTTTTACATTGTTTAGGAATAGAGCATATATCCCACATTCTGCTAATGCAAGGGTGATTGATAGCTGTCACTTAATTGTAGACTTCTGTGTATTATGAAGCTTGATATGTTTTGAATAAAGTTAATGATGACATTGTATGTGTACATTTATTGTGTTAGGTGTAGAGAAAAATTTAGCTATGTGGGAGGAAATGAAAAAGGGTACAAGCAGAGGACAGAAGTGTGCAGTGAGGGCCAAGATTGACATGAAGTCTGACAATGGGTGTATGAGAGACCCCACTCTGTATCGCTGTAAAGTAGAGCCTCACATCAGAACAGGAATCAAATACAAGTAGGTGTTGTACACAGTTTTAGAGTCTGTAGAAATGGAATTTCAATGAGAAATCTAGACATGCACAAGCTTTGATAGATCTTTATATAATTATGCTCTGTAATCCCAATACTCTTTCTTTTCTGACTTACATACCATGATCTTTTTTTGACACAGTGTGTATCCCACATATGACTTTGCCTGCCCTATTGTGGACAGTGTTGAGGATGTAACCCATGCCCTGAGGACAACAGAGTACCACGACAGAGATGAACAGTACTACTGGATCCTGAATGCTCTAGGTAAGGTTTAGATCAGCTAGTCAGTACACTCGGGCTTTGTCAGAGATCTTCAGTAGATTTAGTTAGAGCACTATTTTAAAGTTTTGTTCAGAAGACTAGTAGATCCTTAGAGGGGAACCTCTGATACTCTGATAACAGAATTTTTGCACATTTATTGATTGTAATATTGTAATCTGCATCCAGTTACATGTACTGTAAATCACTCAGAAATACTTTTATTGAAGAGACATCAGTAAACTCTCGTGTAAACTTGATAACATTTTGATAAAAAAGGTCTTGGAAAATATACGAAGGCAGTTACATTCCATCTGGGTGCTTAAAAGAGTTTGGTGAGAGGGTACTGTGTAGGAAGCTGTTTTAATGAAAAATAAAGTTAATTTAGTTCTGAATGCATTGTTTTAGATGAAGTTAACAAATAATGTTGTTTCTCTAGGTCTACGACGCCCTTTCATCTACGAGTACAGCAGACTTAATCTACAAAACACAGTCCTATCCAAGAGGAAGCTAACCTGGTTTGTCAATGAGGGGATTGTTGATGGATGGTGAGTACCTCATGCAGCTTTCTTAGAGCATTATTAAGCTGTATCCTCTAACTAGCTTAGATAGAAACCTATGAAATATCAGCTGTATGAATGCTGTATAATTTCAGGGATGATCCCCGATTCCCTACAGTGAGAGGAGTACTAAGGAGGGGAATGACAGTGGAGGGGTTAAAACAGTTCATTGTGGCTCAGGTAATATAAGTAGTGTGGAATAACCTTAAAATACAAAATGACACAAATGGTAAATTATGTATGTATAACAGTTTTATTCTGTGTTTGTAGGGATCATCTAAATCTGTTGTTATGATGGAGTGGGATAAAATCTGGGCAGTCAACAAAAAGGCAAGATTTGAATTTGCTTTAATTGTTAAAATAAACATTATTTTTGGTAAGAAAACAAATATAGAGGAAACCTTCTTTTAGGTGATTGATCCAATTGTTCCAAGATATACAGCCTTGCTGAAAAAAGAAGTAGTGCCTGTTCATGTGAAAGATGCCTCTACTGGGAAGATGAGTAAGCCTAAACACCCAAAGGTACCCAAAACTTCCTGTTGTCATGATAATGCTTCATTACGTGGTTTAAAGAAAACTTTTGAAGTGCCCCTATGGTAAAATTGCCATTCATGGATTTTTTTAGGTCACCTGAGTAACTCAGGTGACCTATTACTATCCGTTTTCGTCTGTCGTGTGTCGTGTGTTGACATTTGAACTTTTTCAGCTTCTTCTCTAAAACCACTGAACCAATTTCAACCAAATTTGGTATACAGCATCTATGGGTGAAGGGGAACACAAATTTTGAATTTCATAGTCCCCGCCCCCCTGGGGCCTGAGGGGTGGGGCCAAAACCACTAAAATTAATGAAATCTTTAAAAATCTTCTTCTTTACTCCTGGACATCAAGCAGGCAAACTGTTGGCATGAATGTAATGAGCATTGAGTCCTCTACCAAAATTGTGAAATTCATGGCCCCAGGGTCAGGGGTTCTAGTGCTATGGCGGGGCTCTATAGATTATATAGTGAAAATGCATTATTTCTTTGAAAATCTTCTTCTCTGCTCCTGAGTATTAAATAAACTAACTAAGAACATAGTTATGATGAGCAAGAGTGCCTCTTCCAGATTTGTGAATTTTATGGCCCCAGGGTCAGGGGTTCTGGTGTTAGGGCGGGGCTCTAAGATTATATAGTGAAAATGCATTATTTCTTTGAAAATCTTCTTCTCTGCTCCTGGGTATTAAATAAACTAACTAAGCACATAGTTATGATGAGCAAGAGTGCCTCTTCCAGATTTGTGAAATTCATGGCCCCAGGGTCAGGGGTTCTAGTGCTAGGACAGGGCTATATAAATTATATAGTGAAAATGCATTATTTCTTTGAAAATCTTCTTCTCTGCTTCTGGGTATTAAATAAACTAACTAAGCACATAGTTATGATGAGCAAGAGTGCCTCTTCCAGATTTGTGAATTTTATGGCCCCAGGGTCAGGGGTTCTAGTGCTAGGGCGGGGCTCTATAGATTATATATTGAAAATGCATTATTTCTTTGAAAATCTTCTTCTCTGCTACTGGGTATTAAATAAACTAACTAAGCACATAGTTATAATAAGCAAGAGTGCCTCTTCCAGATTTGTGAATTTTATGGCCCCAGGGTCAGGGGTTCTAGTGTTAGGACGGGGCTCTATAGATTATATAGTGAAAATGCATTATTTCTTTGAAAATCTTCTTCTCTGCTCCTGGGTATTAAATAAACTAACTAAGCACATAGTTATGATAAGCAAGAGTGCCTCTTCCAAAAATTGTGAATTTTATGGCCCCAGGGTCAGGGGTTCTGGTGTAAGGGCTGGGCTCTATTGATTATACATGTATAGTGAAAATGCATTTATTCTTTGAAAATCTTCTTATCTGCTTCTGGGTATTAAATAAACTAACTAAGCACATAGTTATGATAAGCAAGAGTGTCTCTTCCAGATTTGTGAATTTTATGGTCCCAGGGTCAGGGGTTCTGGTGTTAGGGCGGGGCTCTATTGATTATATAGTAAAAATACATTAACTCTTTGAAAATATTTTCCTTTGCCTCTGGGTTTTATGCCAATGATCCAAGTATATATATATATTTATGATGAAAAAGGTGCATCTAGCAAAGTGGTTTTTTATGCCCCCAGGGTCAAAGACATAGTCTGAAAATAAATTAATGCTTTGAAATCTGCCCTTTGCTATTAATCAACCATTTTATGATTACATTTGCAAAATTTTGAAATATGTGGCCCATGGGTCAGTGGGTGAGGTGCACAAATGGTTATAAAGTGGAAGTGCATTTTCTTTTTGTTACTCTGATCTACCTCTGGGTATTAAGTAAATAGAGTAAGCATGCTAAGTTAATAATTATGATAAGCAATGGTGCCTCTTTCAAAATTGTAAATAGTGAATTTCATGGCCTCCGGTTTAAAACACAAACCAAATACAATTGTTTGAAAGTTGTTACACAATACTCAGGTGACCTATAAGGCCCGTGGGCCTCTTGTTTCAGAATGAAGATGTTGGAATGAAGGATGTGTGGTACTCTCCCCTTGTATACATAGAGGGAGCTGATGCGGAGCTGTTAAAAGAAGGGGAGATGGTGACATTTATCAACTGGGGGAACCTCCAAATAACTAAAATAAACAAGTAATGTAACAGTCTTAACAATCAGTGGTGACATTTATTAATTTATTATTATTATAAGAAATCAATAAATTAAATCTTGTTTTTGTTGATTTCAGGAAGAATGGCAAGATTGTATCCATGGAAGCAAATACAAGGCTGGATAACAAAGTAAGCTCTAAAGAAAATAAAAATAAGAAAATAACTCCAGGTGTTTTGAGACTATCCTAAGAGTGACAAATTCTGTTTGTTTGTAGGACTTTAAGGAGACCCAGAAGATAACTTGGCTAGCAGAGACTGACCAGGCCCCCTTCACCCCCACTGTGTGTGTCCAGTATGACCACATCATCACTAAAGCTATCATCAGTAAAACCGATGACTTCAAAGAGTATGTCAACAGGAACAGCAAGGTAGGTCTCAGTTTATTCACCTACAATAATCCACATTGACTGATAGGTCAAAAATGTTTGCATGGCAAATATTCTTTTTAAAAAATCTTTAGCAAATCTATGAATTCTTTTAGGTTACCTTTGTAACTCTGTAGACATATGTTTTATCTACTGTAAAGATGGAAACTTTGATGATGAAACTTTTGACAGAATTGATGACAGAATAAACTCAAAGTTTTAAACTTGTTAGCTTTCTTATTCATTGAAAACCAATGTTAAATTCAAGTAGATCAACCTAAATATAATGAAATTTACATCTTTAACCCTCAACATACCCAGTACAGAAGATATTTGTGTTTACAGAAAGAGTTGGTGATGTTTGGAGACCCTTGTCTGGCCTCCCTGAAGAAGGGAGACATCGTACAGCTACAGAGGAGAGGATACTACATCTGTGATGAGCCTTATCTTCCTACCAGGTCACAACTTACTCTGTCTCAGTATTTGATTGATGATTAAACTGTAAACATAGATTAAAGAAGTTTATAATTATTTCTCCTCAGAGTTTCAGATATTTGAAATAGTTGTATGTAAATGTAGTAAACTATATAGTGGTAAAATACATATTCCCTGAATTGAAAAGTATTCAAACAAAAGCTCAATGATGAAATGGTGTTGTCATTTCATATTCATTTGCTTATTATTCATTTCATTTAGAAAAAGTATGGACTCTTTAGTTGATAAATATGGTTTGATATTCCCCAAAAAAATAGCTCAATGATGAAATGGCGTTGTCATTTCGTATTCATTTGCTTATTATTCATTTCATTTAGAAAAAATATGGACTCTTTATGTGATAAATATGGTTTGATATTCCCCAAAAAAATAGCTCAATGATGAAATGGCGTTGTCATTTCATATTCATTTGCTTATTATTCATTTCATTTAGAAAAAATATGGACTCTTTAGTTGATTAGTATGGTTTGATATTCCCATAAAAATATCAAGGCTTACCCTTGTTCCACATTAATATTTTTCTGGTGAAAATCATACCAAATTAAACATCTGAAGACGCTTTATGATATTCTTTTAATGAAAAGTACAGAATACAGTTTAAGTACTCAAAAGGTTTTGATTTTCGTAGTTTTCATTCACATGATTAAAAAAAAAATTCTTTATAAAAGATACAGTGTGTACTTTGGATGACTTATGGATGACTGTGTTTTGTAGTCCTTTCACGGGTTGCTGTAGTCCCTGTGTGTTGCTGAATATCCCTGATGGTCATACAAAGGAGATGCCAACCTCAGGATCCAAACACAAAGAAGACAGCAGCAGCAAAGAGGTTAGAGCAAATTTTTATTCACAAAAATAATTGACATGCTTTTCAAATATCTGCAACATTTAGGAGAATGTAGATGTATGCTATAGAGTTATGGCTGTGATGAGTATTCATTTATTTAATATATACTTAAGAATGTATGTGGATTTCAAATACAGTTTCTCACTTATTGCAATGAAAGATCTTCAAAGAGAGCCTGTGCATGTTGCAGTGATCTGATTTATTTCCGCCTCATTTCATTGGAAAGTAAAAATATGTACATTTATATGTATAAGTACCTTTACATGTACATTGCACGTAGAGACTTTTTTTCAATCACAGAAATCACAGAGCAAGAAAGGGAAATCAGCTGAGAAATCTCCCCCAGAAACACCGTCTGCAGGGGTCGACCTTGTAGATCTAGACCAAAGGATCAGAAGTCAGGGAGAAAGAGTTTGTGACCTCAAGTCCAAAAAAGCTCCCAAGGTCAGAACTCAATTGCATTTTTTAGCTCTGCTGGTCAGAGAACAAAAGTACTTATGCATTATTAGGGTGTCCATTGTCCATCTGTCTGTCTGTCTCTAAACAATTTTCAAAATCCTACAACCTCCTACAGTTTTGATTGAATTCCAAGGAGACTTTGTTCACAACTTGACCATTAGTAAGAAACATAAATCTTTTATCTTTTTGATTTTAAAATAAAGTAGAAACTTTCATTGAAACTCTCCTAAAATTCACTTAAAAGCCTACTTTTGGTTGTAAAAATAATAATAAATAGGTATATATAATGTTTATCATTACTGAATCATGATCTTGAATTGAAACCAATTTTTAAAATTTATGATTTTCAAGATCATTTTAATGTAGTTGGCAATCTATTTTCCTTCTTGTTTCTAAATCTCCATATTTGCATAAAAATAGTTTGAATTTACTCAAAATGTTTTTACATTTAGGAACAAATTGACGCAGAAGTTAAGATTCTTCTGGCTCTGAAGGGGGAGTATAAGTCTGCTTCTGGTTCTGAGTGGAAACCGGACACTAAACCAGTTCATCCTGTCTCCTGTCCTCCAGCCTCTGGTTCAGGGGATGTCGTGGAACTCAATAACCAGATAACCAAACAGGGCAGCCTAGTCCGGGACCTCAAGGCAAAGAAAGCCCCTAAGGTACAGGGTATCACAAATATGAATACATACATTTTCATGTAATTTTTAAATCCAAGTTAATGTCTTGTAAGAAAACCTTTACATTTTTCAGAGTGAAATTGATGAAGCAGTGAAGGAACTGTTGAATCTGAAGGCCGAGTATAAAAATGTGTCTGGAAGTGACTGGAAACCCGGGACTGCTTCTCCAGCCAAGACACCTAGTGGTGCTAGTGGAGCAAATGTCAGCGTCATTAACGACAAAATTGTAGCCCAGGGCAACAAAGTCAGGGACATGAAGGCTAAAAAAGCCGCAAAGGTACATTTTGTAACTAGGATATAGAACTTTATACTATTTTAATAATAATTCTTGCTTACTGATTCAATTTATAAGTCTAATTTCCAAAAGAAGAAAGAGAAATTTTCATCTTTCAGAATCATTTATTAAACTCTACACAACTATAAAATTGTCAAATTTTATATATAGACAGTTTATAGAGAGTTTCTGATTTGTATATTGCAGAAAGAGTAAGAGGTCTATGTTTACCGGTATATAAAATGAATAAGAGGAGGATCAATATACTGCTACATTGCAAGAAATTACAACTTCTTACCCCTACTTTTCACCTTTATTTTATCAATAAACTGATAAAAGATGGACAATTTCATTACTGCCATTCACGTTTTAAATTTGCTGTTATGGTTTGGGGTACCTCTCTTATCTGTGAATGAAATTTAATGAGACTTTCAGTCTTATTACAAATTCACCTATTTTACCTTTTGTGTATTTTGGATTTCCCACAGCAAATCATGGACACTGCATTCTCCATTTTAAATTCACCTAATCACAGATTAAAATTTGTTGGTACTTTCTTAGTTTCCTTACCATTGCCATTGTGCACCAATTATTTTACTTCTTGATCTGACTTTTTGGGTCTCCCAGAGCAAAACATGGACTTTGCCATAATAATCATATGGAAGGTGGGGAAAGGGTTAAAATATCTCTATTTTTTTATATAAACAACTTTTACTGGATAAAGAATGTTATGTTATATTGTATCAAGGTAATAAAAGCTAAGATCATGATGTTGATGTTTTTACACAGAGTGAAATCGATACTGCTGTGAAAGAATTACTACGTCTGAAGGAGGAATACAAGGCTGCCACAGGAAAGGATTGGAAACCACAAGCTGCCACACCAGCAACACCACCACCACCCAAGTCTGGGGGATCTGGTAATGAGGCTGACCTCAATAACAAGATTGTGGCCCAAGGAAACAAAGTCCGAGATCTCAAAGGCCAGAAAGCTGCCAAGGTAATGAAGTCTTTGACATTTTGTTACAACTGTTAATATGCTTTATTGGTGTTAAACATTTGAATGTGGTAAGTTCCATTTTTCTGATGCTGTGAACAGTCTGTCAAAGTTGAGTGAGTATTGTCTGAATAAGAAATGTGAGTTGTTTGTGTTCCTGTTGAGACTGTTTGAGACTTCAAGATAGTAATTTAGTGTAGTAAGGTCGCTGTAGAAAATATGAGGGACATTTTTAAGAGTTCTTTATGCAAATGAAAATAGGTTGCCTGTTGGTATTCTCTCTTTATGTGGTTGTACAATTTATGAAAACCTTTTAACATATTCAGCTTCTTCTCTGGAATGATTGGACCAGTATCAGCCAAGTTTGATACAATTTGTAGGATCTAAGGACAAAATGAAACAAAATGAAACAAAAAATTGAATTTTTCTAGTTCTCTGAAAGTACTGGAGAAGTCAAAATCATCAAAATTCATGCAATCTTCAAAAGACTTTTTTCTCATAACATGTAGCTAGAATACTACAGTTGTGTGCCATAATTTAAGATCATTTCATTTTTTCTCTGTATATTTCATTGAAAACAAAATTTTGTAAAATCAATGGTATGACAACAGTTCTTGACAGATTTTATACCAAATTTTTGATGATCCAAGATATTGTTGTAGTTGATGAAAACAATAGTTTTTACCTGATCAGCATTGATATTCTAAGGATATTGTAATTCAAGTGTGACATGAATTTTTAAGTCACATATTTACAATGAATTATACAATCAACATTGATCTTGAATTTTAGAACTGATTATTAAGTGATGAACTATCTTTTACAAAAATCTAAATTTGTAATGATATTTTAAAGAAAGAAAACTTAACATTTTCTGGTTTACTAAGTACTGAAATAAATAATTAAATTGGACAAAAATTGACCATTTGCCAGTGATTTTACAAAATGTTGTTTTCAATGAAATATTTAGAGAAAAAATAAAATGATCTTAAATTATGGCACACAACTGTATTTTCTTGGAAGTTAGGCATATGTTAAACATAAATTGTACTTAACATAACAATCTTCTTTACATATTGGCGTCTAGCAAGTAGACGATATGAGTAGCCTTTAATGAAAATTGGTCCCTTTATCAGGCCTCAGGATGATTTATTACACCCCCTGCTTGTAAAGTGGGAGAGTATTTAGTGATCAGGATGTCCATCCATCCCTTCTTTTGTCAATCCGTCTTTCTGTAAATTCTGTATATCCATCCATTTGTTACACTTTGTAGAACCCATCTCTCATCTGCAACTCCCCTTATACCACTGGATGAAATTTAATGAAACTTTCACAAATTCTTTGTTACATAGTGCCATTGTGCACCTCTTATTTTACATTTTGATCAGAAACATACTTTGGATTTCCATACCAAAACAAATTAACAAAAACATTGTTTTCTTTTATATTGAATTGGTACCCATTTCTTATCGGCAACTCCTCCTAAATCACTAAATAAAATTTATAGATTCTTTATTACGTAATACCACCTGCCCATTTTACTTTTTGATCTGACACTTATTTTGTGTCTCCCAGAGCAAAACATGGATTTTGCCATTATAATAATATCATTTATTGAATTCAAATCAAATCTCACAGTACCAGACTAGGTAGTATTTTTTACAACACATTTTTCTTCAAGAAGGGAAATTGAGAGTTTTGACATGAACATAATTGTTATATGTTCTCACGAAACTTCATTTTTATATCTCTTTTATTCAATAATTATTAAATTACAGTATTACATTGTTGAAATAATTTTTATGGAATTTATTTAATTCTTTTAGATTGATAACAGTTTTAAAAAAAGATATTACAAAGTAGATTTTATTACTAAAGTGATCTAAATAATAGATATATGGCATACAAAAAAGAGGATAAAATCAGAATTAGACAACAATTTGTGATTTATGTAGTGTAAAATAATTACTACTCAGGAGATTTAGTATTTAAAAAAAAATAAACATCAAATTTCTTGTCTGTGGCATATTTGGGTCAAATAGGCAGAGCAGTGAAGGTAAAGCTCCAAAATTGCTAGCTCTGTATGATGAGGAAGTGGAACTAGGTCAAGTAGTGTAAAAATAACAACGCCACGTGTATTGTGTGTTTGTAATGCACACAGGTAACTGTTGTGTCTGAATTTAAAGGACCACTGTTCATTAAGGTAATCAGACTCACGGAGATTATTAAGCTATGCACTTATTTAATTTTTCTGTTGCTTTAATTCACATGTGCACTTGTACATGTATGTAAACAACAATGACCTCGTATTTTTTGTTCACCGGTAATTTAATGTTCCATCACAGATGCTAAAAAAAATACATAGCCCAGGCCTAAATGTTTTACATGTATTTTACAATACGCGAGTTTCGAGATTGTAACTCTCCTGTGATAGAGGCGCAAAAAGTATCTATTTCAGCGTGGAGGTGGGACAGGTTGTTTCTGTATACAAACGTGCATGAATAAATGGACGATATTTATGGCTTTTAGAATTTATTAAATGCTATAGAAAGATATAGATCTTAAGTAGTGATGCATTTGATGATTTTATCAAGCTCAACTATGCATATTTACAAATCTGCTTTCAATTATAGGGTACTTGAAAACGAAAGAAACGTGGTAGTCTTTACAAAAAGTAAGGGTGACTGGAAATTCCAGAAGCCCCCCGTTTTTTGGAGAATACCCATACAGAAGGGTAGAAGCCCCAATAAAGTGGTAGAAGCCCCATAAAATTGAATGATTTAGGGTACATAAAACCCTATGGTGATGTTTAAATGACTTATATTGGTATCCGTAAACTTTTATAGCCAATCTTACCTCAGAGTCGACAGAAATCGAACGCTATTACTGGTTTACCGTACACCAAGCCCGATCAAATTCGAAGCGAACTGCTGTTTATCATCGTATAGATAAAGTTAAAATAATTTATTCTAATTTAAAATGTTTTTTATGCAAGATATGTAGAAATTATTACGTAATACACATTTAAAAAAACATTAAGAACGTTAATAAGATAATATGAATTTGTGTATTTTAATTCATATTATCCCAATGTTACCAGCTCTAGCCACGTGGAGGCCTCCTTTTTTGTAGAGCCATAATTTAAGTTTTTAAGATTTTAGAGAAATTCTGAATTTAGAGTTAAAAACATATCCAAAAGCTTCACAGCAACAATAATAATTTGTATCTGGCAGGTGGGCTTGTTTGTAAGTCCCTGTCTTGTATCTGGCAGGTTGGCTTCAGCTCCCTTATGTGTTCCTGGTATGCGCCCAGGTCATCCCCGCAAGTCCTTGGCATGTCCATGGCATGACACTAACTTACCCGTATTTCTGATATATATAGAGTTGCATTTTTGAATTGTATCACACAGGTTTTTCTTTTCTCCATTTGGGTAATTAGTTTAATCTATTAAGACTAGTGCTCCTCAGTGCTGTTACATTTGAACTAAATAGAATAGTGCTTTTGTTCAATTATTACTACAAAATTCCAGTAGGCTTTAAAAATTGTTGCAATAGTTTTGATTTCAATAGTTCCTAAAGAGTTTCTAAGGCTCAAAATAGTTAGACAATGTCTGCAGCTGTCTGTGACTATCCTTGTGGCATTTGCCACGATAACTGTGATGGTTATAAAGATGTAGGTTGTGACAATTGTGAAAGATGGTTTCACCAAAGTTGTGAGGGATTGTCTGATTTTATTTATTTGCAAAAATGCACCTTGCCCTACATTTGTTCTAAATGTTGTGTAAATGAATGGGGGTTTTTTGACTATGATATCTCTTAATCGGTTATAATCTGCCATTCGATCTGGCTGCTTTGAGATGGGGGTTAGGATGGAAACAATCTTTATGCGTGCACAACCGAAACGTTTGCCATCTGCGCAAGCTACAAAATTTGATAAATCTATGAGGGTAGATCATGTGGCCAATCATTTGTTAGGGAAGTCAGATTATGTGCCTGTGTCAGTTAGGGGAAATGGTAATTGTTTATTTAATGCTATTTCCATGGCTATTCAGGGGGATGAAAATCTGTGCATCCGAAATCAGGGTTAGGACTTGTCTAGAAATGTTTTACCATAGAGATTATTATATAAGCATTCACAAGAGTGATAAGTTGTCAGATGTAGCTAGAACTTAGCATAGGGTTAGTATCAGGCAGTACCTCCCCCGCCAGGGTGCTGACCAGTGAATACTGTTTGGTGTTGTGTTAGGTTAAGTTAGGTTAGGAACATAATTTTTTTTAAATGTTGTTAATTGAATTATAAATTCCTTTCTATTAATTTTTTTATAATTATTAATTTATTGTCAATTACTTTCATTTGGCTGTAATATGTTTTTACATGAACAAAAGATTGACTAGGAATAATGATAAAGTCTGTTTTTTTTTTTTAAAGATTTTTATTTTCTTTTTATCTTTCGGTCATCTTTCGGTCCTTTGGTTTTAATATTTTTCTGTTTCAAAATTCAAATCATGGCTCTACAATTAAGGAGGCCACCACGTGGCTAGAGTGAACAGGTTAAAGTATTATTCAGGTATTACTAATTTAAAAGGTCTTTATTAATTTATCATTATTATTAGTATCAAAATTATCAAAATTCATATTTTCCTTATGTGTGTGCTAACGTCCTTAAACTGAAATTTGTATTTAAAACATATTACAAGTTCATATCACCAGTATGTAAAAAGAAGATCATATAATTACAAAATCATTTATTTTACTATTCAACTAGTGCTAATTGTAACGGGAACCGTTACAGATGTTCCCCAAACGCTCCCCAACTCCCTTTTGGTGCCATATTCCCTGTAATCTCTATTAAATAAGAAATACTTTATGGAATTTAGACTTACAAGGTTTTCCGGAAGAATACAAAATATATTTAAATTTAAGCATTGCACGCGTGTTCATGTGCGTAACGACCATATTATATTGTCTACACTATCTATATATTTTTATACACTTAATATCAAAGCATTCAATCCAAAGGTATTAAAAATTGCACTCACTCGAGTGTATTTTTAATTTAACTCATTTCACGTGCACGCACGTGCATGATGACTACACCTTCTTGTAGGAGTCCCTTATATTTATCTATGTTCTACATCCCATCCTGTTTGGTTGAAAAACAAGAGAGTTATAGCCATTTGAAGTTTCAGCCAATCAGAGTGCAGCACACATGCATGCACGTGATTTCATGAATTTTTATCTTTATCATAGTAAAGGTAATCTTAATGAATGACTATATTTCAAAATTCCAAACATTTCGTCTAAAAACAAAGGAGATATAGCCATTTAAAGTTTCAGCCAATCAGATTGCAGCAAACGTGCATGCGCGTGATTTCATAAATTTTTTTCTATAACATATTGTAGGATATCCTAATGCATGACTATGTTTTAAATTTCAAAGCATTTCATCCAAAAACAACGGAGATATAGCCATTTAATGTTTCAGCCAATCAGATTGCAGCACGCGCGCATGCGCATGCTTTCATGAAAATTTTTATATATCATGCTGTAGATCTTCATAATGTAGGACTATGTTCAAAATTTCAAATGATTTTGACAAGAAACAAGAAAGATATTGAGACTTTAGTTTCAGCCAATCAGAGCTAAGTGCACGTGCATGCGCGTGAGATCTTGCTATCTTGACCATGCCATCTTGTCTATACTACTAATATATCTCTACATTATGAGTTTCAAAACATTTCATCAAAAAATAGAAAAGTTACAGCAATATACATTATATTGGTCATTTCACGTGTTGCACGTGCGCGCTCTTGCAAGCACGTGCGCGCAAAATGACCTTCGTTGGGCAAATCTACATAACATGTCTACTGACCCTAAAAACATTTTACCTTAGTCCAATGTGTAGTTTACAAGATCACTCGTGGACAAAATTTTCCCAGGAAAAAGAAAAATAATAATAATAATAATAATAATAATAAGAAACAGAGTAAAAACATTGTTCCCCAACTTCGTTTGGGGAACATAATAATGAAAGTCAAGAACAATTGAACATAGTTAATGATCAGTGTATATACACATGCCCTGCCTGAGGGGGGTTGGTCAGACTAGCTGAGAACAGGTGTTTGAACAAAAGGAGTTTATTGTCAACTTGACCAAGTGTCAACAGCTGTGTATGTACACACACACAGGGGTGCCTCTCTATCCCAGTACAAAACAACACAGCTAGCTGATGTGTAAATAATCATGATAATATTCTCACCATATTCTCATAATACCCACTTTACAAGTGTTTGCATATGCAATTATGCACATTTTATTAATTTTTATGAAACTTTTTTATTTCATAAACCTATCAAATAATTTCATTCTAATGGATACATATTGCTTTCTAATATCAATGAATATAATTTTTTCTATTACATGCACACAAAAAATTTTAAAAAAATACCTCCCCAAATAAAACAGAACCACAAAAAAACAAAACAAAACCAAAAAAATACAGCAAATCTAAGTAACTGGAAAATAATAATGAATGCATGAATACTGAATTTCAAATTTAAATAAACATAGAAAGAAAAAAATAAATAAATACCTTAGAAATTAGATAAATTAACTACTTGATTAATTACTTAAGTTATATATTATAAATGATTGGAATTTAAACTAAGGAAATTTATTAATTGATTAATTGACTAGTTAAATTAATTTTAAAAAACACAAAACAACAATCAATTAGTATTTTCACTGTAATGTATATCAACAGGTTATATCTCAATGTTTTTATGACTATTTTACAGTACACTTCAGCTATACAAATATTTTCATATTTTCCATAATGATTTTTGATATAAAATTCTTTTTAGTAGGTACAAACCAGTGTGGATAAAAGTATTCAAGTAGACAATGAAATATGTTCATAATTTATATTTTATTTCATCTGGAAATATGTAAATATTTAATGCTTCATTTATATTCTTAACTTTCCTTTCATATATTTTTTTTTTTTTTGAAAATAAAAATCATATATTATATTATTCACTTTTAATCAAGATTACGCTAATGATTTACTCGAAACGACTTCAGCGATCGCGAATTTAGATCGGGCGTGGTGTACAGTATATGAAGAAAAGAAGAAATGCCGCCCGATTTCTATCGACTCTGAGGTAAGATTGGCTATAAAAGTTTACGGATATCAATTTTCATTTAAACATCACCTTAGGGTTTTATGTACCCTAAATCAATCAATTTTATGGGGCTTCTACCACTTTATTGGGGCTTCTACCCTTCTGTATTATTCTCCAATAAACGGGGGGCTTGGCACACAAGTGTTTTTTTTATTAGACTACATTTTCTAAAAAAAAAAAATGTGTTTTTTAAAAGTTATAATAAGAAAAAGAATCAATATATCATTTAGATTGCTGACGTGCAATGATCAGATGCATGTGTATCGTATTTATTAGAGGTCCATATCTCTTCCCTTGTCTGAAAAGTCTCATATCCACTGATATTTTCTTTTTTGTTACGATTTCTTTTCTTTAAAAAATGATGCCGTTACATTAATTCGGTTATTCTCGAGTTGTAGAGTGCATCCTGGCAATCATAAAGTGATGATAAACTAGTATATCAATGATGCATTGTAATTCTGTGCATCTGTTTTTGATTTCGTATTGATTTACATGTATTTTACTTTCTAAACGTAAAATTTAGAGACCAGTGGGTGACCAGTACTATAATTGATTTCAGTCACAACTCCCAACATTGCATCACCATAACTGGTATTTATTATATATTACCAGATATTATTGCATCATCATAACCCAACATAAGCTTAATGTTTGTTGGGTCTAGTTATGTCACATAGGATCAAATTACTTTCAGGTAAAGTGCTGAAACAAAGCTGTAGAAATTCTTTATTTATTCTGTTTTTTAGACAGCTTAAACAAACTGAATTCTTAAGGAAAAACAAACAATATTAGATTTTTTTCACTTTAGGCCTTAGGCATGATGAGGTAATTAAAGAAAAATTAATAGATCTATGGTTGGTCTAATATAAATAAAATCAATGTGAAAAGGTAATTGTTTTACACTTTGTATAGGGCTGTTTATCGGCCTCAATTACAGACAACTGAGAGACCCATTAAACCAGGTATTTTTTGGGGGTTAATTAGGATTTTTATATACCTGGGAGTATACTGAATTAAATACCACTACATAAATTGTTTCCATGTACCGTACTTAAATGTATATTTTATCTCCGTGTTCAACCCCCAAGCTCCACACAGCTATTTTTATTTCGAAGGGGGGCATATTGCTTTGCGTTTGTCGGTCTGTCACAACCGTTGCACAAACTGAAATGAAATTGGTATGCAGATATATCAGATGAATATCTAGATCAAGTTCTGTTTTGGTTACAGTCGCACCATTTTTGACAGAGTTATGCTCCTTGGTTTTAGAAAAATTCCAATTATTTGCAGTTTTCGTTCATTTTCTTCACAGAGGTTGCACATACTGAAATGAAATTTAGTATACATATTTATCAAATGAATATCTAGGGAAAGTTCTGTTTTGGATATGATTGCACCATTTTTGACAGAGTTATGCCCCTTGGTGATAGAAAAGTTCCAATTATTTGCAGTTTCCGCTCATTTTCTTCGCAGAGGTTGCACATACTGAAATGAAATTTAGTATACATATTATCAAATGAATCTCTAAGGCAAGTTTTGTTTTGGATATGATTGCACCATTTTTGACAGAGTTATGCCCCTTGGTGATAGAAAAGTTCCAATTATTTGCAATTTCCACTCATTTTCTTCGCAGAGGTTGCACATACTGAAATGAAATTTAGTATACATATTATCAAATGAATATCTAGGGTAAGTTTTGTTTTGGATATGATTGCACCATTTTTGACAGAGTTATGCCACTTGGTGATAGAAAAGTTCCAATTATTTGCAGTTTCCGTTCATTTTCTTCGCAGAGGTTGCACATACTGAAATGAAATTTGGTAAACAGATTTTTCATAAGAATATCTAGGTCAAGTTCTGTTTTGGGTATGATTGCACTATTTTTGACAGAGTTATTTCCTGCTGGACTTACAAAATTCCAGTTTGGGGAGATGGGGACATAAGTGTTTTACAAACATCTCTTGTTAAATTTTTAAACTAATATTGATAGAAATATTACTTACATGATACATAAAGATTGGGAATATACATACAGAGCTAAACACTTGACTTAATTCACATAACATGAATATATAGTACATGTATCATGTCTAAAGGGTGTATCATTGTATTTTTAAAACATCAGTATTAGTTTGTTTTTTTTTTCAGGATAAAGTTACTGCAGAGGTACAGATATTACTTCAATTGAAGGCAGAATACAAAACAGCTACAGGAAAGGATTGGACACCACCCCCTGCTGGATCCACTCCTCAGAAAACTGAACCAGTTCCTAAGGCTATGGCAGGTGAAGGCACTGAGGCAGAGGGTCTCAAAAAGAAGATAGATGAGCAGGGAGAGAAAGTGCGGCAACTAAAGGCTTCCAAGGCCCCCGAGGTAAAGCCAGAGGATATTACTAAATAACTTGTGTATAGATCCTCATCAGTGCTTAGAAGTTACATGCTGATTAAGCCCAGTTATTACAATAAAGAATGTGTTAAAAAGAGTAAGGGGCAGAATAATTTAATAAGCATATGCAATATTCCCACATACTGTAAATTTAAATCAGAAATATTTCTTGGGGAATTAATTTCATTTATTTTGTTGTTAACAATTATCAACAAAATTAAAATCCCACACGAAAATTTTATTTGCCTGTATATTGAATAGAGTTACTCTGGAAACAACGAAATTTAATGCAGTAACAATTTACTGTTTACCGTCAATTTTCTCTATTATTTACAACAGACTGAAGTTAAGAAAGAAGTTGAAACCCTTTTGGCCTTGAAGACTCAGTACAAAGATCAAACAGGAGAGGATCTCTCAGGTGGTGGACGAAAAGACAAGAAAGATAAGAAGAAGGACAAGAAAGTCCCAGAAAAGAAGGAGGGAGATAAACCAAAGGATGACAAGGGGGATCACAAGAAGGTCACAAGGTGGGGGTCACTGATAGGGACAAGGCTGAGAAACATTGATCTTTTAGATTTATATTCCTGAAAATAACACTGACTTATTTGAAAACATACTCGTAATGTGATATTGCTTATGAAAAAAGAAAATATTGATGAGATGTCTTCTGTGATATTGTAGACTTGGTCTTGAAGCAAAAAAAGAGGAAAATCTGTCTGACTGGTACTCCCAGGTCTGTCAACTCTTACAGTTATCTAATTCAATATACTTTTTAATTTTTTTTCTCTTTTTTATGCTTAACATCCATTTTTAGGTCACCTGAGTAAACTCAGGTGACCTATTCTAATCCGTTTATGTTACCGTAACGTCGTCCGTCGTGCGTTAACATTTGAACATTTTCAGCTTCTTCTCTGAACCCACTGAACCAATTTCAACCAAATTTGACATATAACATCTATGGGTGAAGGGGAACAAAAATTGTGAATTTCATGGTCCCTGCCCCCCTGGGGCCTGGGGGGTGGGGCAAAAACCACTAAAATTAGTGCAATCTTTAAAAATCTTCTTCTTTACTCCTGGACATCAAGCAGTCAAACTGTTGGTATGATTGTAATCAGCATTGAGTCCTCTACCAAAATTGTGAAATTCATGGCCCCAGGGCCAGGGGTTCTGGTGTTAGGGTGGGGCTCTATTGATTATATAGTGAAATGCATTATTTCTTTGAAAATCTTCTTCTCTGTTCCTGAGTATTAAATAAACTAATTAAGTACATAGTTATGATGAGCAAGAGTGCCTCTACCAAAATTGTGAATTTTATGGCCCCAAGGTCAGGGGTTCTGGTGTTAGGGTGGGGCTCTATTGATTATATAGTGAAATGCATTATTTCTTTGAAAATCTTCTTCTCTGTTCCTGAGTATTAAATAAACTAATTAAGTACATAGTTATGATGAGCAGGAGTGCCGCTACCAAAATTTTGAATTTTATGGCCCCAGGGTCAGGGGTTCTGGGTTAGGGCGGGGCTCTATTGATTAGATAGTGAAAATGCATTATTTCTTTGAAAATCTTCTTCTCTGTTCCTGAGTATTAAATAAACTAACTAAGTGCATAGTTATGATGAGCAAGAGTGCCTCTACCAAAATTATGAATTTTATGGCCCCAGGGTCAGGGGTTCTGGTGTTAGGGTGGGGCTCTATTGATTATATAGTGAAATGCATTATTTCTTTGAAAATCTTCTTCTCTGTTCCTGAGTATTAAATAAACTAATTAAGTACATAGTTATGATGAGCAAGAGTGCCTCTACCAAAATTGTGAATTTTATGGCAAGGTATATGGCATGTGCCATTAACACTCAACCAATAGTACATGCGTTATGTTGAACCCCAAGGTCAGGGGTTCTGGTGTTAAACACCTGGCAGTCTATTGAAATATAGTGAAAATGCATTTATTCTTTGAAAAGTTTCTTTACTCCTAGGTATTAAATAAACTAATTAAGGACATAGTTATGATGAGTGAGAATGCTTCTACCAAAATTGTGAATTTTATGGCCCCAGGGTCAGGGATTATGGTGTTACGGTGTGGCTCTATCATGATTATATGGTGATAATACATTACATCTATAAAAATCTTTTTCTCTACTTCTGGGTAATAAGCAGATGAACTATTTATATAGTTATGATGTGCAAGGGCTCTTCTTCCAGAATTGTGAATTTCAAGGCCCCTGGGTCAGGGATACCAAAGACGGGGGGGGGGGGGGGGGCTTTACTTCTATATACTGAAAATGAATTGTTTGAAATCTGCTCCTTGGTATTCATTGAACATTTTTGATAAGCAAGTGTGCCTTTTCAAAAATTGTGCAATGTGTAGACCTAGAGTCAGGGGTTCATGTGTGGTAAGGGAACTCCTGATTATTGCTGAATATTACTGATTAGTTGACATGCATTTTTGTTCCCCTACCCTGCTTATGGGTATTAAGTAAACAAACTAAGCAATTGCTAAGTGCATAGTTATGATAATCAATGGTGTCTCTTTCAAAATTGTGAATGCCATAGCATCTGGCTTAAAACATGAACCAAATTCAATCATTTGAAAGTTGTTGCATGATGCTCAGGTGACCTATAAGGCCCATGGGCCTCTTGTTCTAACAAGTTTTTTATGCAAATTTTATGTTACCATAACTTTTTTTATTTTACAATAAAAGTTATTTTGTTCAATAGATCATCACAAAGGCAGAGTTGATTGAGTATTATGATGTTAGCGGCTGTTACATTCTCCGCCCCTGGTCATACTCTATTTGGGAGAGCATCAAAGAATTTTTTGACAGAGAAATCAAGAAGATAGGTGTTGAAAATGCATACTTCCCCATGTTTGTTTCACACCAAGCACTTGAAAGAGAAAAGACTCATATTGCAGATTTTGCACCAGAGGTACATGTATTGTAATAGAAGAATTAAACATATGTTTAATAGAAAACTTTCAATGACTAAAGTTACTCAATTTTATCCAAGTCTCTGGACTTTATAATTATAGTACATTTGTATTAGGTATTGCTGTTTTTTTTAGGTGGCTTGGGTAACAAGGTCCGGGAAATCAGAATTAGCGGTACCCATCGCAATCCGTCCTACCAGTGAAACTGTGATGTATCCATCTTATGCCAAGTGGATCAAGTCCCATAGAGATCTTCCACTAAGACTAAACCAATGGTGTAATGTTGTGGTAAGTATCTTAAAGATGTTCCTTAAGATTTTACCAGTAGTGGGATGAAGAAGTTTATCACAGGGTATTCCTAATAAGACATGCCCTTTTAATGGATGCAAGGTATATGGCATTAACACGTAACCAACAGTACATGTGTTATGTTGAACCCCTTTAAGACTGAACCAGTATTGTATAATAATGAAAGTCTTCTATCCTATATCTTTCTTGGAATTTCAAGATTTGAACTCACTTAGTTTAAACACCTTGCAGTCATTACAAGATGGCAGCAACTCGTACATGTGCAGTATTTATCTGTAGTATTTACAAATACATGTACATCTACAAATTTAAATACCATACATTATGAAGAATTGTTGGATATGAGTGTTAAGATTCCAGATTCTGTGTTGCTTTAACCTGATTTAAAGTAATTTCTAATTTAATTTGCTAAATATTTTCTCAACAGAGATGGGAATTTAAACACCCACAACCGTTCCTCAGGACTAGAGAGTTTCTGTGGCAGGAGGGACACACAGCATTCGCCACAGCCCAGGAGGCAGAGGAGGAGGTAGGCTAACTACATAGGGGGAAAATGTGTTCTTATTCAAAAAAAATAATAAAACTGCATGATTCCAGAGAGTTTTGAACCAGATTGTCTGTTTTAATGTAAGAGAAGGGTTGACTTAAACATTTCACTATATGGCAATAAAGTTTCCAATAATATCTAAATATTGTTAAATTTGCATATACATGTTGTATGTTCTTAGTATAATGCATGCATGAATGGAGACATTTTGTAGAATTTTAGCATCAAAGTATTCATTGCCAGTTGAGTCCTGAAAACGTGAGTGAGTTTGACATGAGAGTTTTAGAATTGTTTGATATGAATTTACTAAATGTACTGTGGCTTTCAGGTGTACATCATACTTGAGTTGTACGCCAGAGTATATGAAGAATTGTTAGCTATCCCAGTAGTCCGAGGTAGGAAGACTGAAGCAGAGAAGTTTGCTGGAGGAGACTTTACAACAACAGTGGAGGCCTATATCTCAGCTAGTGGGAGAGCTATACAGGTATAAAGTAATTCTGATCAGCCATTCTGTTCGATCAAGTGTTATGAATATACTGCATACAAGGAAATACTTTTTTAATTTTACATGTATATTGCCCGTATGATCTGTGAGCAATTTCAATAAGGAAAATTGTATGATTTTCAACAGAGTTATACTTTCTCTTTAACTTCTTTAATAAAACACAGTCATGCCTGGGGAAAATCAAGGGTTATGTCAGTATGATAGGGCAAAAATATCATGTGACAAAAACAACCCTGAGTACAGTATAATTTGAAAATTAAAACAGTTCCAAGGGAGAGAAAAACCTTTATCCCCTATTTCTTCTTTCCATGAACAGGGTGGAACATCTCATCACTTAGGGCAGAACTTCTCCAAGATGTTTGAAATCTGCATTCAAGATCAGGAGACCCTAGAAAAACAGTATGTTTATCAAAATTCCTGGGGTCTGACAACTCGAACCATTGGAGTCATGTGTATGATCCATGGAGATAACAAGGGACTGGTGCTGCCACCTAGGGTAGCCTGTGTTCAGGTAGGGAAAAATTCATAAGTTTAGGCCATGCAAAGTTAATTACTTGGTTCTCAGGCCTTTTTTCAAAAAATATGATGAGTGAGGGGGCATTTTTTTTTCTTTTTTAATGCCCCCAAAACATGATGAGGCAGCTTTTTACATTGTACAAAACCTCAAAAAATGATGAGGGAGGTGATTTGGTGTTTATATTTTATTGATTTAGCAATAAAAAGGGTCAATGAGGCACCCTTGGAAGAGATGAGGGAGGGCCTGAGAACCAAGAAATTAATTTTTTTTTGCCTTAGGATGATCAGAAATCCTGGATTACCATTCAGGGTTGAGATTTTTCTAACCAGAAGTCTCTGTCGAGACTGAAGCTCTACTGGTTTGTACTTATAGCACAGGAAGAGGAAAGTACTTAAGCAGTTGGGAATTGAAACTTTACACTAGCAAAAAAGAGAATAATGATCCTTGAATAAGTCTCTTTATGTTCTTAGTGTAGTCTACTTGCATGCCACATTATATTATAATCAGCCTAAAACTGTATTTGAAGTAGCATTTTGAGAGTAACAAAAATTGCTATCTTTATTAACCAAGGTAATAATGTTCATTGAAGTCAAAAACGGATATAAAGAATTATGTACCTTAGTGTAGTCTACTTGTGTGCCAAGTTATATTGAAATCATACCAAAACTATAGGAGGAGTAGCATTTTGAAAGAATTTCACAGAAATTTCTATTTTTAATAACAATGCCAACACCAGTCGTCGAAATCAAAAACCGATACATAGAATTATGTATTTTAGTGTAGTCTACACATGTACTTATATACCAAGTTATATTGAAATAAGACCAAAACTGTAGGAGGAGTAGCATTTTGAAAGAATTTTACAGAAATTTTTATTTTTAGTAAGAACGCAAACACTGTTTGTCGAAATCAAAAACCAATATATAGAATTATGTATCTTAGTGTAGTCTACTTGTGTGCCAAGTTATATTGAAATAAGACCAAAACTGTAGGAGGAGTAGCATTTTGAAAGAATTTCATAGAAATTTCTATTTTTAGTAACAACGCCAACACCGTTCGTCAAAATCAAAAACCGATAAAAGAATTATGTATCTTAGTGTAGTCTACTTGTGTGCCAAGTTATATTGAAATCAGACCAAAACTGTAGGAGGAGTAGCATTTTGAAAGAATTTCACAGAAATTTCTATTTTTAGTAACAACGCCAACACCGTTCGTCAAAATCAAAAACTGATAAACAGAATTATGTATCTTAGTGTAGTCTACTTGTGTGCCAAGTTATATTGAAATCAGACCAAAACTGTAGGAGGAGTAGCATTTTGAAAGAATTTCACAGAAATTTCTATTTTTAGTAACAACGCCAACACCGTTCGTCAAAATCAAAAACTGATAAACAGAATTATGTATCTTAGTGTAGTCTACTTGTGTACCAAGTTATATTGAAATCAGACCAAAACTGTAGGAGGAGTAGCATTTTGAAAGAATTTCACAGAAATTTCTATTTTTAGTAACAACGCCAACACTGTTCGTCGAAATCAAAAACCGATACACAGAATTATGCATCTTGGTGGAGTCTACTTGTGTGCCAAGTTATACTGAAATCAGACCAAAACTGTAGTAGGAGTAGCATTTTAAAAGAATTTCACAGAAATTTCTGTTTTTAGTAACAACGCAAACACCGTTCGTCAAAATCAAAAACCGATACACAGAATTATGTTTCTTAATTAGTGTAGTCTACTTGTGTGCCAAGTTATATTGAAATCAGACCAAAACTGTAGGAGGAGTAGCATTTTAAAAGAATTTCACAGAAATTTCTATTTTTAGTAACAACACAAACACTGTTCGTCAAAATCAAAAACCGATACACAGAATTATGTATCTTAGTGTAGTCTACTTGTGTGCCAAGTTATATTGAAATCAAACCAAAACTGTAGGAGGAGTAGCATTTTAAAAGAATTTCACAGAAATTTCTATTTTTAGTAACAAAAACACCGTTCGTCAAAATCAAAAACCGATACACAGAATTATGTATCTTAGTGTAGTCTACTTGTGTGCCAAGTTATATTGAAATCAGACCAAAACTGTAGGAGGAGTAGCATTTTAAAAGAATTTCACAGAAATTTCTATTTTTAGTAACAACGCAAACACCGTTCGTCAAAATCAAAAACCGATACACAGAATTATGTATCTTAGTGTAGTCTACTTGTGTGCCAAGTTATATTGAAATCAGACCAAAACTGTAGGAGGAGTAGCATTTTAAAAGAATTTCACAGAAATTTCTATTTTTAGTAACAACGCAAACACCATTCGTCAAAATCAAAAACCGATACACAGAATTATGTATCTTAGTGTAGTCTACTTGTGTGCCAAGTTATATTGAAATCAGACCAAAAGTGTAGGAGGAGTAGCATTTTGAAAAATTGTTTACAGACAGACAGACAGACAGACGGACGGACGCCGGACGCATTACTATCGCATAAGCTCTTCTGGTCTCTGACCAGTAGAGCTAATAAAAAGGAATCTTATTTGTTAAAACTGTTTAATACAAGGATAAACTCTGTGGCAACCACTCTACTAACTCATGCCCCATTGTTTTCCACTGCAGACTGTTTATCAGATTCTTGTTTTTATCAGGTGATCATTGTTCCTTGTGGAATAACAGCCAATCTCTCTAAGTCTGATGAGCAGAACCTGATGGACAAATGTGAGGCGGTCAAGAAGGAGTTACTGGCAGTCGATATACGAGCTCGAACCGACCTCAGGGACAACTACTCCCCGGGCTGGAAGTTCAACCACTGGGAACTGAAGGTATTGGCCTCGATACACAGAATGGATTTATTCTTCTCATTAAAAAAAAATTAAATAAAAGGTTTGATCTTTTTTCCACAAGGTCATATTTCCGCAGAATCTCCATTTTTTTTGTAGTCTGCAGGTAGAAAATTATGCGAATTTCTTTAACTCTTACTATATACCTTGCATGTATATCAAGTATAACAAATTTTGGCAGAAAAATTTGTTACCACATACATACATGTAGCAAAAAATAATACCATGCGGAAAAAAGTACTTCTACAGTACATTTATTTTACCAGTTCAGCAAGCAATTATTAGCACAATGTTTATAGACCAAGTTGCAAATCTAATCCATTTGACATTTTTGTTTTGTTTTGTAGGGAGTGCCAATACGTGTAGAGCTGGGGCCTAATGACATAAAAAAGAATCAGCTTGTGGTCGTTAGACGAGATAATGGAGAAAAACTTATACTGAAGAATGAGAACGTTGCAAAACAACTCAATGATATACTGAATAACATTCAAGACAGTCTCTTCAAAAAGTAACCAGTTTTCTCAAGTTTTGATATACACTATATTTTGTGTTCTTGTGCATTCATACTTTGTTTTGACAGATGTTTAAACAGTTACATGCATCAGAATTATCAGAAACACTGTGATTAATTGTGTAAAATATTGTATCCAGTTTGTTTTTATGCAGTTTATTTTTTTAACCTGATGTTAATTTTCCCCCATCATACATATGATTTTGCCAGGTTTTCTATTTTAAATTACCCAAACAGTTTTGGTAAGAGAGATAACTATAATAAATCTCAATTTAAATTCCCTCACTGGTAAGGAAAGCTAATGGAGCAAAAACAAAAATGGGGACAAAAAAATCTTCCTGTATGGAGCCTCTACAGACTGTATAAATTTTGCTTTGTTTTATTTTACAGAGCTAAGTCTGACCTGGACTGTCACATGATCGTCTCCCACCAATGGACCCACTTCTGTGATTCCCTGGACAACAAGAAGATCATTCAGGCCCCTTTCTGTGGGGATGAGGATTGTGAGGCTAAGATAAAGAAAGACAGTGCCAGGTACATGTATTTATAAACTCTGTAACTTGTCAAGGCCGCCTGAGGTCATCGTCTCAAGCCACAGTCTAGAGTCTGCTTATAGCTCTCGATCTCCTACCCGTGGCCATTAATAATCACACATTATGTATGACATCGTATTATAAACTAAGAAAAAAATTTGTCACAAAATAAATTTAATCATAAACAACAAGTTTATGTAAATTGTAATTTAACTATACTTTACTCACATTGATCAATATTTTAATGAGCTATGAAATATCATTCAACCAAGGACAAAATGAAAGAGGATCATACATTTTGACAATGGTTTGTGACAATGGCCTGATGTAAGAAAAGTTTATGTTCTTAGAATTAATGTAGGTGATGCTGTTTTATATTACATGTACAATAATTTTTCTCCGATTCCTTGTTTATAGAGATGCTGTGGTGGAGGAAGGTGCCCCTTCAATGGGAGCCAAGGGTCTTTGTATTCCATTCAAACAACCTGAGACTCTGAAACCAGGCACCAAGTGTATACACCCAGACTGTACAAGAGATGCCAAATACTTCACATTATTTGGAAGAAGCTATTAAATTTACCAAACTGTTTAATCAGAAGAGAACCAAATTCACTGGAACAATGGACTTACTTAACTCAAACTATGGACTTACTTCATTTAGTACTATCTAATATGGCATGGTATTAAATGTTATCTCTTCTCCATTTTTTATTTGAAATTAATAGAGACCACCTGTTATATTCTGATGAACTATTCCTGTGAGGAAAAGTTTTGGGATTTAATTATCATGGATACAATTTAGTAACATGTTCGGTTGGTATATACTGTATACTATATTTATTAAAAGTGATGATACTTGAATAATTTTTGTTTTGAATAAATACATATTTGGAAAATGGACACATTGTGGTATGTATTAGCTACAGAAAATTTTACAATTCAGTCTTACGAAAATGAAATTCATACCCCTAGGTACTTACACAAGGCTTGAAAACTCATTTTATCTTAAAAATATTCTGTACATTGTGCAAGAAACCAGGCAAACCATTATAATTATATAGACCTCCAACAAATTCTTTAAAATGTAAAATTCATGGCCCAGGGTGGGGACAGTTTTGAAATTTTTTTTTGATGAAGAGACAAGGGTGGGACTAATAGATTAACGACTACAAAATCCTTGACCTAAATCTTCACATTCATGTCCCATAGCTTGGTCCATTGTTCAGGCCATAGAGTTGGTCCAAGTTGGTCAAATAGTGAAAATGTAAACATTTGTGAATGCCTCGATTCATTAACATCAAGCAGAAAACAAGTCATCATGTATTGAACATCTGGGCCTATTCCAGAATTGTAAAATTCATGGACCCTCAAGTCTAATTAGTGGTTCAAGTCCCAGGATGGGCCTGTATACTAAATATAGGATCTCCTATGATTTTTAATTGGATACAATTTTTATACAAGTTGTGTTTTTTATCCACCAGCTTTGGTGAGGGGATAAAAACACGAGTTGGATAAAAGTCATCTATATACGACTACAAATGATGGAAGATTCTTTTTATTCTATGTTTAAATACTTCCCAACCAGTGTTTTAGACTGTTTTATATAGGATTCCCCTTTATTTTACTTAATCACTCTAACACAAAAAACATTGTGACGTCGCAACTCCACTTAAAGCTGAACTGATAAGCGATCTGCTCATTATATGGGTTGTAGGGAGCGTGTTGAAGAACGGGAAATATGGCAGACTTTGCCTTTTTACAAGTAGAGTTCAGCTTTAACTTTGGTGTAACAAAAAATTATCCAAGTCATATCCACAAGATAAAAACACATTCCTACTTTGGAGTCTTCTTTACCAATGGAAACCGTTTGCCTACTTATATTAATTACTTCATTTTTTCAACAAAATATTTAAATTTATGTCTCAAAATTAAGACCCCAGGGTGGAGCTAAGTTGATCATATATAACTGAAATATATACCTGGTTATGTATATCATTTGAATTTTACCTAATTAATTCATGAACATAAGATCCCCCCTTACAAACCCCAAGGTGGGGTACTATTGATGTTGATCATATTTTGAAAGTGAAATACATCTTTAAAACTATCCCCATTACTAATGAAAATGCAGCAAGTTTATCAAATTATCATGAATAACAAAAATCATCAACTGGTCCAACAATGCTCAGTGTCCACAGTGTCTAAGTTAACAACAAGGATGACTCAATATTACTCTTTTGGGTCATTTTGGAACCTGCCGCTGATTATCAGAGTAATTAAACATCAGCTGTGGGTTTCCGATGATACGTCCTGAGGTCAGCAATATAATGCCACTGCCAATTTTTTACTTTGTTCTCTATTAAAAAACCCAAAATTAAAGAAAGCAACACATAAGTGAAGTAGCTTGATGTTTTTAATCATGAGGTTATATACAACACATGTAGCTGCTTCTTTGTAACATCAATACTACTTCATCTTTTTTGACTTCTTAGTCCAGCTGAAATTCACAATAAAATTAAAGGTATTAAAAAATTAGTCACTTGTAAGGTATAATGTATAAGATTAGATGTATTTAAAGATACAATTTCTTTTATCTTTTCAGCCCCAATGATTATTCTCATCAGTCAAATAATATCAAGTTATCAAAACATACCTTCTTAAAGCCAATATCATCAGCATATTCTCTAAAGCATCGTCTGCACATGTTCAGTCCATACTTTCTGATTAAACCATGAGTGTTTTTGCAGACACGGCTGAAAAAAGAGGCAACAAAAAATTAAGCTATTTTGTACAAATGCAGGAAAACAGTAATTGGTAATGATGTAGTCTTTTTATATTCAGTGGATGCAAGTCTTTATTACGTCCTGTAAGGGACAAGGATAGTGATGGGACATCAGTTAATTTTCATTCATAATCGATCATCGGTTAGAATCAGTTACTGCTTCCGATGCGATTTTACCGATTATAATCGAAATTCATAGATTGGTATATAAAAAAAACCAGGCTATTACAATTATTTCATATTATGTTCTTTAACATCAATATATGAAATATATAATTTATTGTTTTCTTTGTTGTTATGCGTATTTCACACTTTCTATAAACATGCAGGATTTCGCTAGCGGCATTACCCAATAACCTTTGTGCGAATAAATAAATTAATAATAATGTAAGGCATAACAGGCTTTCAGCAGGTCCAGTCCAAAGACTATTTCTACATACGTAGTTATTAATAGCTACGTAGGTATTTAAACCTACCCAAAGTAGCTAATTTTACCTACTTTCTGCTTTACCTGCATTTTGTGGCCAAACGCAGGAACGGCACAACATGGCGAGCACTGAATTTCTTGATACAGTCACACTGATGATGTATATGACATAAATTTGGCCAAAAAATGATTATTTCGCATATTATCCATTTTGCATAGAAACTAATATAAAATTTCCCATTCAGGAAGTAATCACTTTTTGGTCAAAATTTTGTCGTATTCATCATTAGTGTGACTGTATCAAAAATTATGGTATTCACCATGTTGTGCCGTTCAGTCATTTGGCCACAAAATGTAGATAAAACAAAAAAGTAGGTAATAATTGCTACTTTGGGTAGGTTTAAAAACCTACGTGGCTATTAATAGCTACGTAGGTAGAAATAATCTTTGGACTGGACCTGTTCAGTTTGTAGAAATCTTTAAAAGAAACAAAAAATAACTCTGCTATATCTTTCGACAAAAATTGCAGTAGGTCTATAGTATCAACTAGATGCTCGGCTGTTTCCGTAAACCCTGACAAGCTCTTGTGTGATGTCGCGCTCGCCATAGCGGTCACACCATAAAGCATATTATGATATCATTAAGTTGCCTTTTGTATATTTAGGTTCAGATGTGCAATCCTAAACCCTTGCAAGAAAGCCATATTTTAGATTCATAATATCCAGTATTTTTTCATTAAGTTGCCTTTTGTATATTTAGATTCAGATGTACAATCCTAAACCCTTGCAAGAAAGCCGTATTTTAGATTCATAAAATCCAGTATTTTTTCTATCCTGTTCGAGAGATTGTTTCCAACCTGTATAAAGACCGGGGTACCTCCAGAGGTTCTAGTTTTACACTACTCTCATATTTTGTCTCAGAACATTTGACATAATTTCAATTCATTTCACTTAACAATTCCAATCTTTAAAAGCTTAAAATGCGTATTAAAAGATTTAAAACGAAACCACAATGAAATGTATTTGGATTTATCGAAATCCATGCAGCGCTATAGAGAACACGTGCGTTAACGAACACGTCGTTTCACAAACATGTTCTCCTCCTCTGTACAGGATAAAGTCTTAATTATGATTTAATTACATGTATGATTAATTAATACATATTTAAAATACAATAAAAACTATATTTTACCAATATCTTGACCCTGCGCCGTATTTCTTAGGATGAGAATTCCAAATGTTTGTGAACCCCATGATGGCTGCTGAGAAAGAGAACGCATGTGCGTAGTTTCGTATTTTATTACGAGAAGGATAGTCTAATGACCTAAATATTCATTAAAAAAAATTGTCAATGAATTCGATGTTAATTTGCTTCTTCTGATGAAATGCATTTAGTTTATATTGAGAAAATTATTCAAATATCAACAATATTTCCATTTAAAATTGTTTTATATTAATTCTAAAGTGGGCATTTAATTTATTATTTTACGACTTTGATATATTGAATATGAAAATTTATGTAAACTTATTTTTTTTTTGTTAAATCCCATTTGTTTTTCAAAGGCGCTTTTATAATTAGACGTATCATAAATATGACACACAAACTATGAGTGCTTAATTACTATACTGTAAACCAATTAGGGCAAACTGACCATGGTTCGGACAGACAGAAAAATTGACCTAGGTTCGGACAACTTTACCGTTATTTTTTCGGTTAAATAAATCTGTTTTCAGCACAATACGGAAATATATCAATCTCAGCGATCGGATTTTTCATTTAGTTAAGACCCCGTGTTTATCACGTGACTCGATAGTTGATGGTGGCGCTACGATTTTAGGGCATGTGTAGTTTGTTTTACGTCAGTAGTTTAAGGGAAAAGTAAACAAACACTTGCAAGTAAAATCAAATGTATGAGGCTCTACTTTATTAAACCAGTATGATTTATTTCTATTGCGTTTCTAAGTGATTAATCCTTCCTATTAGGAAAAAATTGTTTCGGTTATTTTCTATATTTGTTGTGAAATCTTCCTCGAAGTCTGAAAATTAAATGTACCTAGGTTCGTACACCAGATGACCATGATTCGTACATTGCTCAAACCAAAGTTCAAGCTTCTTATTATAATCCAATCGCCTTTTAAAAAAACGGAGAGTGAATAAATTACATGATTGATATTCAAAGTATACGGATAATAATGTTTTTTTTTAAAAATCATGCTTCATGTATAACTATAAAAAACATGTATATATTTTAAATGTACATACATGTACAAGTATTTTCAATCGATCAAAATGAGGATGGGCTCCTCAAACAAATATGATATTATTGCATTTTCAATTTTTTGATATAATAAAATTAATTATTCCAATTGATTGAGTAAATGATTTTTGATGATGTTTGATAAATTGTAAATTAAACCAATTCATTAATCATAAATGCTATATTATTTCTAAATTTCTAGCATTTAAAACAAATCCCATATATAGCACCAAGAATTTTTGATTGGTTTAGAAATGAACAAGTGTCAGTTACATCTTTAATTAATACGTACATAGACTTCTTAATTGTAGATTTCTTTTACAATGAAATAATAATCCCTAGTTTAGAACAAAAATGGAAAACACATAATTAAGGGTGTATATGGTCTCTGTATATATGCACTACATTTATTTGTGTGCCAGATGACCATGTATTATTTGTTCAAAACATGAGCGCAGTAATCAGAAAGACATGCATTGATGCTATTGCAGTTTATGAAGATCGTGCACTGACATGCAGAGAAAAGATTTTATCTTCGCCGTGCGCATTTTTCTTTTCTTTATTTAGAATCAAAATTAATTGAGGGTCAAGCCAACCTGCAAAAGGCGGAAGAAAGTTGAAGAAAACACCCCGAGCAAAAATAAATTGCATTTCAAATCGAACAACTTGTCGACAGTGTATAATTTAAAACTCATTGCTTGTAATTTAAAAAAAAAAACAGAAAAAAAATATTTTTCATTTCTTTTATTATGGAAACAACAAAAAAACAAAAAAAACAAAAAAAAAAAAAAAAAAACAAAAGGGATAAAGGTTATCCTGACAATAATCAGGGCATATCATTAAACAAAATCTTTGGACCTCAGGTGTATATTCGAGGAGAGGGGGGATAACACTTTGTAACACACGCTACCTTGTTACTGGAAATTTATAAATCTATACCTTATACGAATCCCTTTAGTACCATATTTTTCAAGAGACGATGCCACGCCCAAGCGTTCCCTTGAAGACATAAAAATTGAAGCTAACTGAGTACAGAACACGAACTTGCAAACAATTGTAATTTATTTATTGCTCAGGATAAACATCCTATGGCATATAACAAAATGTACAATAATATTTGCATAGAAAATGGAGAAAAAAAGTCACAATGATACTGTATGACAGGGATCTTATAACTGTCCTTTACAGATTTACAAATGTAATAAATACAATATGCAAGCAAAGGAATCATATCTTCTAAAGCAGAACTATATTTGCTTTGCTGGAATATGCGGTGGTATCTGAAACAAATGATGATTTCGAGTGAAACGTGGCCATCCAAATATGCTTTGAGAGAGCAAAAACTAGCGAAGTCAATAAAATTTAATATATTATTTTTTTTTTTTTAATCCCACAATTTCAGTCTGTTTTTGATAAAACTTCGACATATTTGAGGTTACACTATAGGAAAATGGGAGGGGTGATCAAAATAGAAATGGTTTCTTTGTATTATTTTTTTAGTGAGTTTTCTTTGCAAATTACAGACGAACTCAAACGATTGTCAGTTGCTTGAAGCTCTCTCAGGAAGTTATCAGATATCAGAATACCGCTGACTACGGCGATGATTTCTTACTGAAATTGAAGCTGAATAAGCCCAAATATGACGAAACTTTGGTCAACATACGTCATTTACGACAAACTAAAACACAAAAAAGGAAAGAGAGATAAAGGAAAATAGGGCGTTTAAAATAATACTAAAAAAAACAACAACAGATTTCTACTAGGAATGGGAGAGATATGAATAAAATCTTATTGGAGGTTTCTTATTGTCATGCGACTCTTTATGTAGTATTTGAAAGAAATCAGACATGCACGTGCTATCGATTTTGAAGGATTTGGGAGAGAAATCAGGAAAAAATAAACAACTTATCTGATAAAACTTTGACAAGAAAAGAAAACTTAAAAAAATCAAGCAAACGAACGACCCCCAAAAAATGGTCCAAACTCGAAAGGGGGTCAAAAACTTTCAATTTGAAATTTTATCAAACGCCGAATGTATTACCAAAACACTTTAGATGTAACAATGCTACAACAAAAGAAGGGGAAAGACTTTTCGATGAACATCTATATGTTAAATTTCAATAGTAAAATGTTATGCTTTAGAGAGGGGGGGGGGGGGGGGCTCTCGCTTTACGAGCCTGTAAATATTGATATCTGTTATTTAAAAAAAAAAACATCATTTGTTTACTGTATATTATCATGTCCGAACCTTGGTCAGATACGTTCGAACCATGGTAAAAATCGCTTGATGAGTTTAACTTCTAGTTGGAACAGTGGTATTTAGTGTTTTGGTGATATAATTACAATCGATAAAACCCGAAAGGTTCCAAAACACATTCCAGTTGATGGTAAAAGTCTAGACCACTGTCATTCGGAATAACAGCTTATTGCTTGTAAGCAAAACAAGAACCGTCCGAACCATGGTCAGTTTGCCCTAATTTTATTCGTGTTCAAGAAATTTTAGCGAAGTTCGCAACATCCTAGTCAAGCGTGAAAATTTCTTGCTGCAAACGAGTCCTTAAAGTCCTTGTGTCTATAAACAACAGATCAAAAAAAGGCTTGTTGCAAGAATTTATCATCACAAACTAGTTTACCCCTGGTAAATTTGTCGTGAATAAAAGTTGGTTTACAATACATGTATATGGCATAAAAATTTCTGCTTGGTTTCATCATAGTGTATATTGTATGTTATTCCACTGCTGTCCAAGATACGATCTTCATCTTTGGACTGTTATGTTCATGTTTTGAACTACATATATATATAGAAACTATTGGAAATATCGGATATTGATATGTCACTGATGCATTTAATTATTATCGATACATACTCTATAATTTCCTTTCAACACATGCAGATGAATTTTTTTTTTAAATTGATGAATTTATTTCTCACTATTTTCAATTTGTTTATTCTATTTATGGTGTTTAAATAAAATATGTTTTCTTAAATTCTAAAGGGAATTTGTTTCTTCATTAATGTTAGAAGTTAAGACAAAAAACAATTCTAAAATACTGTAGACGTACCTTTTTCCATGGGGTCAAAATTCCGCGGAATGTCGATTTGTGTTTAATCCGCGGGTAGAAAATTAAGCAGATTTCTTTGGCTGTCACTATATGTCTTACATTTATATTAAGTACGCTTGGACAAATTTCCGCGGAAAATTTAAGTCCGCGTATATAGCGTAAATTAATACCACGCGGAAAAAAGTACTTCTACAGTAACCTGATACCAAAAGATTTCTCTTATTTGAAAGAATTTGCTACAAAAAATATATATATTTATATTGATTTATCAGCACTACTCAAATGTATTGATATAAAATATTTCACCAATACACTATATCTGCTGTGCAATAAAACTCCAAAGGTCTCTTTTAATGATTCCTTGACAAAGTTTTAAAGTACTTCAACAAACAAGAGGCCCAGGGGCCACATCGCTCACCTGAGCAATTGGATAGGAAAAAGCACATATGAGATCAGAACTGAAAGTTTACTGAAAGGGGGGGGGGAAGGGGGTTTGAATTTTAACCCCCAGGGGTCATGATTTGAACAAACTAGAATCTACACTACCTGAGGATGATTCCCTATAAATATCACTAAGCATGGCTTTGAAGTACTTGAAAAGAAGATTTTAAAAGGTTTCCCTTAAATTCCTATGTAAAACTTTGATCGGCCATTAGGCCCCACCCTACCCCCGGGGGTCATGATTTGAACAAACTTGAATCTACACAACCTGAGGATGATTCCACAAGAGTTTCTTGTCCAATATATTCCTACGTAAAACTTTGATCTGCCATCGTGGCCCCACCCTACCCCTGGGGGTCATGATTTGAACAAACTTGAATCTACACTACCTGAGGATGATTCCATATGAGTTTCATCTTTCCTGGCCCTGTGGTTCTTGAGAAGAAGATTTTTAAAGACTTTTCCTATATATTCTTATGTTCAACTTTTATCGGCCATTTTGGCCCCACCAGGACCGTAACTACCATTGAGGCAACGGAGGCAATTGCCTCCTCTAGATTTTCATTTTTTTTTTTGGAAATAAGAAACACAACACAAGCAGCTTGATCAAGATTGATCATTTATTTGTTTGATTATAGCCACCTGAGCAATTTTTCAGCTATCCAGTGAGTGTCACCATTACCTATGCTCGGCGTTCAGGGCCTTTGAGCAGGAAGGGATCTTTATCGTGACACACCTGCTGTGACACAGGACCTCGGTTTTTCCCGTCTCATCCGAGGGACTGTCCCATTCAGTTGCTTCTTACAACACGCCATATAAGTGAAATATTCTTGAGCGGGACGTAAAATTGAAATTTATTTGATCATATCTATCCAAAATAGTACATAAATTAATATAATAAAGTGGTAAGCATTCTAAAATCATAAAATTGAGCCGTTTGAAGCAATTTTTTTAAAATGGGGCTTTGCCCCCCAAATCTTTGGGGGCCTCAATCGGTGGCCCCCAAACCCCCGCCTCCTCTATCTTTTACCCCTAGTTACGGCCTTGCCCACCCTTCCCCCGGGGGTCATGATTTGAACAAACTTGAATCTACACTACCTGAGGATGATTCCACGAGTTTCATCTTTCCTGGCCCAGTGGTTCTTGAGAAGAAGATATTTTAAAAATGCCATTAATTTTTCTCTAATTCATAATTACCTCCCCATGGAAAAGGGCGCGGCCCTTCATTTGAACAAACTTGAATCCCCTTTACTCAAGGATACTTTGTAGCAAGTTTGGTTGAATACCCAGTGGTTCTTGAGAAGAAGATGAAAATGTGAAAAGTTTACGACAATAAACGACAACGACAGACGACGGACAAATTTTGATCAGAAAAGCTCACTTGAGCCTTTGGCTCAGGTGAGCTAAAAAGTGTTGAAGTTACATGTAGGTATATCTACCATTTCCAAGCCTGAGGTTTCATGAATGAAAACACAAATGGTGAATCAAAATTTAATTTAATGCAAAAAACCAACATCATTTAATATGAAATATCTTTAACATTTCTCACTGCACACAAATGCTACTTAATTTTCTGCTAATAAAATACAATGCAGTGACTGATCTAACAATCACTAAATAATATCTGACTGGATTTTGATTTGAATCTAGCTATTCTGTACAGTAGTGGCATCATGTGGACATTTAAAAAATTAGATAAATATAAAAACAATTAGGAAAATCATCAATACTGGAGTGTTGTTTCTAACAGTTTACCGGTACTTATTTTCCTAATCAAATGGGTTTACATGTATTTCTGGTTTCTCACAAAGATCAGATGCTAAATCATGGTTGGTAAATTTTCATGAGGCGTTTTTTGGTTACTAGTATTTACAGGAATACAAGTATAAGACAAAATTTAGCCCTAGTTTCTACCATAAATAAACCTAATAAATGCACCAAATTGAGAGATTTTTTACATTCATTTAATCATTAAGATATCAAATCTACGCTCTTCATGTGACAGAATGAATGTTAGTCATATTGATAATTTGGATTTCCTCCTTCAATAATTAATTCCTGTTTCCTTGAATAAATAATGATACAATCAACTTAAGAAAAAAACAAATTTAAAACACTCTTTCTAAAGTGCATTTATGTGTAAAGCAAATTTCATTTTGTTTAACTGTAACATACTCTTTCTAAAGAGTCATCAGTATCAAAATAAATAAAATACACTGTACATATACATCTGAATGCTTAAATTTGTTCTAACTTAAAAAAAAAAAACTGTAAAGCTGTCTATGTCAATTAGTCACAACTGTGTTAAATCAGGGAATATTTATTCTCCTGACTGTAACACAAAATCACAGAAAAATTGCACTCTCCTTTAGAAATTCTGTCCAATCAGAAGCTAGTTTTCCGACTCGTGAGAGCTGTTGCTGTCCAATCGATCGGCTTCTGGGGCATCATGGGGGGAGTACTCTGCACTTGCATAAGTCTCTGAACTTTGGGACTGGTGCATATTGGGTCTGGGGGAGGGGCTGGCAGACCTGGGCCCAGGGGCTTGGGGACTTGCAGGAGATGGGACACTATTGTTGTTAGCAGTGTTGGTCATCTCTGCAGGGCATTCAAAATGAACACAATGGAAAACCTAGGTGAAAAAGACCATGATTATTGTTTTGAAAGTGTATTCAAATGCACACTGGTAGTAACAGAAGTAGATGATATATTTTTAATAAAAAGTCAATTCATTACCTCATTTGCTGTATTATGGGTTCCAACAATCTTCACAAATGTTACAGGTCTCTTCTCAAATTTAATAACTTGCCATGATCTACAAATAAATCAATTAAAATAATACTACATGTACAACATTCAACAAATCACATTTAATGGAAAATCAATCATGAATAAAAATGGTACTACATATACAACATTCAAAAAATCACAATTAGGCCCTAATGGACATTATCTACATTACACTACATGTAGTTATTTTTTCTTTGGCACCTTATCATGGGTGATACATGTACTATATTCATTTAATATTTCTTGATTTTTGAAGTGGACACTTACTTGCACTGCTCCTTGCGCTTGTCAGCCAGGGAGAACCATGATTTCTGATCTGTGGAGACTTCTACATAATAACTATAGCTCCTGTCGTCACAATCCCACAACAGCAACCTGAAGTAAAACATGGAAGGAAGAGACTCAGTATAGAGCTCTGCAGATGAAAATATGGAAGATTTCATAGGTGATTTTTCCTCTTACATTTCATTTTTTTTTTTTATCTTTTATTAACAATTATGGTAAGCAGTTTGGTGAAAAAGTGGTATCTCACACACATTATAATGACAAGAGCCCTTACCTCATGGTGTCTATGATGTAGGGCTGGGCTAGCTGGACAATAATGGCCCCACTCCCCAGCTGGTGGCAGGTGTAGCCCGAGTCCCAGTCATAGTGCCTGGTGTCCCCATTAATGAGGGCATTCCTGCTGCGACTCACCCCCTCAATCACACAGGCACCTGCTGCTATTGTGGCAACATTCTCAGATGGAACTAAAGATACCAAATAAAAACTTACTCATCAAATACTGCTAATGTCTTGTCTAATTTTACACTCAGATTTCTGTTAAGACTAAAGAGCTTGATTAGCCTGACCTCCAATCAAATCTTGTTCAATCAATAACTAAGCATGTTATTCAGATTATCGAAGTTTTTCATTATTGTACATAATCTCTTCATATTTTCCCTTACACAGAGACTTCCACTCATGGAATTTCTTTCTTTCTTTTTTTTTCTTTTTTATTACAGAAATCTGTTACTCACCCACTAAACCCTGCTCCAACACAAAAGGTTTGTTTGTGAAGAGGCATTCAAAAGAAACAAGATGGAACACTCTGTTGACAGTGTTATGAGTTCCAACAACCTTTATGTATCTGAAAGACATATATCAAACAATATTAAATATAGTTTTAACAAATGTATTTACATAACACTAGAAAACTAGCCAGAGCTCCATGAAGACTTACATATATGAGGTTGGTGATGTAGGAATTTGATTTTTTTTTCATATTTATAAGAATTTCAATTTACATTATAAGTAGACAGGTAAAATAGCAGATAGATGGGTGAACAAACAAACAACCAGAATGAATACTACAGGATACCCACATATCATAATAAAGATGTTTCATGTCTAATACTAATGAGTAAAGCCAAGGTAATTATCTAGAGTGCACACCAATTTTTTGGAAAAATTTCATTATATACACCCCTATTAAGACTGGAAACTGTGTTAGCATTTCCACATGAGTGCTATTACCTGACAACTCTTGGTTGGAAGAAAAGTGTTTGCCAGGACCGACACAGGTATTTACTGTGATCCACCACCTTTTCATAGTCCTTGTCATCCATAGAAACTTCCAGGTAATACGAGTAGGACCTATAAATCAAACAAGTAGGAATCAAGTAAGAAAAGTAAACAAATCTCTAGCTTAAACTGACTTTCTTTTAAAAGAATTAGATACCCAAGTAGTATTTTAAAGAAATTATTTTCTTTTAGTTTTACTATCAATGAAGTAAAGTGAATGAATAATGTGTAACAAAGCTTTCAAATAGTTTTTTATGTATTTTTTTTTCTCTCTCTCTTTTTACCTCATATCCCTATCCCACAACAATAGTTTGATACAGTTGATGATGTAAGGGCTGGCTAATTTAATCACCACGCCCTGTCCATAATTATCGTCAATAGGGTGACGTGTGAACCCTCTGTCCAGATCGTAATTTTGACAGTCGCCATCAAGAAGTGAATTTTTCATCTCCCCCCGAATTACCTGGGCTCCAAACCTCTGTGTAGCTATGTTTGTTTCTGGAACTATATTCAGGGTATATGCATGTTAATATAATGTATAAAAAATATTTCCCAATAAAATATATGTACATGTATTTGAAATAAGTTATAATCATGATTCATCCTTTCATTATTGAGAGTAAAATTACTTTTATAAGATAAATATTGTTGATTCTTCTTTGTCAACTGAGATATAAAGATTGGAAGTAAACAGCAAGTAAGTACATGTATCGGTAGTTATTTTGATTTTTTTTTTATGATTCTAAATTTAAAATTCATTAAGAACCAAATCCTGTCTACTGACTTAGTGAGCCTCTGTAATTGAGTTCCATGTCCCGACTCTCTGACTGCAGTTTGATTGCGTCTAGTATGGAATCAGCTGATACTAGTGCCGTAGGTCTGACCACGTTCAGCAGGTCATTCATGGTCATCAGGGGTAATCTCACACACTGCAGAATGGGGCTCGGGTCCTGACCCTGGTTGTGTTCGGACCATTTAACCACAGCATTAAATATTGTACTCTCCGGGGCACAAAAGGAGTCCCTTGATATCAAATCTTTGACTGAACTCTGAAAAAAGAAAATTCATAGCATTTCAAAATAATCCTTCAATGTAAGATGTAAATTTCAGGGCATCTATATGTTACAGCACAAATTTCCTCTTCCTCTTCTTAGTTCTACTAAACATTTGCATCTTTTACTAAATACAAATACACAAAATGATCCTTAATCTGAACATTAGTTGTACATATCCTTCAGAGCATAAACTAGTTATATCTTTCAAAATCCAAGCTTTAATCATTTTAAAATGGATCTGAAAACTCACCTGAGACAAGGTAAGAAAAGTCTCATTCACCAAAATATCTTGAGCATTTCTGTCAATGAAATCCTTGCAAACTTGACACAGGGAAGTAAGATGATACATGTTTGCAATGTCATAAATCAGACAGACATTCGAGATGTTCAAAATTGCCTTCAAATAGTCAGAAATAGCAGTTTCAAGATCTACAAAGCCATAGCGATGAGACATCCCCAATATGTCCAACAAATTTTCATCCTGTAAATAAAATTTTTAAAAAATGCATGTTATTTCTAGAATAAGTATATCTATCATATTTTGACTATAAGAAGAATATCCTATTGAAACACAGAGCAGCATTCTGTAAAGACCAGATTTGGCAGAAGTTTTCCATGGTGTAAGGATATAGTGTACAAAGATCTTTATTTCCTATCTAGCTTGTAATACGAGCTTTGACTGGTTACAAAGTCGGGTGTAAATATCCTTGCACCCGACTTGAGCCGGGTGTAAATAAAACGTGACGTCACAATGCATACATTCTCTATGATAAAAACCAAATAACATGACGTCACTATGCATTGTAGTACGTAGTTATCTAATCGATAGATTGAGACACACTCTGATGTTTACAAAGCATTTTTATGGGTACAAAGGAAATAAATTCACTATCCAGGTCCACGCAAGGGTGTACAGGGATTTACATCGGGTCATATTCCATGTATGGAATAAAACCCAGGGTAAATCCCCGTACACACTTGATTGAACCTGGATAACTAATATTATTTCCAGGAAATAATGTAGAAGAACAGAATAACATAACATGGAAAAAGATATGGCAAAAGGTGGAGTTTGAAATATGAATAATTTTCTGAAGACATGCATAGAGAATCAAGTTAACAAGAAGGAAATCTTGTCAATCTTAATCTCATATAATGCAACCATGTCTGTTTCAGGATCTTAGATGTTACCTTGATTTCTAGCAGGTTAAGACGTCCACTGTACATGTACTTCAACAGGATGCTAAACGCTGAGGCAGAGGTGTCCTTCAGTTCCACCTGTGTAGTGCCTGGCTGAGATTCTTTCATCCCACCATACAAAAGAGCTCTAAACAACAGAGATTACCAGTATTTTTATAATTTGAACAAGCTGCGAGATATGAACATATTTTATATAAAACATAGAGAACACTTTTTTTAATTTCACTTTTTTATTTTGGTAATTTTGTTTATTTTTTTTCAATAAACAAAAATATGTCTTTTAAAATGTTAAATATTTAAAGATAAATAGTTAAAATTTTAATAATTAATATCGAAATTACTGACAGAATATTGGAGTGTATCATTTAATGTACCTGAAATACTCTGATCTTGTTGCCAAAATAACTTTGTGTGCAGGAAATGGTACATTTTCCACAACGAGAGTAATATCACTGTAATCGGAGTTCTCCACTAATTCACCAAGATTGTCAGAAAGAAAAGAAACATGATCAACGATGCCTGCTGGTGGAGGAGATCGCAAGTGCCGATGGTCACACATTTTTCCACAGTTTTTTAATTCATAGCAATCTGAAAGGCAGAAATTACATATTTTTTTAAATTGCAGATGCAGTTATCAGCATGTAGAGGTGTTTGCATAGCAAGCTCTTTAGCTTACATTAACATGAGAGGAAATTCCAGTCCAAACCAGATACCTCGGAAAAAGTCACAATTTTACAATTAAATTCAGTACCAACATTCTGTTTAAAATATGCAAACACATGCAACAATGTCAAAAGACGTCAAAGTCTATACATGTATGTAACAAATATTACATGCAGTTTTCATAGCCGGATCTAAAGTAAATCTGAATAGCAATCTCAGTATCTGTGCTTGCCCTAATGGTCGCATCATCAACTTATGTTTGATTAATCAAATGACAGTTAAAAAAAAAAAAAAGCAGTGAAGATGCCAAAAGTAGGGTGTGAGACATTGCTAATTTCAGGCTTTTCAGGGAAAACCCTGATTAGCAAGTATAATATACACTTATCCACTGGATGTGAGTGGGATAGCTCTTTTATCAAACCCGCGACAGAGAACTATTCCCCGAGGGCTTGCCCGAGGGGAATAGTTTCTGTCAAGGGTTTGATAAAAGAGTTATCCCACTCACAAACAGTGGATAAGCGTTTTATTATACTGATGTATAATATAATTTCTGAGGTTTGAATTTTTTCGGGGTAAGATAATACTGCAAGAATAATCTGAAATCCTGATGACGTCACAATGCTACTGAAGTCATTATGACATCACCAGTAGATAGATCTATCGTTGGAAATCAAAATTGGAGGCAAAAATTGCATGAAAATTTTCCGAGGGTGGATAGCAAGAACTATACCCCCGGGGTATAGCTTTGCTATGCGTGAACTATAAAAGATAGCTATTTTACCTTCTGAACTTTATATAGGAAACATTTTAACAGAAGTATAATAATGACATTTATCAATAAGGTAATACCTAAAAATTTGAAAAAAGTGGGGATGTTTTATTTTTGTAAAGAGGAATTATTGTTATTGCTAACTTAAAAATAAACTTTACATAAATGTTTACAAAAGAGTGACTACCAGGTCCAGTCCAAAGACTATTTCTACCTACGTAGCTATTAATAGCTACCTAGGTATTTAAAGCTACCCAGAGTAGCTATTTTTACCTACTTTATATAATTTCTGCATTTTGCGACCAAAAGACCAAACGGCGCAACTTGGTGAATACCATATTTTTTGATACGGTCACACTAATCATGAAAACGACAAAATTTTGGCCAAAAAAATGATTACTTCCTAAATTGGCAATTTTACATTAGTTTCTATGCAAAATTAATAATATACGAAGTTTTCATTTTTTCGCAAAATTTTTGTCATATTTATCATCAGTGTGACTGTATCAAGAAATTTTGTGCTCACCATGTTGCGCCGTTCCTGCATTTGGCCACAAAATGCAAGTACAGCAGAAAGTAGGTAAAAATAGCTACTTTGGGTAGCTTTAAATACCTAGGTAGCTATTAATACCTACGTAGGTAGAAATAGTCTTTGGACAGGACCTGACTACGGACAAGGTGATATGTCATTTCCCACTGGATTATGCTTGATACCAGTTGTCTTACATTTATTAATAGGGACACATTATCACTTATTTAATCCTAATGAATTGATGCTACTAAGTAAAAAAAGTAAGTTTAACTGACATTGATAGAAATGAAAGTGAACTTCAACCTAGATGGAAAAACTTGTCACAAAAATGTGCTCTGAATACTATAAAGATAATTTTACGTGTTCTCTTTAAGGAATACAAACATATCTTACCTTAAATGCTTCCTAATTAAGACAGCTACATCCTTTGAATATGTATCAGTTGGTCTCAACTGTTCGAGTCAACACAAGCAAAATTTACTTTCCGACATGTTTATTTTCCTGTAGCTTGTAAGCGGTGCAATATATATTGACCCCTAAGCATTTTGGTCCGTATCATGGTACTTAAATTGATATAAGGGTATTTTTTATTCACTGTATGAAATTATATTGTTGAATCTTTTTTGATTGATAAAATAGTTGCTTCTGTTAAATATCTTTGAAACTTAAATCAAACTAGTTTATTTTTATATGAAAATTCAAGACCCCCCCTTTTTTTTTTACTATCAATGACAAGAAAACACAAAAAATCACTGGAAGTAATACATTATTCATATGTATAAATCAATTGAAAATAATAATAATAATTTGAATAATTAACCCCAAGAATTCCAATGATCCCAAATGTCCCTACATTTAACATGAAAAGGTACCATTTTCCCAGACCACCTATGAGCTAACTCGTTATGCTAACTTCCGGTTTGAGAAATTTTTTTGCTGGTGGAAGAAAAATTACTGAAAAGGTTACAAATCCAGGAAGAAATGCCTAGCAAAAAGAAGAAATTCAGTGCCCGGTTTCCACCAGTATGTTTAATCAATATTTCTTCAGTTTACTTCTTTATTAGCACGTAAATCACGAAGAGGGAATGTTTTACAAATGCTTAATACACCCCCCTCTTTTCAGCCGGTTTGTCCAAAAATGTTCACTTAGGAATCATTGTTTTTTGTAATTAATGTTATGTAAGAAGTGATTTATAACAGAGTAAATGCTTTTGTAAAATTTTATATAGTAAGAAAAGACACTGCTATTTTCTACTTCTAACGTGAAAATGATAAAATCTGTTAGTGACAGAGAAATCAATGATCACATTGAATGATTGATAATGATATCAATGAATTGAATGAAAATTAATATTTTTGCTCTGCTGGTCAGAGATTTCTGTGAACGGTGTTGCCATGGTTATTATCAATAGAAATTTCAGTGAAATTCCTTTAAAGAATGCTATACTTCCCCTACATCAGTTTTGGTCTGATTTCAATTTAACTTGGCACACAGGTAGACAATACTAAATTACATAATTTAGTATATCAGTTTTTGATTTTGATATAAGGTGTTGCTATGGTTACTAAGAACAGAAATTTCTTTAAAACGCTACTCCTACAGTTTTGGTCTGATTTCAATATAACTTGGCACACATGCAGATTACACTAAGGCCAAAAATAAAAATAGTCTTGTTTCCTGCTACCCGACCTACCCTATTTTTTTTGCACCCGACCCTAAAGTTTTTATTTAGTTTTTGAGGGAAAATCGAAAATTTTATGATCCAAAAGTGAAACAAATATACATTCAAGTGGTATTTCATGAAATATATATGTTTTAAATTTGGACCTGCATGAAACACTACTTATTTTAAACGATAATATTGACCAATGACATGTTCAATTTGGTTTTGTAATATTTCATATCCTACAAATACCATTGGAAAAAATAAAATGAAATAAAAAAATAAAATAATTTTCCGACCTACCTACCCTATTTTTTTTAGGCTGGTAGCAGGAAACAAGACTATTATTTTTTTTTGGCCTAAGGTACATAATTTAGTGCTTTGGTTTTTTATTTAGATGAATGGTGTTGCCATGGTTTCTAAAAATAGAAATTTCTTTGAAATATTAAAACGCTACTCCATACACCTACAATTTTGGTCTGATTTCAATATAATTTGGCACACAAGTAGACAATTCTAAAATACATAATTTAGTATATCGATTTTTGATTTTGATATAAGGTGTTGCTATGGTTACTAAGAACAGAAATTTCTTTAAAACGCTACTCCTACAGTTTTGGTCTGATTTCAATATAACTTGGCACACATGCAGATTACACTAAGGTACATAATTTAGTGCTTTGGTTTCTTATTTAGATGAATGGTGTTGCCATGGTTTCTAAAAATAGAAATTTCTGTGAAATATTAAAACGCTACTCCACCTACAATTTTGGTCTGATTTCAATATCATTTGGCACACAAGTAGACCACACTAAGATAAATAATTCTATTTATTGTTGCCTGTTGCAAACTTTCAAAACCAAGTGCTACTTTTCCTTTGTTAAACATACAGACCAGTAGAACTACAGTCTCATCAGAGACTTCTGGTTTACAACCAGTACAGTAAAAATATTTAATATCCTTACAAAAAACTGCCAGAGGTGACGACAGTGGGTGCGTTCACAACAATTTGTACCGTTGGTACCATTGGACCCACATGTATTCTAATTTTGGGTAGAGTTGGTAGGAAACTCACCAATGTTAACAATGGCACCATTGGTGTACCATTTGTGACATTGGTGTATACCATTGTTAACATTCACAGATTTCTTAGAAGAAAATGTCAAACCAATATTATTATTCTTGCTTCGTGCATCATTTTGCAGCAAGAGAATGCTTTCAGAAATACTTTTTCAGTACAGTAAAGTACTTCTCCACAACAGAATTTTTTTCAAACTTGTCTTCCGGATTGTCAAATGTAAAATAATTAAATTAATGAAATTTTGATTCTACATTAAATACACTAAAAAGTTATTAAAATAAAGATTTTGAAACTTTCAGTCAAGAAAAACCACATTTAAAAAAAGATGTTTCACACCTATACACAGAGTTTATGTATATAGGTATGGTAAAAACATTACAATGATTTGTTACTTTTTCAATTTTTAGCTCACCTGAGCCGAAGGCTCAAGTGAGCTTTTCTGATCACATTTCTGTCTGTCCGTCCGTCTGTCCGTCTGTCTGTCCGTCTGTAAACTTTTCACATTTTCGACTTCTTCTCAAGAACCACTGGGCCAATTTTGACCAAACTTGGTACAAAGCATCCTTGGTTGAAGGGGAATTTAAATTGTTAAAATGAAGGGACATATCCCCTCGCAAGGGGAGATATTCAAGAAAAGACAAAAATAGGGTTGGGTCATTAAAAAATCTTCTTCTCAAGAACCACTGGGCCAGTAAAGCTGAAACTTATGTGGAAGCATCCTGGGGTAGTGTAGATTCTAAATTGTTCAAATCATGACCCCCGGGGGAAGGGCGGGGCCACAATGGGAAATCAAAGTTTTACATAGAAATATATAGGAAAAATCTTTGAAAATCTTCTTCTCAAGAACCACTGGGCCAGAAAAGCTGAAACTTATGTGGAAGCATCCTGGTATAGTGTAGATTCTAAATTGTTTACATCATGACCCCCAGGGGAAGGGCGGGGCAACAATGGGGAATCAAAGTTTTACATAGAAATATATAGGAAAAATCTTTGAAAATCTTCTTCTCAAGAACCACTGGGCCAGAAAAGCTGAAACTTATGGGGAAGCATCCTGGTATAGTGTAGATTCTAAATTGTTCACATCATGACCCCCGGGGGAAGGGCGGGGCCACAATGGGGAATCAAAGTTTTACATAGATATATATAGGAAAAATCTTTGAAAATCTTCTTCTCAAGAACCACTGGGCCAGAAAAGCTGAAACTTATGTGGAAGCATTCTGGAATAATGTAGATTCTAAATTGTTCAAATAATGACCCCCGGGGGAAGGGCGGGGCCACAATGGGGAATCAAAGTTTAACATAGATATATATAGGAAAAATCTTTGAAAATCTTCTTCTCAAGAACCACTGGGCCAGAAAAGCTGAAACTTATGTGGAAGCATCCTGGTATAATGTAGATTCTAAATTGTTCAAATAATGACCCCCGGGGGAGGCGGGGCCACAATGGGGAATCAAAGTTTTATATTGAATATATAGGAAAAATCTTTGAAAATCTTCTTCTCAAGAACCACTGGGCCTTAAAAAGTGAAGCTTATGTGGAAGCATAGTGTAAATTCTAAATAGTAGGAATCATGACCCCCGGGGGAAGGGCAGGGCCATTATAGGGAATCAAAGTTTTACTTTCAGGAAAAATCTTTGAAAATATTCTAGGAACCACTGGGCCAAAAAAGCTGAAACATATGTGCCCATGGAAGGATCATGGGGAAGTGTAGATTTCAAATTGTCTAAATTGTGATCAGGGGGGGTAGGGTGGGGATGCATTATGTATAACAAGGGGGAAATCTGGTAAAGAACAGAATGGTCAAAGCTTCTCAGGTGAGCGATGTGGCCCATGGGCCTCTTGTTTTCCCAAGGGAAAACTTTTATAGAATAATCTTGTTATTAATTTTATAGATAGAAAATGATTTATAGAGGAAAAATGAACTCTGTTATGCATAAAATTTATTTGAATTTACCAAATACCACCTGGTAAACCTAGAGATCTCTCGGGTTCTCTGTTTACTTGGGCCGACTCGATCAGTACCCTCCATTTTGTTTGACGTCATTAAAAAAGTTACCATCACTAACAGAGCTCTAGTTTGTCTGCAGAAAAATCTACCTATGGTAATTTTATTCGGCAAACTTTGGTACCATTGGCTTACCAATGGTAAAAAAATTCTACCAGTGGTAACTTTTGTCAGCCAACGCACCCAGTGTTTTTCCATTGTCTTTAGGTGGTGACACAAAATACAGATACATGTATATCTTTACAGCATGTCAAACCAAAACCTTGCAAAGGAAATTTTCTTTGGCTCTGTACAATAGATTGTTTTACAATTCAATTTGGAGATGTTGAGGCTTCATAAAGATTAGAAAAATAATTCATAGTATTAATTTTTATTTTTATTTTTTTAGGCTCGAATAAAGAAAATCATGCAAACTGATGAAGATGTGGGCAAGGTGGCAGCTGCAGTACCTGTACTTATATGTATCCTTTCAGTGTGTAGCCATCAACAAAAATGAATTGAGAACATACATTTACATGGTAGTTTAGGAACCCTTGTTTTTTCATTGCATCTGAAAATGAAGGCCATTCAATCCAGAGAGTTTGAAAGAAAAGAGAGCAGAGAGTCTGTTAATAAACTTTACCCAACTTTAACGAAGAGGTGGATAGATTTAAGATTTTCCACTGTAGGATTTTTAAAGCACCAATTACAAAACAAATCCTGTCATTTTATTTTAAATTTATTTTAACTGTTTAATTTATCAAAACAAGGTCACATTTTTTTTTTGCTATTCAAAGTATTCATATATGATACAAATCCTCTTTAAATGCTGTTTATTTCATCAGATTTTATGTTTCTTAACTTTACTAAAAGCTAGAGCTTTGGAGAAATTCATAGAAACTCTAATAATGAAAACCAGTGAAACCACAAAAACCAGGAATGCTAAAACCTTAACAACATCCCACATGTGAGTGAATACTTATGAATATAAATTACATTGTTCAGGAAAATAAAAAAATTCTCCAAAATACTTATCTTCAGCTAAATCATGTTCAACGTTAGATCCTTAAGACACCTGAATTGATTGAATTTGTGTTATTTTACAGCAAGCAGACCATTTATCAAGAGAAGAAGTTTGATTTTCTAAAGGACCTGGTGGCAAACGTGCCCGACCATCAAGCAGAGGAGGATACAGATTTGAACACTGGAGACATGACAAAACGACAAAAAACACCCAGGTACTAATGTATAGAATCAATCTGTGAGGGAAGGCCAAAGGCTGAAGTGAGCTTTTCTGATCACATTCTGTCCGGCGTCCATCTAGCTGTCTGTCCGTCTTTTCAAGAACCACTCGGCCAATTTCAATCAAACTTGCAATAAAGTATCCTTGTTTGTTAAAATAAAGGGCCACACCCTCTTCCAAGGGGAGATAATTCATAATTAATGAAAAAAATAATGATGATTTTTAAAAATCTTCTGAAGAAATACTGGGCCAGAAAAGATGAAACTCATGTGGAAGCATCCTCAGGTAGTGTAAAATCAAGTTTTTTCAAATCATGACCCATAGGGAAAATATTTTTTTAAAATGATCTTCTCAAGAACCACTGGGCCAGGAAAGATGAAACTCATATGGAAGCATCCTCAGGTAGGTAGTGTAGAATCAAGTTTTTTTCAAATCATAACCCCTGGGGGTAGTGCGGGCCACAACAAAAAAAATCCAAGTTTTACATAGGAAAAATCTTTGAACATCTTCTTCTCAAGAACCACTGGGCTAGGAAAGATAAAACTTATATGAAAGCATCCTCAGATAGTGTAGAATCAAGTTTCTTCAAATCATGACCGCTGGGGGTAGCACAGGGCCACAAAGGAAAATCAAAGTTTTACATAGGAATATATAGGAAAATCTTTATAAATTTTCTTTTGGAGATCAGCAAAGCCTTGATTGGTCATATTTAAATGGAACATCCTCAGGTAGTTTAAAATCACCCCACCTCACCTGTCCTCTTCGTGCCCACTTGCACAGAAGGCCACTGTGACACATAAGGCCCCAGTTTCGAATCAAGTTTGTTCAAATTCAGTTTGCTCAAATGGTAAATCATGATGGGATTGGGGAGTTGGTTGGGGCCGCAATAAACAATCAAAGTTTTTAATTGGAATCTAGGAAAAATTTCCTTCTATAGAATGGAAAGACCTTGTTTAGGTATATTGATATGGAAGCATCATTAGGTTGTGTAGATTCACATTTGTTAAAATCATGATTCCAGGAATAGGGAGGGGCCAAAATGGGGATGAAATTTTTACGAAGGAATATATAGAAAAAATCTTTTCAAGAAGAGTAAAGCCATTGTTATTGATGTGGAAGTATTCTCAGGTAGTATAAAATTAAAGCCCTACTTTTCAATACTTAACTGATTCGTGCCTTTTTAGCTCACCTGAGTCTAAGGCTCAGGTGAGCTTTTTTGATCACATTTTGTCCGTCTGTAAACTTTTCACATTTTCGACTTCTTCTCAAGAACCAAAGGACCAATTTTTACAAAATTTGTACAAAGCATCCTTGGATGAAGGGGAGTTTAAATTGTTAAAATGAAGGGCCAGGTCCTCTCACAAGGGGAGATAATCAAGAAAAGACAAAAATAGGGTGGGGTCATTAAAAAATCCTCCTCTCAAGAAACACTGGGCCAGGAAAGCTAAAACTTATGTGGAAGCATCCTTTGTTAGTGTAGAATCTAAATTGTTAAAATTTTGACCCCCAGAGGTAGGGTGGGGCCACAATATGGAATCCAAGTTTTACATAGAAATATATTGAAAAAATCTTTAAAAATCTTCTTCTCAAGAACCACTGGGCAAGGAAAGCTAAAACTTATGTGAAGCATCCTAGGGTAGAGTAAATTCTAAATTGTTAAAACAATGACCCCTGGAGTAGGTTGGGGCCACAATAGGGAATCCAAGTTTTACATAGAAATATATAGAAAAAATCTTTAAAAATCTTCTTCTCAAGAACCACTGGACCAGGAAAGCATCCTGGGGTAGTGTAAATTCTAAATTGTTAAAATCATGACCCCTGGGGGTAGCACGGGGCCACAATAGGGAATCCAATTTTTACATAGAAATATACATGTTTATAGGAAAAATCTTTAAAAATCTCTTCTCAAGAACCACTGGGCCAGGAAAGCTGAAACTTATGTGGAAGTATCCTGGGGTAATGTAGATTCTAAATTGTTAAAATCATGACCCTTGGGGGTAGGGTGGGGCAACAATAGGGAATCCAAGTTTTACATAGAAATATATAGAAAAAATCTTTAAAAATCTTCTTCTTAAGAACCACTGGGCCATTGGAGGTGACACTTTTATGGAAGCATCCTTGGGTAGCGTAAATTCTAAATTATCAAATCATAACCCCTGGGGGTAGGGTGGGGCCACAATAGAGAATCCAAATTTTACATAGAAGTATACAGGACAGATCTTTAAAAATCTTCTTCTCAGGAACCACTGGACCAGGAAAGCTAAAACTTACGTGGAAGCATCCTTGGGTAGTGTAACTATTAAATTGTCAAAATCAAGATAAGATAGGGGGTAGGGGCCACAATAGGTATTTACAAGAGGGGACATCTGGTGAAGAACTGAATCACCCAAGTTACTCAGGTGAGTGATGTGGCCCATGGGCCTCTCGTTTTAGCCAATATGCTCAGGTGAGTGATGTGGCCCATTGACCTCTTGTTGAATCTGGATATGGTTGTTTCATTTTAGACCAAGAAAACAAAGAACAGAAGGTAGAAAGAAAAGAAAAAAGAATTCATCAGAAAGCAACTCAGAGGTTAGCGTAGTCTTAAGTGACAAGTTTAGATTAATAAGGCAAAGTACCAGGTACCTGTTTTATGGGCCAGATAAATTTTATCAAGATTCTATAGAAGTAAAAAAAAAAAAGATTGTTAAACATTGTATCTTGGATGTATACAACTGAATTCTTTCTTACAGGAGGAAGAGAATGAGAATGGTTCCAGTACTGAGACAGATGAAGAGAGCAGTCAGCACACACAGCTGTCCTCAGGCAGTAGCAATGAACAACACCAGGGAATTCCCTCGGCCACGTACCCAAATCCCATCAACTCGGGAGAGAACCCTGAGGCTATGATGTCCTACCCATCCACCAGCAGTATGCCCAGCCACCCAGCTTACCCTCCACCAGGTTGCTACCCTCCCCAAGGATTACCTGGGTTACCCCCACAGGGAATGCATAATCCTTACTCTATGCAAATGAATAATCACATGTAAGTACCATAGAATTGATACAGGTGCACAAGAAAATTGCAGAGCTGGTGAAAAAGGAATAATTTTGTTTTAAAAAATAAATTTTTCATTGGATCGTAGAAAATAAGATTCTTAAACCAAATTGTTGAATATTTAGCAGTTTTACAGAATTATACTGTATTGCAAAGGCTTGATAGTACATTTTAATGTTTTTTTATTTCTTTCTAGGCCACAACAGACACAACCCCTGAATCTATGTAACAACCCATCATACAGCCCATCTATGTACATGTCATCTGGATATCCCTATCCCCCTTCATTAGGATACCCCTACCCACCTCATATGAATCCTATGCCTCCACCACACGAATCCCATCCAGGCATGAATCACTCATCAGCCCCCATGCCTGGCCCCTCCCATCTGCCGGTCTACCCCAAGGCCCCACCCCCATGTGATCAAGGACAGAACATGTCTCAGTCTAGCATAAATCCTGTAGCTCCATCACATGTAAAACAAACTCCACCCAACTCCGCTGAAGATGATGATTATGATGCGTGAATGGATTTCTGTGACCTTTCAACATCAATTTTATGCAAATTGACCCCCATGGGGAAAGAGAACAAACTCAGGATCATTTGTGAGCCATTTTATTCCGTTGTCATCTGATTACGTGTATTGATCTGTTAAAAACATAAATTGGTTAGAACTTGTAACTTTGTTTTGTTTTGGATAAAATTATTTGTCACCCTTTGAGATTGTGTGATGAACTCAGTATTTTTCACTGTTTGTTATGTTGCCTATAAAATATGCTATAGCTACACAGGTATAAATACTGTATACAGGGAATTTTTCGCCCCCATTTCATTTTCACCCCTATCGCCCTAAACTTGGACGAATTGAAAAAGGGGGCAAATTTAAAGAGTACAGTATATTTTCTTTAATAAAATTGTGACTGGGCAAATTTAAAACAGGGCAAAACTGTTTGTAAGTGTGAAAGGGCAAAAATAAAGTGGTGCGAAAATAACCCTGTATATATTATGCTTATGATTTCAAAGAAATGTAAAATATACATGCATATTACATGTACTTTAAATATAATCATGGGTCATTAATGCAGCTTGAACTTGCTTGAATATATTACACCAGAAAAACAAAACAAATAAAATAGTATTCTGTCTATATAGAGCTGTCTTATGTACCAAAATTTCCATGGAATGTATCTCATCATTTACCGGTAATATGAATTTTGCATTGCTTTAGAATTTAAGAGAACCAATGGTTGTATATTGTGTATACCAAGAGTTATTGATTTTTATCAATAGCAGTTGTGATAAATTCTTGTAATGTACTTAATCATAGTCTTTCCATAAAAAAAGGTGTTTCAGGAATAAAGTTCTTTACTGATAATATGTGGATACAATATCAAAGGAAAAAATCACTATATACATTCTTGTTTGAATGTCTGTACTTTGATGTGTAATCAATATTGCTTATCAGTATGTATCCATGCAAGAAAAAAATATGGTAGAAAGCCTTTGAAGTTATACATGTAATACTAAAGTAAAGAACAGACTTTTTTAAAGTCATGAGATACCTAGAAACAATGATTTGAATTGACATTTATTTGCTATATGAACAAGAACAAGGCTTTGAGACCTTTTGGATTACAGACTGTTTCCTAATATCACACTGTATGAAGTCAGTACATGTACATGTATTCCTAATGTAAAACTATTGTCTGATATTTTTTGACATGTGAATGATTAAAGTGATTGAACTGAGTTTGTTTGGCACATTATGTTCAGATTCAGATTTTATTCATAGACTCTTAGTACATTATAAATACATGTACTACAGGTAGTAAATTAATGTTTACCTCAAACAAATTTGATCACCTATTGTGGTCCCACCCTACAATCAAGGGGTCATGATGTGAATCATGATGTAAATCATAATCATGAATCTACACTTCTACATTAGTTTCATATTTTCTTGCACAGAGATTCTGATGAATCGAAAAAAAAAAATTATGGTCACCTTTCAGTTTTCATCAATCGTAGTGTATCGTGTGTTAACATTTTCAGCTCTTTCTCTGACACCAAACAATTTCCAAACAATTTGGCATATAACATCTATGGGTGAAGGGGAGTAATTTTTGTTTAATTTCATGGCCCCTACCCCCCTGGAGCCTGAGGGTGGGACAAAAACCCTTAAAATTATAGCAATCTTTAAAATCTTCTTTACTTCAGGAAATCAAGCAGCTAAATTGTTGGCATGATTGTTGTCGGCATTGAACCCTCAACCAAAATTGTGAATTTCATGGCCCCAGGGTCAGGGATTCTGGAGTTGGGGTAGGGGCTCTAAATTATCATATAGTGAAAATGCAATAATTCTTTGAAAATCTTCTCTGCTCCTGGGTAATATGAAAACAAACTAAATGCAGTTATGAGGAAGGCTGCTTCTACCAAAATTGTAAATTTTATGCCCCTCTGGGTCAAAGGTTTTTGTATAAGGGCAGGGCTGTAATGATTATATAGGGAAAAAAATTAAATTCACATATTTTTTACTATATATATTCAATAAAGCCCCACCTAAACATTAAAAAAATCCTGTTCCAGGGTTCATTCAAAATTTTGGAAAAGGGACCCTTGCTCATCATAACTATGCACTTAATTTGTCTGATAAATATAGGGAAGAGATTTTCAGAAAAAAACAAACTTTCATATGATCGATAAATCTCGGCCATAACATCAGTTCCCTGACCTAGGAGCCATGACTTAATTTCACAATTTTAATAGAGGCATCCTTGTTCATCATTACCATGCACTTGGTTTATCTGCTAAAGCTACAGGAGAGATTTCGAAAGAATTTAGGCATTTTCACAGTATGATCAATACTGCCCAGCCATTACATCAAAACCCAGGGGTCCCAATCTAATTAAAATTAGATGTTAGATCTGCTCGAATACTCGCTACTCTAACATCTAACAACATCCTATAGAGGGTCCAGTCAGAGGTCAAATTATATCAACCAATCAAAATGTTGCCTGCAAAATCATTTATTTGTTGAAGTGAATAAGTCTACAGGTGTTCCAAATTTGACCTCTGATGTGACCCTCTATGGGATGTTGTTAGATGTTTAGTGTAGCTAGTATGCGAGTGGTAACTAATATCTAATTTTCATTAGATTGCAGGGATCCTTAATTTCAAGTTTTGGTTGAGGGCTCAATGTTTATTACAGTGAAACATGTCTTATCCAACACTCACTGGGACTGGGAGACCAGTTTTGAGTCAAAATGGCAAGGGTGTCAGACTGCACAGTGTAAAGAACAATGGGAATTTGCATGGGATCAGAGAGCAAGTTCTTCTGTACAATGGGCCCCAGGGGTAAGGGAAATTTTTAACGCAGCTCCAAATATTTGGGGAAGCTTACCATTGGCATCTGCATCAGTGTCCAAGGTTTTAAAAGTTTTTGGAACTTTTTCTGTCAGGGACCTTGAATTTGCACAAATGACCTTGGGTCAAGGTTTTAACATACACTCAGGTCATATCTTAGTGTAGAATGGGAACTCACCAAGTTTATTTATAAGAAAGATAAGGAACAGATACAAATTATGAACTTTTTCTTTTGGTGACCTTGAACTTGTAAAACACCCTCAGCAGATGAACAATCTTTGTAGGAAGTAGTAGATTCTTAAGTTTCTCCATTAGAAAGACATGGGCCACACATATTTGCAGACTGACCAACAGACGGATAGTTGGAAAAGGTGATTCCTATATACTCCCAAAACTTTGTTTGCAAGCAGGGGGTAGGAGTGGGGTATAAAAAAGGATTAATACCCCACTCCTTAAATCTAAGGACACAAAAATTTAGTAGGAATTAAGAACTGCAGGATAATTAACAAGTAGGTATGTACAAGTACATGTATTACTGATTAAACATGATGTAACATGTTTTAAACAAAGTATGAAGAGCCGAGTTACATTAAAATATTTATTGCTGCTGGAACAGAATAGCACTTGTTTTTATCTCTTCTTTTTGACATTTTTCTGTCCCTTTTTAAAAGATTTTCCTCTGCCTTTCTGTTTCTTGTTTCTAAAGTTTTTATTCTTCCCTTTAATCCAATCATCACGGTCCATTTCCCATCTCAGCTGTTTAGCACCTGAATTAAATTAAAATTAATAAATGACATGTAAAGAAGCTAACTAGTACAGTTTCACTTTTATGAGTGTTAATAAACAATTAACCTGAAGTTTCATGTACTTTCAGCATAAAGGAACATTCTACATTTAACATATATTCAACGTTGAAGAAAAGCCAATGTCCAATTAATAGGCAAGATTTATAGACATGAACTACAAGTTAATTTAATTTGAAATATACAGCCTTATACATGTACGTGTAGTACATGTATTTACAAATAGATCAATGACAGACATAAGACTGGCTATAGACAAACTGATTTAAAAAAAAACAACTCATTTTGTTGCAGGAGAACTTAATACATGTAACTGTATATAATCTTTTCTGAAGTTCTCTACCAACTCAATGACTCTTGAGGACAAAATATTTTAACAAGTCCAAATTAATATCATTATTTCTTAATCAGCTCCCCTAAATATCTGATACAGTCCTTTTTGGTTGAAACTGAACAAGAGGTTATGAAGAAAAATTGAAAATGAATAGGGTTGAGGACAAAAAGAGACAAACTTAGCAAAGTGAGGAGCACACTTGAAAATCTGAACAGGCAGAGTTGTGTAAAATTGCTTCAATTGGAAACATTACAGATTGCTTCATTCAGGCCAACTTCAGAGTGAATGCAAGTATACACTTTCTTTTATGATTTAATCCTCTCATAGGTATAGTACCAAAGCAAGCATCCATTCCTACATATATTTGTTTAACAATGTCTACTTAAAAATTCTTTAAACAAAAATTAAAGCAGATTTCCATTGATTCCCAAGCCCTGTTTGATGCTGACTTACTGGATTTGTCCTGGTTGGATAAAGCACTGGATCCCAGTGTGTCCCATCCAGAGCTGGCACTCTCTTCTATCACATCAGCAAACTAGACAAGTAATATAACCAAACAATTAAATACATCCTTATGTAGCTACAGATGTGATAAATACTGTCAATCATTTACAACAGGTCAACACATTTTTGGTGCTTTTTTTTTTTTAAAAACAATCGTATATCATGAAAAATCATAAGTACTCTTTATTTACCTCATCTGCTGAAGCAAAAAGATTGGAGTCAAATTTGTCAGACCTGGAAATAAAAACATGATTCAAAATGTGGAATATTAAACACATTTTTTTTAATAAATTCTATTGCCAACCTTAGCCAGAACCACATCATAAATTATAAACTACAATTATACTTTTTAAATGAAACATATATGGCTCATTTTAATACTGGCACATGGTAAAATTCCACAAGTTGAAATTTCCTGTTCCATTTCTTCTGGATTCAACAAATATAAATGATGTCCTTAACACACATAGATTGTACATAAATACAATGTATACATATATAGTTTATACTCAAGTGCTTATCTTTAACAACAACAAAGTGACAGATACATAGTATATCAATGTCTACATTAAGTAATTAAAAGAAGTAACAAAGTAAGATGGCACAAACTGTGTTCGATATTTGGAAAGTATTACAATATACACTTACTTTTTCATTTTCTTATTGCCAACAGTAATGGCAGCAGACTTGACCTTGCGTTTTGAAGCATTCTTCTTCTGTGTTAACTCGGCGAATTCATCTGTAACAAGGAATACTAGTATGCATATGGTGATATGATCAGACAGTTTGGTAAAAATTTAAAAATCAAAGACCCTTAATATATACATGTATATCATTAGTGAGATAAAATGGTTAATGGATCATTGTTTTATAGTGTCTGAGTACAAGAAGATATTCATTTGTTTTATCATACCTGGCACATTTTCGCCTTGACAAGTATAAAACTTAATTCCATACTCAGACACTACACGATTAAACATTACCTTCCCCACTGCTAGCCTCCTCCTCCACATCATCATCAATATCAGCATCAAATTCCTGGAATTCTTTGGCAAAATCTTCATCTTGTTCAAAGTTCATCTCCTCATCAGACAGATCCATGTCATCGTCATCCTCATCGCTGACGTCCTCATCATCAGATTCCATCACCAGCTTACCTTTCTTTGTGGCCTTCATACCCACAGCACTGTAACCATAAGACATAGTGTGAACTAATTATGTGTACATACTATATATGTGCCAGACTGCCAGTTATCAAATATACTTTACAGATCAAGAAAACAGTTTTAACAATAGATTGTCCAATACATATATTAATCTATGACCTCACTTCATGAGTTACATGTATTGTGAAATTACGTATTTGCAAAATGATGCAGGCATTGCATTAAGAAAATACCATATCACTACTATAAACTGAGAGAAAACAAAACAAAATACACGTACCTGGCAAAGTCTATGTCTGTACCACTGAAGATATCACCAACATCACCACCTTCAAACTGTTTCTCATATGTATCTGTAAATGAAAATGTATTACAAATAAACAATATAGTGGGACAACAACTGCTACATACTATTCATAATGTGCAATGATTATCTAAACATAAAATAATTAATATCATCAATATGTGTTCATATTACAAATAATAATATTAAGTACAAAGTCACAATGTCAGGTAAAACAATCAGGAAATAATTAAATTTCCACAAAAAAATTACAAATAACTTAATTACCAAGATATT